TTACGAAAATCGTTGTTTAAATTTGCAGAGTAGTTTTTTAAATAATTGCGAAAAACTGAAAAATCCGTAGGTTAGTAGGGGAAAATTTATTTTCTGCTTTTTTTGGTTTTTCCCAATTATTATAAAAACTACTTCAGATTTCAAAATATTAATTCTCTATCAGTGGATAAATAATAAATGGAATAAAATCAATTTCTTGTAATTTTTCAATTGAAGCAACTCAAATAAAATTCAGAAGTTTCTCTGTTAAAAGGACCATGATCCACGATTGTATAAATACCCAGTGATAAAGTTATAAAAATGTTAAGAAACTGAGAATTTTTAGAAGCTATTATAATATAAAGGATGACAAAAAGTCACTTTTGTTTTTAACTACTTAAGTTAAAATGAATTATAATCAACGAGTGACGGTTTTACGGGGGGAGTCCAGGGGGTCTGGACCCCCTAGACTCCAAGCTTAGACTTTGAATTAGTTGATCTAATACTATATCTTTCGCTATTTCGTAAAATATATAAAAATAATTGTATGAATTTGTCATTTATACATTAATCATTGCACTTGCGGATGACTTTTAATTATCTGCATTACTCGGGTTACAATTTAATTTTTTTTTAATTTTAGATTCTTTTTTTTTATTAGAAAAAATAAAACTTACAATCTGTGTTTGAGTAAACACAATAAGTAAATATGATAACTTTATACATGGAATGGAAAAATATAACAATAACACGATGGCCTGATAAGGGAGGCTATTCAGTGATAGAACCCTTCATTTTAGATTCTTAGTGGAGCGAGGAATATATTAGTTTTACTATGATATTTTTTTTTTCCTGTGAACAACTTTCTACCAGCAATATTGCTCCGGTTTTTAGTGATAGCATTTTTTGTGAAAGGAAATTGAACTGGGGAGGTATTTAAGGAGGTAATTTTTTGATTTTCCTAGAAGTTTTCTCAACGAATGAGAAAAATCAGGAAAACGTACGAAATAGGTATTAGTCAAAATATATTACGGTCTTTTTAAATCCTGTGAACAATTTTTCTACCAGCAATTTTGCTATAATTTACAAAGATAGCACTTATTCTAAAAGGAAATCGAGCTGGGAAGACACTTTAGCGAGGTCATTTTTTGATTTTCTCAATAAATGAGAAAAACGGGAAAATAGGTACATTATTAAACAAATAATATTAAAAAAACTATATAATGCCATGGTATGTAATTATTTTACCATAATATGACATATATATATTTATATATATTGTTGACAAAGCAACACTATAAACTCAGAATCGTTTTTTCGTTAGCAATGGTTAATCGTTGCTTATAGATATACATTGAATTATCAATAACAGTGACCGCACCCGTCCCCAATGTCCTAGGACAGCTTTTTAATTTTGTAAAACGTAGGTTAGATTAGATTATGTAAGTAAAACATAAAAATAATTTTTTCTGAAAGTGAATGTTGGGTAGTTAAAATTAAATTAATTCATGATCAATGGAAAAATATTAGTGTATGTTAAATATATAGATAATATCAATGGACCCCAACCCCAGAAAAATTCCTTAAACCACCATTGTAATCAACACAATATAAGTTTTCAATCAAGGGACTGTGATTTTGATGATAATCATTTTATATATTATCATTACTATAAATGGGAAAACCTCGAATGGTTAGACAATTTGGATTAGTAGATTTTCAAGATTTGTTCTTTCTAGATTTATATTTTCAATAATTGTTCCAGATTTGCACATCCAAGGTTGTGCATTCCAGATTTCTACAGGTACTCGTCATGGATAATAAAGAATGGATAGACCGAGAGTCGGACACTTTTCTCAAAGATAACAAAATCTGAATCTGATACACCAACTTAGAAAACTAAATTCTCGGCAAATTATTATCATTTTTCTTTATTACCTACCCGATGTGGTTTTGCAAAACAAATCGAGGTCAAATAAAGTCAAAATATATAGTATATTTCTTGTTTGTGCAATTAATAATTCAAGAATCTCGTTTGAAAATGTTTGATTTAGTTAAGGTTGGCGTAATTTTTCATTATTTTATTACAAAACGGGCCACGGCTCAAGGTACAGAAAATTGTTAAAAAAATTTTTTTTCTTCCATGATTTCGATTGTTTGGAAAATATCATGTCACCTATTACTGACTTGCAAATAACGAAACGATGAATCATTGTAATATTTTAAAATTTTAATAGTAAGTACAACATAATATAAACAAAATATTAACTATAATATTATCACATTAGTAATGATGATAAAAATTATTAACCAAACAATTAATTATAGTAACCATTGAGGTATAAGGCAGCTTTGTAAGATAAAATTATATCTGTAGGAACGCGGCAGCTCTATTTACGTTGAAACTGTATGACATATGTTCATGGTTAAAACCATGACTAAATTTATAAATATAATCCTTAGATTATACCTATTAATACTATGGATAGAGCTGTTGACTAAATCACTTAATATTCGAAGTAAACATAATTAAGGGGAGTTGGGACAAATGCGCATGCGCAAAATTTATAGCACTCGCAATTAGTTAAATTTACATTATCACGTATGATGTACTTATCATCACTGTCTAGTAGTATTTTAGCGGGTTACACCAAGACACGAGGTTTATAATAAGGTAATAAAGAAACGTTTATTTACAACAAAGACATAATACAAGTGATCGCCAGCAGACTGCTTTTGACGGAGGAAAGGCGAGCACGTAACAACATTAGTTAAGAAAAACAATTATACATAATAATTATTAGGAGTCGGAAACAATGCTTCGCGTACGGCGTCGGTGCAGAGAAAGAGCGAAGCTGTGGACGATGACCGCTGAACGCCGACGGCAAGGGGCGTGGCCGACGTCCGCCGCGCAGCGGGAAGAAGAAATGTGGCGCGTAACCCGCCACAGTATTATAACATTTTGTTCATTTGAGATTATATTTCTTATTATACTGGGAGAACTGATATACGCCTGTATGACTACAGCATTGCGAACTGCATAGAAACATCGATGTAGTCTCCTTTGATACCAGGTTCAATAATTTTACAATAATACACTAATGCAAATTATCGTGCACATACTGTACACATGACACATAATCAACAGTTTTAGTGAATAATTGAATATTATAATTTGTAATTTGTATTTTGTGCTAATAAGTAGGTTGTAGATATTTGTAATATTATAATGATGAGTGTCTCATTACAGCATAATTTTTGGCTTCGTTATCACTTAATAACAAATATATACCATATTTGTTATCATAGATTGAATAATATCAACGCGCCAAATTTAAAATATATTATGTTATTATTATATAATGCTATAATATAGTTCAAAAATTCCCAGAGCATTTTTACATCTATTTGTAGAAAGTTTACCAAGACCACCATAAAGTCTTAAAATCATTTCTTGACTGTGTTATTTATCTCAATAAATTTTCTTAATTTTCTTTGATTACTTTGTGTTTAAATTATATCTGAGATTCCTATTTTTTTTTTTTTCAATGTAATAACATAAAATAAACCTAAACTCACACTTAAGTAAAATTCATAACGTTGAACCAATGATCAACAATTTTCTGAGTGAAACTAAAACAACATTAGATCCATATTTAAAAGTTTCATCTAACCGATACCAATGAAGGGAAAAAGAGACTAGAATAATTTGTCCAAATAATAAATGTAAAAAACCCATGTATTCCTAATCTAATTTTTAAATTGAATATTCACTTATCTGAAATACATACATTTGATGAAAAAGTGAAAGGAATGTAATTACTAAGCATCCAAGTTAATTGTGAATACTATGTTTATTATTTACAAATAACAATCATTAAATATTTGAATTACAGAATTTAAGACAGAAAAAAGACATTATTATTACAGTCATCGATCATATAATCAGAATAGTACGAAAGGAAATTATTAAAAATGGGAGAAAGTTTATCATTATTTTTGTATTTATAATATCATCAGAGCATCAAAGCTCACCTCATCCTGGTTTTTTGTCAGATTATGAATTATAATGATTGTAATAAATTTGTCAAATGGCTCTTTGTCATTATCTGATGGTTTGACGTTATGTGACTTTATAATTTTCTCTTTGATAACAATAAGATAACTAACAATAGATAAACCTTCGATTTATACTACCATTCAAGTTTTTAATAACATGAAGACTAGAACTAGACTCCCTTTTTACTAGGCTTTTCTAGTCTTCATGATAATAATAATAGTGTTATATTATTTTATGTTTTATCAATTTGAATTATCTATTTATTCTACTTCAATTTATAGTTTTTATACTACTAATTATAATACTAATTATTACAAGTATATTATTATACAAGTTTAATTTTACAAAAATATTGCAAACAATAGTCACGTTACTTAAATAGCTAAAACTGCTTGCAGCCAAATGGTTAGATGATCTAATAGAATTGTTGAAAGCCACACACTTTATCATAGAATTTGTCTATTTAAATTTTTCCGGTGTGTTTTAAAATATATCAAAAAAATCTGGTAAATAATTAAATAAATTATTATGACACCTACCTATGCAATGCTGTCCATTTTTTCGGCTTCATCATACAATTATTTACACATTCATATTATTTTACAAGTTACAAGTCCTATGGGCAATGATCATATTCTCAATACTTAACTAATACCTATATTATTTATAAAATATGTTTTGAAATATAATTTATTTTCTGACTTTTTTCCTAAAAAATAGATAAAAACATCGCATATCAACATAAAATAAAATAAAACTTTAAAAGTTTACGAGTACCCACCTATTTAGTTATGTAACTATACACACGCATATACACAACCATACAAGTTTAATTATTAAACAAAATTAATCAATGACAAATGTTTAATAGAAATTAAATGTATCATATATTAATGCCAATAGTAGCTAATAGTAATATATATTGGTGAACTAATTAAATTATTATATTGGATAAATTAATTTAATAACATCCAGGAAATGGCTCTGGTCGATTCTTACGTAGAACGAAATTAATTTTCCGCTTCATATCTTCATCATAAACAGCTTTACACTTTTCGTAATTAATTCGCCGTCTCATTTGCGTTGGTTTTTCATAATATCTGGTACGTCTGTATTGGTCCAAAAATCCCTCAGAGCCCATAATACGATTCAATATTCGACACGCTTCATCAACATTTTCATTACGCACTAACACAGTTCTAGATATGAATTTTAAATGTTTCATACTGTATTATTAATTTTTCCAAAATCAAGTTTATAAAAATATAATTATTTGTTAACAAAATTTTCAAATGTATAAAAAACTGTGGTATAAATCACCATCAGTCGTAAATCATCAGTAAATAGTAATCACATATTCACATTGAACTGAATCAAGGGGGGAACAAACTTGCATGGCCAATCAGAAGCGTTTCCGTTCACATTTCTTATCAATATTTAGTGAAACATTTTTATCAAGGTTTATAAATTAATTAATAATCATATTATTACATTCCACGGCCTATATATTAAATTGTTTTGCTTTTTTTTTTCATGTTGTAGGTGTTAAGGTTGAAAACGGTATTTTATCTAGTATATAACTTACAAAAACGATATAGAATGCTGTTTATATAATGAAATTTCACTCTATGCCATGAATTCATAACAACATCACAATTTACCATTGGTATATAAACATAAGCATTATTCATTTGATTTTGATAATTATTAATTCATTTCCATGACTTTGCCGACATAAATGCTGCAAAATCATTGTACCGAAATATATGATTGGTTAGGTCGGTATATTTTCAAGTGGCTTTATAACGATTTAAATTCCTAAAATGTATACCCAATTATAAAGTTTGTAATATTATACTGTGATTTTTTTTTTGAAGGTTATGTGCAGGCCCGTCGTTAGGCCATTTCCTAACGGCGGAAACATTCAATGAAACTGGGGCGGCATTGTTTATGTTAGAAAATTTGTTGTATTAAGATTTACAACTAATGAATTAAACAAAATCCAACAAATCATTGATTGACAATCAATAATAAATCTGAAAGATGAATAGCACGTTTCAAAACAATACTAGTAATGTAAGAGCAACGAGGATTTAAGTGGATAGATATCTATTATCTTATCTAATAGTGTAATAAATATTATTATTATTTTATGTTTATCATTTGTATGACTAACCTAACCCATCTAATGTTTTATTGGAAAAATATATATGCAATATACATATTAAACTCCTACATAGCCCCTTTTTACCTGCCAAAAACAAATTGTGTAATCTACACAGACTCTTTTATATGTTAGATTCTGAGTGTACCGAGGAATGTATATTGGTTTTTTGATTTAATGATGTTAATTTGAGATAATTGCACTTAAGTTGGAAAAAACATGTTCATTTTTAGGATAATACCATTATTAGGACTGATCATGATTTAAAAACATTTTGTTATATTATTCATTGCATCACGGAAATAACTTTTTGAGCTTAAATATAAGAAAATTAGAGAAAATATATTGATAAACAAGTAGGAAGTTTCATTGAATTTTTATTGAAACCTACAGAAGTTCAACAATCAAATTCAATTGTTATTATTCATTACATTAATTATATATTAAAATTGGGCACCATATATTTTGCTTTTGACGGAAGGGACAACATTATGATAGCCAAAGAGCGAAAAATTTCTCGCGACGTACCTAGTTAAATGTCGGATGACTTTTTGACGTGCTTCGAAAATTATTTTCCACGTCCTCGTAATTCATAATTCGATTACACTGAGAAATTTGTCGGGTCGTTATAAAATATAAATATAGTAGACTGTCGAATATGGCACCAAAATGTTATCTAATATATAATGTACAAAATAATTTATAAACTAATTTCTATTAGTATGGGGGGGGGGATGTCCGCATCAAAAAATGTATCTGTGGAAAATGTCTTACTACACTGAAAATATAAGTATGTATTAGCATTTCTGTAGTTGCACCGTTTTACTATGGAATACATTCACATTCTCACTGTTAAAAATATCTTACAAATTGTTTGTAATTATTTTTAATGATTATCTATTAAACATCCAACTAATTGATGTGTATTACTATTATACCATAGGTGCAACTAGGGGAGCTTGGGGGAGCTAAGTTCCTCCAGTTTTCTAAATAGCAGCCCCAATTATAATGAATATAGTTAGATATATTAATATTTTCAAATGTAAGCAAATAAAAATTGTATGACTATTACTATTATTAGTTTTTGTTAATGTAAAAATTGTATCTTTAATGAGTCAGATATGGACACTTACTATTCGGTAGAATAAAGACAAAATAATAAAAGAAAACTTAAATTGTAGAGATTTGGAGGATTACAAAGTAAATAAGTAATCTATTTTCTATTTTACTCTATGATACAAACTGTAATAATGAAACTGTAACTGCGATAATCAGCACAGTTTAAAATATCACGCATCAAAGCATCATTATATTTTATATAAATTTTAAACGGGCCAGGGCCAATTACATGGATTATAATAATAACAGTCGTTCATTAAAATTTAAGTACCTACATCACAATTCATTTTAATAAAATGTATTTAATACTTATAGTTAAGAATTAACAAGTATGCAGCAATTATAATATATTTTGAATGAGTTAAAATTTGGTGATATGAACAGATCAATTTTTAATTTATTTATAGCTTTCATAATTTTATTGATGAGGGTATTACTAGCATAATTGGTTACTTCAGTGTTAAGATAAAAATCATTTATAAACCGGGTGTTACGAGTAAGAAATGACTTAGTAACTCAGAAGAGACAATATTTTCCGTGAACAGCTTGTACGCAAAGCATAAATCTAATAGCAAACATTGTTCAAATGTTTTGAGAGAAAGAAATGACAAAAGTGGAGTGTACGGAGAATGTGACTCTCTGGCTATAGAACATTTAAATGAGAGGAACCGTAAAAACTTTTGCTGAATTTTTTCATTTTCAATTTTTATTATTTAATACTCAACCTTATTGGTAAGGAGCCCATATTATTAAGCCATATTCACAAATAGAATGTACCACCAAACAGCAGTAAATAAAATTTAAAAATTTGCGATCTAAGGATAAATCAAACCATCATTATTTGGTAATCAATAACCATATTTACCATTTTACTATCACAATAGATAATAATTAATAATATGTCACCATTCATCAATCACAGATATATATTATATTAAACTCTTTAATATCTGCAGTGCATTTAATAGCAAATATGGTAATTTTATTTAGATTCTGAATAGACCAAAAAATGATATGGTTTTACAATGATGTTGATTTTCTTTTTCTATACAATAAACAACTTTTCTACTAGTAATTTTGCTCTGATTTTCAAATATAGCACCTCTTCCGAAAATAAAATAAAATATATTTTATTATGACAAATCTAATGTCTATACAATTTTGATAATCAGATGTTTGTACAAGAAAAATAAGTCATGGATCTTATAAAACCCTACACAAATAATTCAAAATTATAATATTAATATATTGTGAAATATTCAAATATATATAAAATATGAAATACAAATCTATAACATAGTTTATATTTTTTAAAACTTCTATAATGCATAAAACCACACATAAATGTTGATTTTAATTAGTTTTCTTCTTTTTCTCCTACATCTTCATATTTTTCTCCTACATCTTCATCTTCCGATGATCTAAAATGTTCAAATATATTTCGAATAAATACAATATATGGAACAATATTAGTCTATACAAGTCAATTTTACTTATAAAAAAACTTTATAAGCTTAATGTTTTCATTAAAAATAATCATATTTGTAGTGAATACAACTTGTAACTTGCTATAAAGAATCTAATACCATAATTTGGATTTAAAAATGTTAATGAATTGTATAATTAGAAGCTGAATATCTATTTATCTTAAGAAGAATTGAAATATACAGAGTGGACATAGTTGGAAAGTACCAGTGTGGCTTTAGAAAAGGCAAGTTCATAACAGATCACATTCACACACTAAGACAACTTATAGAAAAATACTGAGTATAATAAGCACTTCCATATGCCATATAACAGGCATACAACAGTATTAACCGCGAACAACTGGATAACTTTGTGAAATTTTGCATACCTGACAAACTAGTGAGACTAGTTTAAATGTGAAATGAACAAACCTATTGTAAGGTACGTTTTCTAGGAGAATTATTTACAATGTTTGAATGTAAGATGGACTTAAGACAGGGTGATACACTATCTCCGGTACTATTTAATCTAGCTTTGGAAAGAGAGAAGTGGAAAGGCATTCTAAAAGTGGCGATGGTTCTGAATGGACTGCTATAGCTTAGGAAGAAGTAGAAGGAATAGAATAGTCTTAGATTAGATGACTTAAAAGAAACCTTCACTGCCTTTTTAAGTTCATTTACAAAATGTATAATTATTTTTATACTTTATAATAACAATTTCTTACCCAAAATTAGGCTCGTATTCTTCATCATCTGATGGGAAAAGTTCTGCGGGACCATCATCATTTTTTTTTAGCCTATGCTTTTTCAGTGTAGGAATATTAAATTCTCCGAGCTAATAAATTAAAATAGCCATTAATTAATAACAATTCAATTTGAAATTAAAATAGAAAGTACTTACCACAATATTATTTGTTATTTTCCGAGCAACTTGCTGCTGGTTTAATTTGAACCAACTATCATAGTATTGGGACATAGGTGTACCAGATAATTTAATATCAGCTTCCCATACTTCAATAGATTTTAAATCATAAAGTGAAATTCCACTTTTTCCACGTTTTTCACTAATAAAAGTTGATGTTTCTTTCACTTTGTCCAATAAAGTACGTAATTTTCGGGTATAATTTATATTTTTACAATTTTTAAGAAATTCCTTCATCTAAAGAAGTATTAAAACAGTCAAATTAGCAATAGGTAATCTGTTTTTTTTTTTTTTTTGTCTAAGTTGCAGGTGTATAATAACACTAACTTTAATTATAAATGGTACCACCAAATCAGGAAAACTAATAGTATGCGCTTCTATAACAAGATATTCCATTAAAGTACCATGTACACTTTCTATTACTGCATCCTTAAATACATTTTCTTGCAATTGTGATTTAGACAGACGCAATATACAAGTAAAATCCATTGGTCTCATAGATGTTTTTGAATGCTTTTTTTGAAAATCCACTATACTCAATACCTAAAAAAAAAAAAAAAATTAATAATTTTGTTGTTGTAATGCTATTTATTAAATACCTCTAAAATATGTGGTAAAATTGGTATAAATTTACCAGTTTCTTTGCTGATTTTAGTCAGCATAGAAATACAGTGAAATCTTAATGGCAAATATTGTACTGTTGATATAAGTTTAGTACATCCAATAATTATCTAAACAAAATACATAATACAATATAATTTTACGTAATAAATCAAATAATCATGAAATAGATAATTCATAATACTTTTTATTACTTGTATAAGAGGATAAACTAGAGTTTGCAATTGCTTTTTATTCAATGAAGAACACAATACATCTACCCATAACTTAAGTGATGATACATACTGCCAATTGTAAACTGATTGTATATTTTCCTATATAATTAGAATAAAATAATCTACATTCAAAAATTAAAACATTTAATCTAAATTTAGTTCAAATACCTTTTTCTTTAAAGTTACAGCTGATCGTAGATGAATAGCCAATTGTCTTATGTACAGAAATGCATGATTATAAGATACAGGTTCACTAATTATAAACATTTCTGCTAAAGATTGTCTCATAAAATTAATACCAGGTAAAGAATTTGGAGTAACAAATTTGCTGTTAGCGATATATCCAACATACATAGCCTACATAAAATATTATTTACAATGTAATAACTTTGTTGTTAATTAATAATACCATTTAATTATACCTTAAGAACCATTTCTAGATAAACAGATGTATCACTATTAGCTAACTTTAATAAACATAAGAAAGCCAAAACTTTGACAGTTTCACTTTCACTGGCACTCCACAATGCTATCAATCTTTTTAAACCTGGTTTTACAATTGTTGGGAGACATGATAAAAATGGTATCATTTGATGAAAATGTTTTAAAAGGACACATGAAATGTCTTCACTAGAAACATTATTCAACAGCTGAAAACATAGTTAAATAATAAATAAACAACCACATTTATAAAAAAAACATGTCCGTTACAACAAATCCATAACAATATGATATAAAAATATAATAAACAAATATTCCAAAAGGAAACTTGGGTTATTACTTAATTAAAATCAAAATCAAATCTTAGACTAACCTTAGTCAGATCAGTTAAGTATGAACGCAGAGTCATTTTAACTTTTTTCCACTGTTTCGATTTAGAAATCATAATTTGTGATGGTGAACCAAGAGGAAGTTTTAAAAATTTCAAAATAGCAGGATGTAAATCAAACATACACATTTGAAGCACTCCATTGAACACTAAAAATTTAAATTATCAATACACTAACTAATAATATATGTGAATTAAATTTAAAAGATATAATTACCTGAACTTCCTTCAACTTTATAAGGTGTAGGTTTGTTTATTTCAATTGGTGTTACTCGTTGAAGTGCTGCTGTCATTGCTTTAGTTGCTGCAGTTATGTAGCTTAATTTTTGTTTTCTAAAATAATAATATATTATATAAAATATGTTTACTAATGATAATTTAAAAATTGAATTTTACGAATTTTGAAGTTTTTCTCTCCATATTTGTATCATAGATAACGTAATAACAACAACATCCCTTCCTTCATTACTGGGACCTTCATCAAAATCACTTTCATCACTTCCAACCTAGAATGTCCATTAAAATACTGTTATAACAACTATTGTCAAAAGATAAATACGGTGACAGTGACAGCAAATGTTAGGTCTTACAGCTGCCATGTAAACACACTTATATTCTTTGTTTCCAAACTACTATTAATCTCAATAATCTTATAAATTTATAATCTAAAATAATGCTCTATCTAATGGTATGGTTAAACATAATTACTTGGAATTCAACAATTTTTTTACCTACTAATGCTTTTAAACCTTACTCTTAATGGACCATTAACTAGAAAAAATAATATCATTGGACATAGTGATCAAAATTAATATCCAAGTCCTTTGTTTTAAATATTATAAATGTAATAAATGAAATAGGATTAGACCCCTTCTTCCCGTACTGGTAATAACAATTATTTTAATTATTTTAAAAATTAGTTTATCTTTTAGACACCTAATTTACTTTTTCACGTTTTCTAAAATTACATGTCAAAATACTGTACTAATATTTTAATGTCTCTTGGTAATAATTTAGTTATTAAGGATTTATTTTAGTAAGATTATAACATTTATACTACTCCCCATCAACAAAAATGCCGAAAGTCCAAAACAATTGAAAAAAACGAATTACATAGGTACATCAAAAATCTTAAAATTCAGACTTTTTAAATCAATAAGCCATGTCTGAAATATTAGGTATTCTATAAAAACAACTATTGGTAATATTTATTTTGAAAAAATGCAGTAAATGGTCGAAAAATTCATTTTTACTAGGTGAAAATATATTACAAAACTACATTTATTTAATAAAGATACAACATTTTTGCTTATAGTAATATATTAATCAACAAATCGTCAAAATATAATAATATAAAAGCTTTATAAATGATACAATATTAGTAGAGCTTGGAAGTTATAGGAGTTGCATATTTTTCTGTAAGAATTTATAGCAGACCAAGCTAGAAATACTTTCTAAAAACTAAAACAGACAAAAAAATCTCCACAGAAAATAGATTAATTATATTTTAATTTATACAAATCAATTAAAAAAATAACTAAACTCCAGTTAATATTCTTAAATTAATAAATTTATACATAACTTACTTCCAAGTTTTCGGGAGGCTTGTGTAATTTTTCAGACTTTATTCCTTCTATATCATCTTCATCATAATCATCATCATTGTCTTCTCCATCATCTGTTATTTTAGTTAAATTTTTGTCACATTCCTTTAAATACTTATAAAATTCTGGGTCTGAAGTTTTCAATTTTTCGACTTCTTCATCTAAACCATCACTGTCATACACTTCACCATCTTCACTATCATTTAAACTAGCATTATCAGATTCACCTGAAATAAAACAAGCATAACATATATATATATGTACATGGTATATAATTATTAGTACACTTTTACTGACTGTCAAATTGAATTGCATCCATTGATCCGTCCGAATCATTATTACTGTCACTATTTGTTTCGACATGTTTGGAAACTAATTTCGAAGACTTTTTTGTTAATTTCTTCTTTTTTAGTTGTACATTTTTCTTTGTGACGTTACTTGGGGCCATGTTTAGAAAAATTTGATTCTGAGTTCGATTCTTTGGCAAAACAATAACAAAAGTGTCTAAATCCTGTATACTTATCTATGGATCTCAACATAGAATTATTGTATTATGTAGCTCTGTATTTATGTAGAACCAAATGGATAAAAAGTAAACACTAATCACCTCTCACCATAGACATATTACATTATTAACTAAAAAAAAATTTTATGTTAAAAGGTCTAGCCTCTCACTAACATAAACATGACAAACACGTGTTTTGAATTTTGTTATTATCAATTTTTGAAAATATTCAAAAACAGTGTGGTCTCATAACATATCAAATTTTAACATTTCTTTTTCAAAAAAACAATATATCTGTGCCTTCTTTATAACAAAAATAAACATATATTCTTTTTATAATTCAATTTGTAGATTTTGCTTTTTAATTTTTATATTTCTGTAAGACCACATTAAATACCATAAATCATAAACAAATTGAATATATATATTATGTAGAAAACAAAACTTGGTTTAAATTATAAATAATGGTAGCACTGTAATAGACATTTGTTGACAATTTTCGACTTTTCCGGTTAATTTGTAGTCCTTGGTTTTATCTTCTACTGTTCATTGTTTTGTCCATTTTTCGCGGTTTTAACGTTTGTTGTTGGTATAGAATTGTATACATTTAGGACTGGAACATTAATAAATTGACTTTAAATTATTTTCGTCCTTGTTTGCCATTATTTTCATAATTTACAACATTTACTTAATTTTAAGTTTTATTCTATTTCAAACAGTTGGTAAGTGTTGAACGTATGACATTTTCTATAGTTTTTTGTATGTTATATAATTACTGTCAATAAACATGTTTAATTGAATGTATTGTTATTTTAGAGGTATAACTTGATTATATATTAAAATGGATAGTCCAGACATGGATATTGATGATGACAGTTGTGATCCTGTAGAAAATACAAAATTGCCTATTAAAAAAGTCTTAGATAACATTGAAACTGTGAGTATGATCTTTAAATAAGGTATAGAGGTACTTCATGTTAATTTATTGCTTGAAGCCAGTGGTCTTATTTCTAGTTCTGTATATATTTAGTTTGTCCCAATAATTTTAATGTGTTACAAAGTTTTAAAACTATTACTGTTTATACTATTTTATTTAGCATGCAATAATATGTATTAAATTTAAAATTAAATTAATAATTAGTTTAGAGTCTTTGTTAATTTCATAGTTATTATAATTATTTTGCTAAATTAATTGTAAAAAAAATCTTTACAACACTGTAAATGTAAGTTTTTTTTCTGAATCCATTTAAAAACCCAATAATTTGAGAAATTATTTGTTATCTATTTTGAAGTTGTACATATAGTTTATTTGAATGTTGAGAAATATCAGTTAAAAATGCTAATGAACATAAAAATTGTTTATCGATCATTTGATTTTTAAAATAAATAAAATGTAATGTTTGTTTTAAAAAAATTTAGTATTTTATCAAACAAAATAAAAAATTTTTGAGGCACTTTCTGCGACTTCATCAGCGTACATCTGTGTGCAATAATAAATCACTATACTCTCATTCACTGTTCCAAATATTTAATACAGTTGGGGTAATTTAATTTACGGTTGCTTCCTCTAATTAGGTTAGAAATTTTAAATGTTGTATTCATAATGTCATAAAGTCATTATTTTACCATCTAATGTTTCTTGGTGAATAATGCGATGTATTGCAGGAACTTTAATATTAGATTTGTGTAATAAAACAAAAAAACCAATATTTTTGTGAACCATAGTTTTTTCATTATCTGTCACAATTAATGACAATTTTTTAAAACCACTAAAGGGTTCAATTGCAGTTTTTACAGTATTAAATATTTAATTTCCTTTGGTAGTTCCATGTAAGGAACACAACTCCAATTTTTTGTCATACAGTTCAAACTATGGAAAAATAACTCTGGCAGATATTATAAGTTTACTTACATCTAAAACATCTGACACAGATGGAAAGCACAGGCTTTCATCCAATGCTATTGAAAAATATGCGCAATTTTTCATTATAGTTTCCAATGTTTTACGAATGATACTATTAATGTCAGATATACTACATTTCACTGTGTGTCTTTAAAATGATATTCTTTCAAATTCATACATAATTTTGTTTTCATTTATTGATTTGGCAATTTTACTGCAGTTTTTAACAAATTCGCAATCATCCAACGATTTCTTAGATTTTGTTATTTCATTAGATATAATATATGCTGCCAGTAAAAAATTTGATTGTTATTATGTTGTTATTATCATTACATTTTGTCGAGATTGGAATTTTCTTTTAAGATCATTTACATCACTTTCTTGTGATACCGATGTATGTTTCATAAATTTTAGTACTGCAATAATGTTTAAACTAACTGAATATTGAAATTTTTTTGTTTAATAATAAATGAATACTTATTCTCTCATAAGCTGTTAAAAGTTCTATTTTCATCATCAATTTTACGCATTTTAGCGGACATTTTTGAAATGCTACAAAACATGAAAATAATAAAACCAATACAATCGTCTAACGAGACATGGCAGATACGACTAAACTAATAACATAAGTACATATTGGCTATGTTAACTATGTCTCTATAAATAATATATATTAGCTTATTATATTATTTTATTATTATATATTATATACGCTGCAATTTAATACTATATTCTGTGCATTTAGAGAGTGTAAGTCGGTAGCAACAAAAACGCGCATTTTGCGTGTGATGGTTGACGACGGTCTACTAGTGGAGAGAAATTAACACTGCAGAGCGCTTTTATTTGTATGCGTGGCTGAGTTGCACTCTCTCAGCATACTGAGTATAGATAAGAATTCATATCTATGTTTTACGATAAATATTATATCAATTTTGTAAATATAATTAAATAAAATACAGTTGATTCTTAAAATTTTTTAAAGAAATTTGTAATTGTAGCCTGAGCCACTGAAAAATGGTACACAGGCCGTCACTTGTCCATCTATGCATTTTCCAATATTTTTAAGTTTAGTGTTAATCCCCAGAGTTTGTCAATGATACAATTTTTTATCCTTAGAATTAAACTTCAATCTTTTTTATAATAAATTGAAGTTTATTTTAATATTTTACCTGCTCTTTACTATCTCATATTAAAGTCTTACTAAAACAACTGTTTCTTTGATATTCGCCTTAATTTATAATATTCCAAGTAATTTCCTTTTCACCATTCCTTTATAATATCTACACCTCAGATTTGGCTACATCTGAAATGAATGAAAATAAAATGCACGGAGTCTGTACAGATAGCACTATACTCTTAAACATCCCCAGATCATCTTCCTGCCAGTCATAAGTTACAATCACACCTGAATACTTTACATCAATTGTTCACTAACCGGAAAAATAAAAATAAAATAGTTCTTCCTTGTCACCTTCTCACTTAGGTTTCAGCTGTCCACCAGTAACAATGAACAATACCATCATCTCACATTTATCTGAAGTGAAGTACCCTAGGTTCATAATAGATAGATGATTAACTTGGTCACCTCATCTCAAGGATAAATAGCTAAACTCTGGATTACACAGATTTATTAATTTTATTTTGTTAAGCCACGTGGTACTTCTAATATGAGACATGTTTCCTCTGGCATTGTCATTTTTAATTACTTATTATACATATTATATAAATAGTAATTTCTTACAAAAATAATATTTATCAATTATAGAATGATTCTGAATCTGAAGAAGAAGGTGCATCTACATCAAAAGACAAAGATGAAGTTTCTGGTGCCAAAATTGTAAGACAAATTATTTTACCACACTTATTTTATTTTTTAATTAAGTGTATATACGCTTAAAAAAAAAAAAAATAATAATAATATTAATTTTATAGGAAACTGACCGTGGAAAAAGGTTTGATTACCTTCTCAAACAAACTGAGATATTTGCTCATTTTATGACAGCTAATCAAAAAAAAGATGGATCGAGCACTGCTGGCGGTGGGCCTAAAAAACCCAAGGGTAGACCCCGAAAACCGAAAACTGAAGCCGAAGACTCTGCAGAGTAATTAAAAATTAAATAAATTCTTTTATTATAATTAAATATTTCTTAAAAATTACTATCAAACAAATATGTGTATGTACAGTACATGTATAAGAGAATACTGTGTTATAATTTATACCTGTTTTTAAGTTTAGTGCTGTACTTTATTATCAGTACAAATTTATGAATGTACTTTGAATGTTTTTAATAATTTTGATAATGTAAATGTATTTGGTTGTTATTAAGACATCGATTTTGAGATATTTCTAAGTGAATAGATCAGATGATCTAACTATAGAGACCTAATCATAGAACACTTCCACACAAAACAAATTAGACTTCCTTAAATACAAGGATTTTCTTTTGTGTAATTTTTTTTTAATACAATTTGTAATATTTATTTCATAAAGACAATTTTATAATTAATAATTGACAGCGGTGCAGAAATAATGTGTTATGTAGTATTTATACATTCATACATTATAGTATCGAAGAAAATTAAAAATAAATTATATTTTCTTTTGAATATTCTTTAGACTGTAAGTTTTTAATCTAGTATTCATTATTTTGTCAACTGAAAAAGGATCTTTGTACAGCACATCTCAATTGTTGACAGTTTTCAATTTTTCAAGTTTATACACAATGACTATGTGTAATGAAATTCTAAATTTACATTTTGAATTCTAAAAGTAAATTGAGATTACTTCTTAGCACCTAATTTTGCCAAAAAAGGGTTTCATAAGATGTTATTCTCACATACCCTTCAATTATGAAAATATGCTGCATATTTTACTTTAAAGCCACTGTCCATAAAAATGTTTGAAAACTTCTAAGAATAAAATAGATTTGTGAGAATTTTACATCAATTCATATCTTAAATTAATTTACTTGATTTTAATAAAACTACTAATTATAGTCTAAATATTTTTTTTGTTAATAAAAAATGTCTATATTCATATGTGCAGTCTTCGTCACCGTCAAACTGAACAAGAAGAAGATGAAGAATTATTAAAAGAGTCATTGGCAGCAGACAAATACATTACACAATTTGATGAATCTCCTTACTATATACAGAATGGCGAATTACGTGATTATCAAGTACGAGGTTTGAATTGGATGATATCACTTTTTGAAAATGGCATTAATGGTATACTTGCTGATGAAATGGGTCTTGGCAAAACGTTACAAACCATATCACTTCTAGGGTAAATAATATTATTTATACTTAAAATTTTAAGAAAAAGCTCAAAATTTGGTCTATTTTGTAAATGAATATTTGTTTAAAAATAGACTTTGGAAATTAAAGTACTTATAATCATTCAAAAAAAACTTCTTTATTAAGCCTCTAAAAGCTTTAAAAGTCTTAAGTGTTGAAATAAGAGCACTTAAAAAATAAATTAAATTCAAAAAAAAAATATAGATATATATTAAAACTTTTGTAAATTATATTCATGGATTTTTGGTTCCATGCCCAAGGATGCATGGCACACAAAGTAAATAAAATACCAAAAACCATGAACATTTGATAAAGGATGCTGAACTGTACAAATAAGGGTGGTCCATAATTATTGCAAATCACTAGAATACGCTTTGGTCAGTAGTGATTTTGATTTTACATGTAAAGCATACAAATTTTATTGGTGTTTTATTATTATAACGTAAATGACAAAATGTTTAATTATTATATTAGACATATGTATGTATATATTTGTTAACATTTTTTCAAAATCTGTGTTTTTTCTGTTACCTACTCAATGTGGTTTTGCACAACGAATTCAGTAAATGAGAAATTATTCATTGTATATAATTACCTGAAGTTAGTTCTTTATGTAAGATAGGTTGATAGGTATATATTGTATAAAATAATGAGCGAAAATTTACCTTATTACCTAATATAGTAAATCAGTCTTGTAATTATGATTTTTACAAAAATTCTAGCCTTTTTCTCAAATCAAAATGTGAATTATTCTTGGAAACACATCTAGTCAATTGAGGACAATTTGGTCCTAAGTTATTATTTATTAGTATGTTTTACATGTAAATTTGACATTACTAACTGTAGTGCATACTAGTGATTTACAATATTTTAAATCACATTTTTTCACTCTGGCTGTCTGTATTTGATGTCCTTTCTCTAGTGTTAATGCCAAAAACAATTACAATTTCATTGATTATACAATCACAGGGCAAACAAATAAGGGGGTTCAGCAGTGACTCTCAAGGTAGAAAATATGTCAAAAAAGCAGGGAAAAAACTAATTAAAAGCATTTATTTATTTAAAAATTATCAAAAATGTTTATGATTATGACATGAAATAAATTTTAATAGATCATTTAATATTGAACCAAAAAAATAAGTAAATGCTGACTTACAGCTGAACTCTAAATAGTCTGAATTTTTTTTTTTGTAAATTATTGAAAATAATGTATTGTACTAATTAAACACCAAAAACTAAATATTTGATTTTGATTTAATATATTTTTAAAATATTTTTACACATTTTTAATAAAAATAACTCATAGGATAATGGGTTTGGGTGCAGCCACTGTTATAGGTGAGAAGTAGGGAAAGTAGTAGAGGAGAAATTCAATGTAAGTGTCAATAAATCATTGCTAAAAAAAAAAAAAAAAAAAAAAAAAATATTCAGAGCGATGTTTGATTTGTCAATAATATATATTTCATAATGATATGCATTATATATTTTATTTAATAATTTATCGGAAAAATCAAAAAATGACCTCCCTTAAGTACCATCCCAGCCGGTTTTTTTTTTTCAGAAAAAGTGCAATCATTGTAAATTGGAGCAAGATTTTTGGTAGAAAAGTTTTTAACAAATCATTGTAAAACTAAAGTATTCTTCCGTCCACTAAGAATCTAAAATTTTTTTACATAGTTGTTTAAATTTATGTTATGTTAAATAAAGTTAATAGTAATACAAATTATTGTTTTTTATGCAGGTATATGAAACATTATAGAAATATACCTGGACCCCATATTGTTATTGTTCCCAAATCAACATTACAAAATTGGGTAAATGAATTTAAGAAATGGTGCCCTACAATTCGAACAGTGTGCTTAATTGGTGATCGGGATGCAAGAGTAAGTATTTTTATTTTAAATATATATGGACAGTGTCCAATTTTCAAAATATCTATAGTTATAATGATAAAATACAGGTTGTAATAAGAATTTTTAACAAATTTTAAATTGTAATTGTAGAGCAATAAGTTTAATGAAAAAAAAAAAGACTAAAAACAAAACGAAACAAATTATTTGAATAAACCAAATAAATTGATTATAAAATACTTGATTGTTACCAGAATACATCAAAATGTTTATTAGATTATTCCACACGTAACTTTGAGAGTAATTTGGAACACAATTTGTCAATATGTTATTTAATATATTGAAAAGAATAGAGTTTGTGTATACATAAATTCAGTGTGTTTAATATTAACTTTTCTAATATATTTTATTATCCAATAAGTGTAGGGGGGATCTAAGGGTATTACAATTAAAGCATATGTAACAAAGGATTGTTTTGTATTTTTTCTAATCAATCACTTTGTCCAATTCATTGGATTTCTAGATTAATGGAGCATATTCGAGTAAAAATCAGATAAGAGAAGTGTATAAACATTTAAAGGTGAAGGGATCATTAAATTCAGTACAATTTCATTTAATTGTACCGCAAATAAATTATGCTTTATTTTGAATTGTGGATATGTGAGAGTTAATTTGGAATCAAACAATACACCTAAATCATTAATTAATGATGATCATGGTAAATTACTCTTAAATACAAAGTAATTGATATATGTTTTTTTATGAGAATGTAACCACTGGACATTTGTTAATATTCAAAGAAAGATAATTTTTAGTGCAACATTCATTAAACATATTCAAATCTTTTTGTAATTATAATTATCTTCTATAGATTTAATGGTTTTAAAATGTTGGCATTATCAGCAAATAAAAAATTTTTAGATTAAGTGATTGAAAAAACAATATCCATCATTAATGAAAGTAATAAAAGTGATATCATCTTGAAGATCATTAGAAATATATTAATATAAATATAATTTTTTTTCTATTTTTCTATAAATCCAATATAAATTGTAACAGTACTAATAAAAATAAACAAGACAATTATTTAAAATTTACAAGGCTTTCGAAAATATATATTGTATTTTTATATTCTTATTTCTATGGTTACCTATTAAAAATTAAGTTTATTTTGTAACCAATTGTTTAAAATTCATAAATTTATGTACTGTACAAGTTTTATTAAAAATAGTACAATTTAGCTCATGAGCAAAAAACCACTTTTATACCAGAAACCTTTTTCCAATCTTCAAATGTAGTATCTTTTCTTAAATTTAATTTTATCAAGTTGGTGAATTGATTCTCCTTAAGTTATCTTACTAATTAGAAAACTAGGAAAAAATGAATTATACAATTATAGTTTTGTTATACTTGATTATGTTTTTCGTTGTTATTCTGTTTTTAATTAATTTTTAAGACCTAAAATTATAGTGGAAACTTGTATTTACTCTTTCTAGATATGGAAAAATAATTTTAAAAAAAATCTCATGATTTTTTGAGTTCTTTATAGTGTGAAATTTTCCGATTTTTATTTAGAAAAAATTGTTTTAGTTTGGCTAATATGCTCAACAATTTAACATGTATTTTGTGTAAATAAAATTTTGTTAAAAAATCGAAGAATTAAGAAAAACTGTTCATAATCGTTTTTCATTAACAATGGTATATTGTTATGTACAGATAAACATTATATTGATTTGTGTATCCTACTTTTCAAACTTTCCACTTAAAACAACGGTACCTTCAGCAATATCAGCCTTTTTTTAAAAAAAAAGTTTGTATTATTTTATGATATATAAGGTGAATTATAATTGTTATTGGAAAAGAATCCTAAAAAGAATTGAAGGAAATTAGTATGAATAGAGAGGAGTGAACTAATCTACAGATTGTTAAATAATTTTAAGAACATTCAAACTTTGTGTACTTAATAACTTTATACCATAAATAATCTAATATAATCTTTAATATTTATTTGTTATTATAATTTAAAAAAATGTATTTTAGATTAAATTTATACGAGAAGTATTTATTCCTGGTGATTGGGATGTTTGTATCACATCCTATGAAATGATTATTCGTGAAAGAGCAGTATTACGAAAAATTCAATGGCGTTATTTAGTTATTGATGAAGCCCATAGAATAAAGAATGAAAAAAGCAAGCTTTCAGAAATACTAAGAGAATTAGACACTGCTAATCGTTTACTATTAACTGGAACACCATTACAAAATAATTTACATGAATTGTGGGCATTATTGAACTTTTTACTGCCAGATGTATTTAATTCATCAGATGTAAGTAACGAAAAAAAAATATATATTTATATATTAATTTAAATTTATCTACAGGATTTTGATTCATGGTTTAACACAAATAATTGTTTTGGAGACAATGCATTAATTGAACGGCTCCATGCTGTAAGTATTTTAATAAATATATATTTATTATAACAAATAAAATATAATTTATTGTTTTATTATATGTACATTTAATATTGTTTAGGTGTTAAGACCATTTCTCTTAAGAAGATTGAAAGCAGAAGTGGAGAAACGTTTAAAGCCTAAAAAGGAAGTCAAAGTTTATGTTGGCCTTAGTAAATTACAGCGAGAATGGTAAATTAATACTAATAATAATAATATAATAATTTTTATTTTATGGAAATAAATTCCAATTTCAATGAATAATTTATTTATTCTAGGTACACCAAAGTTTTAATGAAAGATATAGATGTAGTTAATGGTGCTGGCAAAGTAGAAAAAATGCGGCTTCAAAATATTCTTATGCAGTTACGGAAATGCAGTAATCATCCTTATCTTTTTGATGGTGCAGAACCTGGTCCTCCATATACTACTGATGAACATATTGTATGCACTATTTTATAATCGTTTGAATTAAATATAAAATAAATAATTTCATATTATTATATTTTAGATTTACAACTGTGGAAAAATGGTTGTATTTGATAAATTATTGAAGGCTTTGAAAGAACAAGATTCTCGTGTTCTTGTGTTTAGTCAAATGACACGTATGATGGATATTTTAGAAGATTATATGCATTGGAAAGGATATAATGTACATATTAATTTTATTAAAAAAAAAAAAGAAAAATTAAAGAAATATAATATAATTTGTTTAACAAATAATAATATTATAAATTATTATTTTTTATTAGTATAAATCACATTTTATAATTTAATACTATTTTAATTTTCAGTATTGTCGATTGGATGGGCAAACACCTCATGAAGATCGTCAACGCCAAATTAATGAATATAATGAACCAAACAGTAAAAAGTTTGTTTTTATACTTTCTACTCGAGCTGGTGGTTTAGGTATTAATTTGGCTACAGCTGATGTGGTAATTCTATATGATTCAGATTGGAATCCACAAATGGACTTACAAGCTATGGTTAATATACATGTTCATTTGAATTCTAAATTAACCTAAAATTATTATTATTAAATTGCTATTATTAATTTTATTTGTAGGATCGAGCTCATCGAATTGGCCAAAAAAAACAAGTGAGAGTTTTTCGTTTAATTACAGAAAATACTGTTGAAGAAAAAATTGTTGAAAGAGCTGAAGTCAAGCTTCGATTAGATAAATTAGTTATTCAACAAGGTCGATTACTTGATAATCAGAAAAATGCTCTAAATAAGGATGAAATGTTAAATATGATCAGGCACGGTGCAAATCATGTTTTCCAATCTAAGGATTCTGAGATAACTGATGAAGATATTGAAACTATATTACGGAAAGGAGAAGAAAAAGTACAAATTGTATTTATAAGCTTAATTTAGAATGTTTTTAATGATCATTGTTATAATTTAGACTGAAGAAATGAAACAGAAGTTAGAATCACTGGGAGAGACATCATTAAGGAATTTCACTTTAGATGCTCAAACTGAGTCATCATTGTATACATTTGAAGGCGAAGACTATAGGTATATAATTTGTATTCATCATTTAAGTCTAAGTTAAATAGTATGTATTAATTTATAACTATATTTAAATTATACTTGTAAAAAATGTGTTTATTTTATTTGAAAAAAGTTTAAAAGAAAATAAAACCATAAATGTTCACAATTAAATATTTAATATCTATCCATAAAATATTCTAACTATTATAACTTGTTTACAGAGAAAAGCAAAAGTTAATTGGAGTTGGTAGTTGGATTGAACCACCAAAACGAGAACGTAAAGCAAATTATGCTGTTGATGCTTATTTTAGAGAAGCCCTTAGAACATCTGAACCAAAACAACCTAAGGTATTTATACAAGTTATAATTTCATTTTAGATTTACTGCAACAAGTATTTCTAGGCCCTGAGGCAACAATCTTAATGCCCATTTTTTTTTTTTATAATTGGAAAAGTAATTTACACATGTCACATATCTATCACATATCAAAAACTAATTCTTGTTTATAAGTTTGTGAGGTCTACTATAATTTTGCTCAAAGTTAAATAAATCTGCAATACTTTTTTGGTCTATGTTTAGTACTATGATATTTGTTAAGCTGGCTGATTAAATTTCTCAAACAATTTTTAATTAATTATCAGCTTTGAACATGATTATTCTGCATTTATTGTTACTGGAAATGACAAATAACACACAAACGCCCAAAACCTAAATAAACAAAATAACTTGTTGCAATCGGTAGTGAAACCTTTTTCTAGAAAATATATAAAACCAAATATTGAATATATTTTAATGTTTAATCAATTATTAAAAAGATATAATTAAGCTAGTTAACTCAGAACTATCATCTGATTTGTACATTTGTCTAAAAACATAAGACTTTCATAGTTTTGATTCCTTTAGGTTTTACTATTGAATTTAGCTTTAAAAATTTAAATTTAAATTTATAGTATCAATAAGTGAAAAAAATGCTTTACCTTTAAAATTATAATTTAAGAGTACCATCTACAACATTTAAATATTTAATAATTATTGTCAAGTTTGTTAAATTAAATGGCATACCTTATTTTTCACATAATTTTTTTTTTTTGCTTTTTTTACACTATTAAAAATCATTTTTAAGATTTTTAATTAAAAAAATTATATCAATTGATCACGTGCATTTTGAACATACATATCAAGTTTCGTATCAATGATTGTAGGTAATATGGTAGATTACTATCTAAAGCTTATTGTTCATCCTATTTTTAAATTCATTTTTTTTTTTAATGGCGTTATTGTAAATTCAGAGAACAAAACAAAATCGTATACTTCAATTTAGCAGGGCAACACTGTTCACTTTCCCCTAATAAAACTGTAGGTAATACTATTTAAAAGGAAAATAACTCAATAATAACAAAAATGTGCAACTATAATGTTTTTGTATGATTTAGATGTTACTATTAATGTATTTATGTTAGTTTGGCAAAAACATTTGTAATTATGTTTTAAATTAATTTTTTTTTTTTATTAAATGACTATTATTTAATTCTGATATCTAAAATGTTTATTTGTTTTATAGGCACCTCGACCACCAAAACAGCCTTTGGTTCAAGATTTTCAATTTTTTCCAACTCGTTTATTTGATTTACTCGATCAAGAAATATACTACTATAGACAATCTGTTGGGTATAAAGTAAGTCAAAATTTGTTACCTAAATACATATTTGTACATTATATATATATATATATATATATATTATGATGGGAAAATACATTCGCCTCAGAAACTAAAAATTTAAAATAGCTAAATTGTAGAACAAGATTAGTAATTATAACATGAAAAAAAAAAACAAATATATATATTATTTAGACATCAGATCTTTTTATTTCACTCTGTATATAATTTTTGTATTTCTGTTATTTTTACCAGGTTCCAAAAAATCCAGAATTGGGTTCAGATGCATCTAAAATTCAAAAAGAAGAACAAAAAAAAATTGATGATGCACAACCACTATCTGAAGAGGAGCTAGCAGAAAAAGAGCTTCTACTCACCAAAGTAAATCTAATAAGTTTTATTTTTATTAGTTATATTTATATTTTTAATTATTGGTTTTTAGGGCTTCACTAATTGGAGTAAACGTGATTTTAATCAGTTTATTAAAGCCAATGAAAAATATGGCAGAGATGACATTGATAATATATCAAAAGAAGTAGAGGGTATAAATTAATAATTTTATTCAATGTTTAAAAGTTTTTAATTAATAATATTATTTGTATGAAAATAATTTCTATTTTAGGTAAAACTGCTGAAGAAGTAAGAGAATATAGTGCTGTATTTTGGGAAAGATGTAATGAGTTTCAAGATATTGATCGAATTATGGGGCAAATAGAAAGAGGAGAATCTAAAATTCAACGCCGAGCTAGTATAAAAAGAGCTCTGGATGCTAAAGTAATTTATTATAATTACTTATTAAAGGCATTATTTTTACTTTATAATAATTATGATGGAAAGAATTAGATATTATGATTCAACTTCTAAGTACCATAATTAGTAACAATTTATTTATATATTGGTCAATTTTTTTCTAATTTTAATATTACTATCGTTAATATGGGTTTATCAAACCATTCAATTATAATATATATATATTTGTTTACATAATATACGTACTTTTTAAGTATTTCATGTAGTAAATGTTAATGGATTTTACTTTAAACAGATGAAAAGATACAGAGCTCCATTTCATCAGTTGCGTATTTCATATGGAGCAAACAAGGGCAAGAATTATACAGAAGAAGAAGATAGATTTTTAGTTTGTATGCTCCATAAACTGGGTTTTGATAAAGAAAATGTTTATGATGAATTGAGAGCCGCTATAAGGTTGGTAATAAATCTGTAGTAATAATTTTGTATTAATTCTCAATATTTGATTTAGATGTGCTCCTCAATTTAGATTTGATTGGTTTATTAAAAGTCGTACAGCCAATGAACTGCAGAGGCGGTGTAATACATTAATTACTCTGATTGAGAGAGAGAATCAAGAACTAGAAGAAAAAGAAAGAGAACAAAAAAAACTACTTAAAAAGAATTTGAAGCCAGCTCCCTCTCCTGCAGCAGTTAAGAAGAAAATTGACAAAATAGATAAAGTAGATGTGAGCCAAGCTGATCTTAAATCACCAGTTCCAAAGAAAAAGAAGAAATAAGCATCTTTTAAAGATATTTTTCAAACTAAACTATTTTTTAAAAAAATTTTATTTTTAAATAATTAAAAAAATAAGTTTTATTGAACAAGTTTTCATTAAATTTTTGTTTAACTTAGATTAATTGGTTTTTTTTTATTATTTGATTACTGTATAACTTTGGTATTGTGTCGTCAATCCATACTAAAACATTCGAGCATAGAAAACCTCCAGAGTACATTACTATTTACTAGCAGATAATATAAATTATTTCATTATTTCAAAATATAATTTCAATTTTTATATTATTTGAGTGTTTAGTCTTTTAACCTTTATTAAACTTGTACATCCCATATTTAGTGTCTAATTAAAACTTACATATTATGTAAAATAGTTAAACTGGTGTAGTTTGTAATTTATTCTTAATCAGTCTATTTGTCTGTTAAACTGCAAGATGTAAATCTAATCATATAGATATTTCGGTAAATGGTTTTTAAAAGTAGAACTAATGGGTGACACTAAATTTATAATTATTTATACCTGTAAAGAAAAAATATTTTATATATGCCAACTTAATTTAATGAACATTTAATTTTTTTTAAATATTAGCGTTTATATAATCAAATAGGTTGCATATTGGACTATTACCACTAAATAATTAATCTTTCTTTTTCTTTGGGCTTTAGTGTATAATTACAAAATTAATTATCTGCAATATACACTTTTGTATAGTGAAAACTCAGCACTAAAAGTATTGAATGTTAATAATGTAAAAGAAAAACAACTAATATGATATGTATATACTTTTTTAAATAATAAATTATATTTTGTGTATTACCATTAAATGCATAAAGGTTTTTTTTAATTAATAAAAAATGAAATTATATTTTCAATAAAATGACAATCTAATGTTAAAACTGTATTAGCTTAAATCAATTGAACAGCACCTTTTTTTACAAATTCTGCAACTGAACTATAAGGCATTAAGTGCTGTGATCCATCTTCCAAAACAATTTCTTCTTCCTGACTTTCTAATGTGTTTTGTATAATGACACTGTCTATATGTTTATAACATTTTAAGAAAACAAAACTATTTAAATTAGGTTTAATAACCTTTTTATTCATGTCCAACTTATTATATAATTGAGGCATGTGTCGTAATATTGTGTCAAAATGATTATCAGCATTCTGAGCAAATTCTTTGGCAAATTTCAACTCTGCTGGGGATAAATATGCATCTGCTTCCAAACGATTTGATTCTTCTTCAAGCACACTAACACAAAAATATTCAATTTTTTTCAGCCTAGTTCGTAAATAGCTTGTTATGACAAATTTAATACGTTCCATTTCAAGTTTGTGTAAATCTACTTTTGGATCAGTTTTTGATAATTTAGCCAGATTATCTTCCATTCCTTTGATTTGTTCCAGCAAACAATCAACATAATCAGTTTGGTGTGGTAATATTTCTGGACTAAATTTTTCATTCAGCCATGCCCGTTCAACAATTTGTAATACCTTCTGTGCAGTCATCTCTTCTTGGTTGTCATCATCTTCATCGTCTATCAAGTCGAGGATATCAATGTCCATAATAATTCTAAAATAAAAATGAATACACATCACTGGATGAAAAATACTCTACATACATGTTTAATACTAATTAATTAATAGAGTATTCAATATTATGTGCATTATTCAAGTAAATTGAACCAATTAAAAACAAGTTAAAAAAATATATATGTGAATATTGAAAAATGTGTATTTTAAATAAACATATTGTTATACAGTTCAATGATTGACACATAGTTGTTATTATACAATATATTATATTATCATTTAAATGGAAAGTACAATATAGAATATAATTAATGTTTTTCATTTATTAATTATTATATAAAATTAATGTTTACAAAGCTTTTATACTATCAATGAGGGGACCTTTGAGTTTTTTCATTTTATGTACACCATCTGGATCTAATTTGAATATACTGTCAATAACAGAGATCTCTGTAGATGTCGTATCTGTACCGCAAACAGCACACCAATCATTCACTACCATCCCAGCACCAACAACATCTGAACCACGATTTACTGTACCAGCTACAAGAGGAACCTGAATTAAACCAGACAATTCGTCTAGGTCTTCCACAGTGGTCTTGGGATGAACTAGTCCACCTTGATTAGATATAGCGCAATATGAACCTACTAGGCAGTTAGATGCAACAGTTTGTCTGTATACTTCAACGTTTAGAGTATCTGAAAGTATTTCTTCAGTATCTTTGTCCAAATCTGGATGAACTAATGCTACATAGTCGTTGCACACCATAACATTTCCAAGGGCAGACAAACGTTCTTCTACACGCTGAACCTTAACATTGTCTGGCAAAGAATTACGTATATGTTGTAATTCAGTATCTGTTGTAGAATTAGGTAATAATAAACCATTTTTGTTGCCAACTGCCATACGGCCTACAATACGACATCCAGCAACAGATGCATGGATAACAGGTATAACGTCAGACAACTCTGATTCAAATACACTGTAGAAAGTTTCAGAAGCACCAATTCCAACTAAACAATATGAGTTGGTCAACTTGCTGAATACCCCAATTTCATTGTTGTTTTCAAACTGCGCTCTGACTGCCATTTTTGTTTTATAATAATATTCCCAACCAGTCCTGTATACAAAAATTGGTATGTATCACAAACAAGAACAATTTATATTAAATACTTCTAAAATCAAATTAATTTAAACAAAATATGTTTATACTTCTAAGATATAATTGAACACCTAACTATTAACAATCCACCTTCATAAATACATAAGTAGATGATATGATAGATACGACTTAAGACTAAGTATATTCATTATCTAAGCTTCAACTTAATCAAAAATATATTCTATAAAGACTGTTATGTAGCAAACCATAATAGTTCAACAATAAATAAAACACTGATATAAAATACAATTTACACATAGATTATATAATTATTGTATTAATTCCTTTCACATTAAATGTACGCAATGGATATGATTTAATTAAAGTATTTGTATTTAAAAATTACACATTGCAGAGCACATTGTTTTAATCAATATAAAATAATACATAAGTTAAAATAATGACCTGAATAACCTAAAATAATAAAGTATTAGGTACTAAAGTATAGAGAACAATTATTATTTTTGAAATACCTATTAAAAATAATTTTAATATAAGTCATTAATAATTAACAACTAAAAAAAGAAACAGTGTTTTTGGAAAAATTAAAGATGACACTATTTTTCTTTTATATCAAAAAAGTATCTTCCATTATAATAGTCTTGTACATTGTTATTTAAAAAACAAATTTATTTTTCACAATAAATCAAGTTCCTTGAACTATGCTTGGTAGGTAAATATTATATTTAACATTATTTAAAATTTACTTATAAATAATTTAAAATTAAAAAAACCATGTAAATAGTGTATTTCAATTATTTTGTAGAATTCACAACTCGTCACACGCAATTTAGTGGTAACATATTTTTCCACTATGTATACTTAAACGTAGTTTAGAAAATATTTTTTACTTACGTTTTCACTAATGCTGAATTATTTAAACTAGTAATTTATTTTGTAGGCTCACCTGTTGGCTATTGCGTTATATTTCTGTGGTTTACCAATTTATAATTATAAAAACCGTATAAATTTAAAACTAGATTGAATAGTGTAACTTCACTGTTCCAGCAATAAAAGATTTAACCTCAAAATTACAAAATGTAATTATTTTTTATTTTATATTTTATTAAATCCTTTTTCGTTTATAACATCAATTAGTAAGAATTAAACGATTTCGTTTTTCACGTTCTTAATTTCTAGTTAGTTTATAAGACGGTATCAATGGTAGTTGTATTAAAAGATAAAATTTAAAATGATAACGATATAACTATATATGAAACATATTTTTGAAATATCGTTTTATGTGACGTGTCTATTATTGAAAAATACAATATTATACTGTAATAGATCTAACTGATGTAACATTATTTACTTACCAAACACTTGAAAATTTATAACCAATTCATCATGTAGACCTATTGGTTTTGGCATTTTTGTAGTTTGTATTGTTAGAATATTAATGTAATAATAATTATTAATAATAAAACTAAGATTTATGATTCAACTGCCTAGTTCAGTTACCATCACCGAGAAACGGATGGAAGATGGTTTACACTCATTCAGGGCCATCACGTTCTTGGTATTATGGTATTTTTTTAGTGGATGTACACTTTTTTTGAACAAGTATATCTTATCTTACTTAAATGGAGATCCAACAGTCTTAGGTAAATATATTTATGCACAATATAATTCATATTTCTCTTTCAATGAAAGTTTTATTTAAGGTGCTTTTCAAATGATAATGACAACTATTTGTGGATTTATCCAATTGTATATAACATGTGGAATGTACAAACAACCAATACAACGATCAAAACGACCGCCAAACTTTTATATACATATGAGTTTAGTTGGTTGCACACGGTAAATTATTTATGAAATAGTGTTGCATAGTTTATATAAAGGTTTTAATGTAAATATATTTTCCTAACAGATTTATTACAGTACTTTTAGGACTTATATCACTCAATTATGTAGCAGTCAGCTTTACAGAAACAATTAAAAGTTCAGCTCCTATATTTACTGTATTCATTTCAAGATTGTTGTTAGGTAAGGTCAATTTTATTGAGGAAAAAGGAAAAAATTGTGCTTAGTTCTTAACTCATTATTAGGTAAATAATATAGATAATAGGTAACCAGATAAAAATTAAATCAATATAACAATATAATATTTGGTGTAGTTTCTTGATGTGTTTCTAATAAATGTGATCTACACACATTTTGTTCATTTTATACTTTAACATGTTTTAGGCAAAGATGAGCATTAATGAGTTAAAAAGTTTAGTTACCTTTAGCTTTGTCACATAACAAGTTTTTTTTTTTTTTTAATATAAATCTGCATTTAATCCTATATATTATGTATAATTACATTTTGTTTTGTACAAATTATTTTTATATAAAATCAATTAATCATTATCTGAAAAGTATTATTTATAATGTTATATTATTATGCATTATAAGTTTCTAAATTTAAAATTTCAGGCTATCAAATTGTTGGTCAAATTTTTGATCTAGGTGTAAATTGAATTTATCGATAGTTGTATGACTTTATACCTATGAAATATGTGAAATGACTTTTCCTTTGCCTTCACTCTAATTATTTGGGTTTCAGTTAAACTTCACCTTGAGCCAATCTCCCACTTCACATGCCCTGGCTATCATCCTTCATTTATTTTCATTCCCTTTCTTACTGGTCCAGATTTCTCTCCCTGCTAAACTATTCACATCTAAAAATATATTAAAGTGAGTACTTGTAATAATAGATCTTTTTTTTTTTTAATTTAACATCTATAATATTATAGTATTAGTTGAGCTTTAGAAAACTTATGATTGTATTATTAACTTTATTTTATGAAAAAAATAGTTAACCTGCCCAGCCTTGCTTTATTCTATACAATTAATTTAATTTGTTCACCAAATAAGTATCAGATAACAGCTACTATTTATATTAAAACTTTTAGGTACAGATATAAAATTATAAAAATTAACATAAATATATAATATTAATATTACAATATAGTTTAACAAATGATTGACATGTGTCAACTGGCGTGCATAGTATAAATAGTGGACCAGGATTTAAGATATACATTAGTATGTATGTATGTGTACATGTATTTATACGTATCTTAAATCTTATTGTGAACTATAAAATTATAAGTAATGAATATTTTTATATTGCATTGGTTAGGTCCTAGCTAAGTAAGTTAGATAGGTAGACCACATATTGAAGGTAGCGCCATATATTTAAATATTTTATTTTATAAAATTATTTACTTAAATATTTATCTGATTAATCTTAATTGTATTATTTGAATTTTAGGAGAACAAACAAGTTTTCTGGTAAGCTTATCTTTAGTTCCTATAATGGTTGGCTTGGCGTTATGCTCTTCAAATGAAATCTCATTTAATATACCAGGATTTATAGCTGCCCTCGCAACCAATTTTACTGAATGGTAATATTATTTTGTTTTGTATTACATTTTAATAATAATTATTATAATTTATTCTACTCAGGTTAATACAATCATTATTTATATTATACATTTTTTAAATTTAGTTTGCAAAATGTGTATTCAAAAATGTTGATCAGTGGTGATAAATTTAAATACACGTTAGTATAAAATAATGTATCAAATTATAGTATTTATTTAAAAATCAATCCAAATTTTAATGCACTTATTTTCCCTTTTTCTGATTCAGGCCTGCTGAGTTACAATATTATACAAGTTTAGCTTCAATTATTATTCAAATTCCTGCATCATTAGTATTAGTTGACATAAAATATGCTATGTATAATACTAATTTACATCTTTTACTTATGTTCATATTAAATGGAATTTTCTTCCATTTTCAAAGTATTACAGCTTATGTTCTTATGGATTACATAAGTCCAGTTACCTATAGGTAATGACTTTTTTTATTTTAAATTCAAAAATATTAAGATCTAATTATACAATTTTTTTTAAAAAATTTAATCTAGTGTGGCCAATACTGTTAAACGTGCATTTCTCATATGGATGTCTGTTATATTGTTTGGAAATTCTGTTACTCTATTAAGTGGACTTGGTACTATTATTGTTATTGCAGGAGTTGTGATTTATAATAAAGTAAAACATTGTGATATTAATCGTCAATCAATCGATGTAAGTTATAATAAAAATTAGTTAAATTTTATTTATATTCAATAGTTATAAAACAATTTTGTTCCAATCAATAACATTAGTTGTTTCTGGTAGCAAATTTTGTTTAGTTGGTGTTTTAGTAAATTTTTGATTTTCTTTGTAGATTTCTAAATAATGGGGAAAAACACCTGTAAAACAGTAATATTTTTACAAGCATAGTTTTTTTTTTTTTAATGTAATTAAGTCAAAAATAATTGTGATAATATTTAAAATTTTCACTCAATATTATATTAGCACATTTAAGAAGTAGTACAATTTTCAAAATCTTTGGACAGTTATTGATAACTATTGAAATGTTTGAATTTTATGTGGATGACAATTTTATAATTTAAAAAATGTATAATTCTAGTTTAATAGCGATCAATTTTTTTTCCAAATGTATCTTCTAAAAGAAAAAAAAACAATATTTATCTCTGTCTCTGCTCAAAATCTAAAAGTTTAAGACATACAACTTCAATAAATTCTTATTGTACATAGATATGTCAATTGTCAGAAAATTGTCTGCATTCTTACATTTTAGGAATTAATAAAATTTATTTTCATTTATTATTGTATAGTTTTTAATTTATTAGTTCTGTATTTTCATTTTATATTGAATGTTTTTTAATCTTATTTTACACTGTACAAATTTATTTTAAGATCATTTTTTAATTTTTAGGAATATGATAAAAAACTGATGATTTCGCCTTTCAAAATCCGGACAATTTAATAATTGCATTAAAGTATGTTTATAATGTCGCTATATTATATTATTTGGAATTAATTCTTGGTATTGTATAATTTATACAAATATTTATACATTTTTATTGATGTCGTCAAATACATTTTTTTGTTATAAATTGTAAAATTATTGTATACAAAAATAAAATATTTATAAATAAATATATAAATTATTGTGAATGACATAACACAATTATAATCAACTTATTTTTTAAAGACAAATTGTATATTAATTGTATTTGATGTATTACAATATGTAGATGTCTGTATTAAACTAAATACTGATTTGGTTTTTACAGTTAGTATTATACGTTTTTTTTTAAATTTTGTCTCATGAAATATTTAAAAAAAAAGTTTGATTTCTATACTAATTTAGTACCTACCTAGTTTTTTATATATATATATGCAAATTATTTAAGTATTTCAATTAAATCTACTTTTATCTACCATATATAATAATACAAAATCATATTTATTTGTATTATTAATTAATATTGTATCAAACATCTATATGTGTTCACATAAACAAAATATTAATCAAAAGTTTGGTGCGTTTTTTCAATTACAATTTATTTAACATACATATCTTTAATTGTATGTTGAACTAACACATATAATGTAAACGCTTTATAATATTTTGAGTTAAAGCTAACTATTCAGTTTGTATCTATGCTAATGGTACATATTTTTTTTCAAATTTTAGTAAACAAATATAACATTAATTGAATTTTAAATTTAAGTAAATTTGAATTAAAAGTGTAATGATACACCTAAAAAATAACATCAATGTAATATTCACAATAAATAATGCGTTTTAGATACTGAGTGAAACAAGTTAGTTTTATAATGATATATGTTAACTGTTAAGTATGTCAAACATTTTTTCCATCTGTAAAAAAGTTTTTCAACTTCAGGAGTTAGCAATTAGTTAGACAACAAATGTTGCTAATTGATGTATTAGGAAGGTCAAATTTTATTTCCTACTTTTCTTAGTCATAAAGGAACACCAAAAAAGAACATCAATATATTTATGGAATCACATTTTCTGTAAAATTAATTTGTTTTATTGTACTATTGGTAAAAATTATCAATTTCTAAAATAAGTGGTAATTTTCAAAATGTTTTGCGTATTTTTGGATTTATTTTATGTAGGTACTTTTTGTTTCGATCATGAACTCGAAAATTATATACAAGAATACTCTCAGTTATTCTTATGGTAATTTTAAGACATCGATAATTTGTAGTTTTTTTATGAGTTCAAGAAGTTCAAATGTATGATAAAATTTGTTCATAACTTGAATAATTGTAATGTAATTTGTAATTGCAAATTAATAGAATGTTCAAATTAAATTTATTATCTAACTGAACTCATTCAGAATTTTTTTTCAGTTGTAAAGGTGTATTGTTGCATGCAGTAGGTGTATAATCTAAATTATCCCACCTTTTAATTTTATTTAAAGAATCAGTTAATAATCAACTTTTATACAAATGAAAAGTGATGAATTTCTCATCACTTTTGATGGAGATAATAAAGGTAAGTTAATCTGCAATTGTTATTTTAATTTATAATATTGTTTGTATACTTTCAATAATTGCTTTTTAACACTTTTACATTTCAATTGGTACTTATTAATCAGTCAATTTGTTTTCTGTTTTTTTAATCAGCTCATGATTGATTTCATAACTTTTCATTTTCACACTATGTTTTTGTTTATATTTTAATTGACATTTATAATTTTGTCATTTTGAATCCAATGTTAGCTCATAAATATTGTTTCCAATTAATAGGTACATTCATTATTTTTAATGTAGTATGATACAACAATTTAACAACAAATACTTAATTCAAGTAATTTTTGCTAAATTTTTAAATAATTGGATCAAGTTATATGTAATATTGCAATATACAATTATCAGACCATCTGGAAAATACCCATTTCCAGACTGATCACTGTGCCTCTGACAATATCATTCTCTCCGTGGGAAGGGATTAAAATATTCCAATGGTATCTCTACCTGTCGTAAGATGTGACAAATAATGTTACATCAGGTCGACAGCTGGTGAACAATTTTATCAGTATGAAGTTATAAATAAAACCAAACGTCTGCAAATGCAGATTATACATCTTTGATAGAGAAAGTCTGGAAGAAGTTAGCAACATTACTGCGGAATAGAAAATAGTACCTACTTGAAGGTATTCAAATCTAAAAATGTACAGAAGCATAATATATATTAATCCTTCAAATGTGCCTTCAAACATATAGGTTCCTAATCTTTTCTGGGTTATTGACAACTTTCAACTTTAAAGTATAACCACGGACCTCCCTAATAAAAAAACAACATCATTTTTTGTACTATTGGTTTCTTGATTTTGTTTTGAATGTGACCCCTGTAGAAAATCCAGTCTCGCAGAGATGTATAGTGAAATCAAAAATTTCCTTGCCCTGGTTACAACTTACAGATAAGCCTTAGACAATGTATACCAAAAATAATTAAATATTTTGTTTGAAAATCGTAATGTGCAATTTCTTTTGATCTTAAATCAATTAATTCAATTTCGACAAGGTTTGAATCATTAACAGTAACTATTTAAGTCTCTAAGAAAATTATTACTACATACGGAGGTCACCATATTTCTGCTTTTAAATAGGAATATAGAATCGAAGTATTCGCGAAATGGATTTTTATGTCTAAGCCATCGTTTTTGCCAAAACCTTTTTGTTGATTAACTTTGAATTTTCACTGACGGACTTATTTTCATAAAAGAAATTAATATATTTTTTTTAAAAAAGAGCTAATACTGGGTATGGTATGGGATGACGTTGTATGTGGGAAGTTAAGATTTTGGGAAGGTATGACACATAAAGTTATTTAATTTAAATTTGTACACATCGACAAACCATTGCTATCGAATAGCGATTCAGAGCGCCATTAGTTAAGACAAATTTTTAAATGCCGTAATTTGATATTAAAACGCTTATCAAAAAAACATTAAAGCATTCAACTCAAATTTATTTTTTAGACCTTTTTAGATTTTTTAGAAAAAACCTTATTAAAATACAAAAATATACAGAAGTACTCATTAAGCACGTTCCTTGGATGAATGTTCTAATAATTAACTTGAAAAAAATATCAAAAACTATTTAATTGGAATAATTGAAAATTTGGCCAATATGGGAATTGTGAATATCATAAAAGTAATTATACAATCTTTAAATAGATCTATCAAATACAAATTATCTAATTATACAATAATATACAGAGTAGGTTATTTAGGATAATATAATATAAATTTCTGTGGTTCATGCTTATTTTAAAGTGGTATAATATCATAACCTCAAAATAAGTTTGTAGGACAGCACTCAACTTTACCGTGGTACAATTTGGAAATGAATTTGCCTCGCTAAGCTTAATACTGATAAGGTGTAATGGGTCGATCTAATCTTCTAAGATTGTGGTCGCCAAGAAAATGGCCGCCAATTGTTATCTAAGTGATGTATGTTTACAAATTAAACTGATATGATAAACCTGCACTCATTTTGACTTGTGAGGTTTAGAATGAAACTAAATTTTGAGGTGCCTATATGTCTGCTAAAGACTATTTAATATTTTTCAGTAACAAAATAAAAAGAGTAACCATAGCATTTTCGGCAGATATTTTGAATGCATCATTTCTTTGAACCTGAAACTTCAAGGCAACCAAAAAACTTATTCGTTACTCCGAAATAAAGTGTTTTTGTTAAAAACTAGAATAAATGATAATAAACGGTTAGATTTTCCTAAATTGAAAATAAATTTCGATGAAATAGATGGGACTGACTTTACAATTTTTACCAATTCGATGATAAGTTTGAAAACTGAATTTATTGGTTACAAAATAATTCTAAATATTTTGTCATTATTAAACAGTAGCTTTACTTTTCAGCCAAATGATGAATTGCTGAAGAAAGAAACGTGTTTTTTTATAGAATAAAATTAATTATTAACATAACTAATCTATCAATATTTGTTTAAAAAATGAAATTAAGTTTTCTTTAGTTCAAATAAATTTTGATAGCCCAGGAAACATTTTGAAATTACTAATGTGAGCTTCTAAAAATATTAATTGCTGAGTATTGACCCCTTATTTAGATATAACACTGACATGTTTGGTGAAACTTAGCCTGTTCGATATTGAAAGCTCAGGTAATTGTTAGGTGTCTCAATTTTCAGAGAAAATTTGATAATGTAGAATAAACTAACACAATAATGTTGTAATGTGGTGAGCTTTAATTGCTTTATTAATTTATTATTGGTTTAAAATATTTAAATATTAAATGTTGATTTGCACTTGAACTATAAAAATAAGGGTATTAGGTTTTCAGTTGAAGGTCTAAAATTGATTATATTTTTGAGAATTCTTTGACATCAATATTGTTAATTATAAACATTAGGTACATAAAATATATATTACTTAATGCATATGTGACTGTAGGGTTAATTTAGCACATATGCTGTAAAGGTTATAAGGTCTGATGTGATTTTAATTTCAATCCATATTATCATCTATCAGTCATACATTTTATAGTTAACTACTTAACAGTTTGTGTACAGAGTACTTAGTTAGGAATTAATAATTATTTAATTGGAAGGAGTTTCAAAGTTTATTTAAGACAAAGAACTGCATTAATCAGGTGGCATATTAACCTTTAACCAGCTAATATAGGTACTTGGATATAGGTTCTGCTTAATTAAAATATAACTAGGTTTGTATTTTAAATAATATTTAATAAACAATAAATAATATTTTATTTTGATTTTCTTTGTTTATTTAATTAGTTTTTTAAGTTTAAAAATTGACTCCAATTGAATTAGAATATAATTTATAAAATTATACAAATTAATATACTTGGAATTAAATAAAGGCACATTCAGAGATTAATTTAAAAATGAAATATGAATGAGTAAATATATAATAAAAAACCAAATATATTGAAAATTTGTGAATTATGAATTGAAACTTCACTTATCGTATCTATATGAATAACTAAGATAAACAATTAATAAATTACAATTTACAATTATAAATGATTGTATTAATTTTTAGATACTAACCTAAAGCTATATCTTAAATATTTAAAAAACTAAAATTTACTTATTCAAAATTTAAAATACAGCCTGGATAATATAGCAGATAAAAATACTTTAGCTTATGAGATTCAATTAAATTTATATCAACTTAGGTAGGTACTGATAAAAATGTTAAATTCTTTCCAACTCCAAAGTGACGATAAATTAATTTATAATTTATTTTATATACAATTACCGAAGATTAAATGTGTGAATTGGTAGTTTTGATGATATTCTGACATGATTTATTTAATATAAATATAAATTAATTTTTTATAGACAGATTATTGTAAGTTCGAGTGAACAGTTGGTGAAGTAGATATAATTATAAAATATGGATCTGGTTTCATTTTAATAATTATGTCATGCCACACACTGACACTCTGACACTTATAAGATTATCTTACATTTAGTAAGTGATTAACAATTAGCTGTAACTGTGAATGTATATTATTTTACATTACGCAAAAATCAAACACCACTGTCCAGTGTCCACTGTCCACTGATCAGTAACCTTATTAGTTAATTATTATACTTCTTTTTATAGAAATTTTGTCATTATTAATGCCACGTTATCATTTATCATAATGATACTGGTGTTATCATTTTTATATTTTCCAATTTGTTCAAAATATATTATTAACTCAGTGGTTCCCAGTATATCCGTCATTTCAGCATAAAACAAATAATTGTTAAATTACTAGATTGAATGCTAAATACGACTTCATAATTCATCAAAAAATCAAATATTGTTGGAACATAGTTTAGTGCTATAATTATTTAAATAATTGCTTATATACTTGTTAAAATTATCAAATTTAATCAGTAATTTCTTGGAGAGGTTGGCTGGTCTGACAGCACCGATTTTCCCCCCCGTTCACATGACAAACAAGCAGCAAGCTTGCAGTGACTGCATCATGCGTATTGTTAAAAATTTCGTATGCAATATGGCTGTGTAAAACGTCAAATATTATAACCCATTTTATATCAATTTTTTATTTAAAACTATTAATTGTTTAATTTTTTTTTTATAATTACCGCCGTTTTGTGTTATCGTTTATTAAGTGTTAATTTTAGTTGTCGTATTTTTCAAGTAGTTAATTTTTACCGGAATTTCATAAATTTTATATACATAATATTTTGTGCCCAACCCAATTTGGCACTAGTTGCCAACCGTATCTATACTTTTTTTTTGATTTTTCATCCATCTTGATCGCGTCCCGTGCGCTTCGTATACTTTTGTGATGACTATTTTTCGATCGGTTCGTCCATCGACGTATCACGACTGATACGATATGCTCGCCAGGTTAACATCATCAAATATCAAAATACCGAGGTACGGCGTTAACATAGCATTTCGCTAACTATCACAGCGAGCATGAACAACAACAATATAAGAAGCTCAAACACGAATCCAAAAGGAGTCAATCCGATGAGCTACCAGAAACAATCGGGTAAGTAAAATTTAACTTTTAGTTTATTAGTCTTCATTACGGTTTCCATTTGAAATGTATATAGGTGTTGGAGATATGTACTCGTATTATTATCATTACCATAATCATTCATTTGGAGTATGATGTTCATTTAATATCTATCTCCAAAAACCTTTTAAGTGTTTCATATTATAATATGTAGTGAATAGTAAACATACAGATTTAAATATAGTAGGTAAATTGTACACATTTAATTTTTAAGATTTTCTGTAACGGTAAAATGCCAGATGAAGTTTTTGGCATTTGTATTCATTGTCATGTTGATGCCAAAGGTTGTTTCATTTTATGTGTGGACAGGTAAATGATAATTGATTCCAAGGATTTAATTGAATCTATCATTTCATTTCAAAATTCAAAGTTTTAAAACTGTTAGGTATATCATAATTTGCTTGTACAAAATGAAATGTTGCAGCACATGTCATTGCTGTTCGTAGACACGCCAGAACTATTTTTATTTTCAGTTTTAATGTATATTTTAGTTTTAGGTAAAGCATGTTTCTCAAGTACAGTAATTTTAGAACACGAGTAAACATTTTTAATAATAATTAGGTAAACCAATGTTTATTACTAAATGTGACTATTACTTGATTATTTTATTGTTTCTTTTAACTTTGTTTTTAAAAATTTGGTATTTTCTTATCTCAATTATTCAAAAAATGTAGGAAAAATAAGTAATAATAATATGCAATAATTAACATGCACATTCCCTTATTTTACCTATCTCTCACCACTTTAAATTGTAATTACCTATGATATTTTGTCATTGTAGGTGTACCTAATCTATGTAGTTCTAACTTTTTCCTGGATTTTCATTTCTTGTTCATTAGTTTTTTTTATACCAAACTTAAAAATGTACATAACTACATAGCAATATATCATGTTTTTATTATATTATTTGTCTATTATATTGTGTGTCTACAATATACATTTTTAAATAATGTGTTGGTAATCCTATTGGTGGTCTGACCAAGATAAAGCCAAATTTTAGATTGGTTGTATATTTACGATCTAAAAATTTGACAAATAAAACAATAATTATAGATATCCATTAAATAAATAACATTTAATATTAATAAGATTCTCAAAATTATATGTATTTTATATTTTATACTTAATTATTTCAAATCGGGGACTTACTGACCAAAATTCAATTTGAACTAAAGAAAAAAATATTCAAAAATATGTAAATGCATAGAAATCCTAGCCTTTTTCATTACCACAAATGATTATGTATTGTATACATATTATTGTACCTATATGAAAGTAAGGTAATAATATTCTGATGTTTACGATGTGTTAAAATAATATGTCAAATTATTATTTTATATCTAATATAATGTTTTGAAAAATCAATATTTAACAAGATACCACTTATTAAAGTATCCAGCAGAATTTAGTTAACTGAATGAAATGGAAAAAATTAACAAGAGTGTTGTGTGATAAAAAAAATGACATTTAGGATAAAAGGAATATTTTATAAAAATGATGTAGGTATCAGTGTTGGGCATTGAATAAGAGAAATTAAATACAAATTGATATAATAGAAATGTGAATGTTTAAGTGGATTTTATCAGGTTGAATAGGATTAGAAATAAATAGTTGGCTGATAAGAGGATTGTAGGACATTAGGCATCCCCTGATAGGTAATAGGACTTTTTATACCGCAATCTTTTTATTTATTGAGTATATAAGATGTACCTAATAATGACAATAATATAAATAATAATAATATGAAGAAGTAGAAAATAATTAGAAATATTAAATTTAATGTTTGATAAGATAACATAGTACCTACTATTTTGAAGAAAACTATTTATTAGAATAATTCTTTACGATTTTGTATTAAATTCTGTTGGATCATTTTTTCTTGTAAATCTTGTAAATTTTAGAAACCGTGAGTTAACCGACAGAATTTTGCTGGTTTACAACACATGTAACTACTGGTTAATGCTAACCAGACATGTAAGAATAGTACTATGCCTTGTATCATTATTTTTTTTTTCTTGAAAAATAAAAAAACAGTTATTTTAATTTGAATTGCTATTTTCTGATGCTGATGTTCTAAAACCCGTAAATATCACCTGCAATGCTTGGTGTCAATTATTTACAATTTCGCACAATCTAAAAATATTGGGCATAGATAACTGAAATGTCCGTTATCAATAAATTTATTGGACATCAAAAGTCTGAATATTGTATAATATACAACTAGATATTTTTAAGTTTATAAGTATCAAGTAAAGCTGGAAAATGAGATAAAATTAGATAGTCAAGAAATTAAGTGAGTTAAATGTAGTTGCAATTTGGAGAAGAGAAGATGTTGCCCAAAGAAAATATGACTAGAGGTTATTTGAAGTGGTATTTCAAAAGTATATAGAGTAGATAAGAAAATGATTGTAGGTATAGTGATGTTCAAGGGATTAATAAGATAAATTACCAAACTAGTATGTGTTAAAGATAAAAAGGAAAAAAAAGAACCAAGCTAATATGAAATAATTTCAAATATATATACAAATTTATATTTACTTATAAATATTAACTGTATAATAAAATAGCCTTTATTCAATTATCAAAAACCCTCCAACCCTCTGATTCTGTTAATGTGGATCGTCTGATACAAATGATCTTCAAGTTTTTACTACCTGACCAAATCTTTCAATAAAAACAGTTTGGATCTATCTTGAGTTTTTTTGCAATACGGGTCCAGTTTTGTATTGTATAATGGATGTTAAGAAATACATATTTTTCTACAAACCAATCAATCCTCTCTATATCTTTACCCTTCTAGCTGTCCCGTATGAGCGCAGCTCAATCAATTACTACTTTAGCCACAACTGAATTTTATGATTTTAAAGATTTTATTTGCCAATGTGTATTTTATCTACTCATTTCTTGACATTTTTTTTGTATGTAACAATACTAAGTTCAGGTCTGATAAAATATAATAATAAACTTTTATAAATAATTATTTTCATACTAATATTTTATGTTTATGTTTGCTGTGAGCTATGTAACAAGTATTTGTATAGAATACACAAGTAATATTTGTAAATTTGTCAAGCAGAATAGTCAGATTTAAAATATTAGGTATAATATAAATAAATTATAAATTTATATTATGTTTATGTACCTATATATTTTTATTTTTAATATATTTGCAAGTGTTGACTAAATAACTTAATGTGCCATTTATTTGTAATAAATAAAGACTAAAACCACTAGCAACAATCAGTGTACAGATGTTAAGTAATCGTGGAAATCTTGGTGATCATTGGGAAAATCATAGTATTCTAGAATACAGTGTACACAATAGTAATCAGTGATTTACCCTCTGGTAATAAATATTCTTAATGATTCTTTTAATTTTTTTTATTACAAAATTCTCACTTATAGTTTGATAAAATACTTTAAAAGCAAAAATTGAAAGAGTGGGCTCATATGTGACAGCTCGCGTTATAATCAAATACATGTCTTGCTGACGGATTAATATTAAGTTGACTTAAATATTTTAACAATAAACTACAGAGTATTACAGGTAATTGATTTTGATAAAAAAAAAAAATTAATATTACAGTTACAGTTTTGGTTAAAATTTTATCAACTATCAATACTTACCTATTTAAAAATAAATTTAGGTATAATGTTGTTCTATTCTTGTGTGTATACCTTATATTTTGTTTTATATATAGTTATATAGGTATTCATAATAAATAAAATATAATTTTATCTAAAGAGATAGACATTATTTTGATTAGGTGGACAAGTGGTAAAGACATGGTAAAACAGTATATTCACTATTAATGGCCGAGTAACATGCTGCCATACAAATGATACTCCACTACTACTCTTCCCCTATTTAAACCTTATAAAAGTAGAGTATCTTATCAACAGGAATCAATAATTTATTTAAACTAAAACACCATCTATTTATTAAATTTTTAGTATAGGTTCTCATTTGAAAAATTAAAGTTGGTATCGCCACAGGATACTCCTTAAATGTTATGAATATTTGATATTTTAATATTTGAAAATATTTGTTTTAACTAAAGTTAAAAATTCCAAAAGTTAGAATTTGAATATATGCAAAATTTTAATATAAAAATGAATTGAGCATGCTTAATGAATCACTCTGTAAAATTTATCTAATAGTTAATCTTTTTCAATCAACTTTTAGATACTTAATATCAACTACAAAAATTTACCTAAATAGGTTACCAATCTATAGGTATATCTTAAATTATTATTTGTGGAACATGGTAATATATATTAAAATAAAACACCTGTGTGTCCACAATATTATATTGATGATATTTATAAAAATGTAATAATTGAGATGTACATATTTTGTTTACTATCAATTATAATGATAATGAAAAAATAACTAAAAGAACCTAAAAATATTGGTTCCGATATATGGGTCATATAGCCTGTGTTCTTCGATGTATGAATATAGATATAAATAGGGTAGCAAAACCATGGTGAAAAAAAATGTTGATTGTTAATATAGCAATGTTCGTTTTAAATTTTAATGAGAATCATAAAAAAATCTTGATAAGTATTTTATATATTATTTTTTGATTCATGAGAATATAATTTTTTTTTTAAATTTATATAATATAACTATATATTATTATGTTGAATTTAAAATATAGGTAAAATTAAAATTTTATGTACTAGATATATTTGTAATCATCATACATTTTTCTGTGCCAACTTCTCCAAAAATATCTTTTAATTAACCATCAATTCATATTCTAACCCAACATTTTAGATTCTGAGTAGAGTATGAATTTGTTTTATGTATATTTTTATTTTATTTTATTTATGTAAATAACTTATTTACCTGATTTTTCTTCGAGTTTCAAGTGTAGCACTTTTTCTAAAAGAAAATTTGACTGGAATGGTACTTTAGGGAAGGGATTTTTTGATATTTTTTTTTTTAAGGGATTTATAATAAATAGGAAAATATAGAAAAATAATGAAATGTATTATTTTTAAATAGTAAATATTACAGCCTTTCAAAACATCTATAACACTCTGAATCGTTTTTCGTTTGCTTTAAAATTTGCATCCAAATATGCATTAAATTCCATTCTATATCCTACCTTCCCAACTTATGACCTACAACAGTATTACCTACAAATCTACCCATCATGCGAAATCTGTCCATCTGTTTTTTATTTTAAAATAATTGAAATTAGGTATGGAACATTTAAAATTTAAATGCTTACATAAAAGATTGTAGATATAAATATACACTATTGTTTGTAATTTTGAGTTAAATTTTTAGTACGAAAATAATAAAAATAATCTTTAGTTTTTTTCCTCAATTCATCTGTGTAGCGTACATGGCGGATTTGCTAATAACAGTTTATGCCGTACTCATAAATTTAAAACATTGATTTTTTTAAATTGCCATTCGTATAATCATACCAATCATGATTAGTTATCTACCAGAAACTCGATTTAAAAATCAGATAAATAAAAGCATTGATGATATTGAGAACATAGTCAGTTTAGTTGATTACTTATAAAGATAAACAATTTTGAAAGTGGTGTGATATGTATTTAATATAATATCATTGAAATATATGATCACGCCATAATTATTGTTTATCTACAGCCTGTAATTTTATAACTATTGTTCATGGTTATAATTTCTGGTTTGTATGTTGTATTATTAAGCCTATAACTCGTGCAATTTTTTCATGTTTTTGAATACTAGTAGTAAGTAAGTAAAATTTAATTTATATAATTTAAAATATATATTTTAATGTATAAATATTTAATTTATGTATTTTATTAATATGAGGTAGGTATTTAAAATATAAATATTGGTGTAGGTAGGTACCTTTACTACTATAGTAAAGGCATAGTAATTATTTACAAAAGTTGTATATTTTTTTTGTGTGTACCAGAATTTTGTTTAACATTTTTGAGTTTGATTAAAAAAAAAAAAAAAAAAGTAAAATAATTTTGTTCAATAATCCAGTCCTCAAACTGAATCAGTTTTAGTTGTTTTGGGCAAATTAATTTCATTAACCTATCGTTAACAAAAAATGTGTTATATTTTTTTTTTTTTTTAATTTACAATGTGTTCATTGTCATATTACTAACAAATTACAATTTGTGTATATTTGAATTATTAACATATCAAATGTTTACTGTTGAACACTTGTTTGCATTTTTCCTTAGCACAAAATATTTAAACGTTAGTTGCTCTAAACATTATTCTCCAAAATAAAATATTACATTATTATTTTATTTATTGTAGTTCAGTTACAAAACTACATTAATAAGATATTAATAATACTATTTAATACAAAAATAATTTGTCTTTAGGTATGACTCAAAACCGAATTGAAAAAAAAATATAATAAACAAATTAAAATTTAAACACTTAAAAAACATTGTAATTGTAATATTTTGACCAAAAACGTAATTCAATTATCCATCTAAATTGAGGATATTTTTTTGAGAGAAACTTTATTTTGTTAGTGTAATCGAGGCTCATTTTCATCAATTTTTCTGTAACTTTTTAAATAACCAAAAGGAAAACTCAAACAAATGATGAAATATGGCAATGTTTAATGTTACTGTAAATAAATACAATTAGTTAATTTTAAACATTTTTTTTTTTTTATATATCTTAATTATACAAAACATGCTATACAGAGTAGGTTAAGTTAGGTATTTAGTTACCTACACACAGCAATAGACTTGTATGCATCTACACAGAACATTCACACGTTCCGGTGGGTGGAGTTTCATTTCAAGGACATAACCCTGGGGATAACAGACTGTGTAATTTTTATTGGCTACCTTCGAAATTCATATTTGTTCTCTTTTATACCAAGCTCTATATCAACCTATCTCTTGATCCGTTCAGATCGACCACATCTTCCAGTTCTCGATGTTGAATTTTCCGTTTAAACGTATAAGTCAATGCACGCAGATTGCAGATTTTGCATCAATTTTACCGGGGCATTTGAATTACGTCAACGAGTTCTCAATGAACGGGTCCGAGTTCCGTTCTTGTTAATGCTGGTACACACATTTTTTTTCCTAAATTATTTCATTATTTTCGTTCAATTCAAAATAACCTTTGCACAATGTTTTGTTTTAAACACGGGCACTTCTGAACATTGCCATTTAAAAACATTTAGATAACAAATTTGTATCCATTAATAGAATATAATTGTTTTATTTGTTCACTAAACATATAAATTATTTTCATGATTTTAGATTCTGAACTGTGCGAGGAATTTATTGGTTTTTTACAATGACGTTTATTATTATTATTTTTTTTATGTATTATAAACACTTTTTACTAGACAGATTACTCCGATTATCAAGTATAGCATCTTTTCTAAAAGGAAATGTTTTCTGGATGGTACTTTAGAGAGGTTATATTTTGAAATTCTCATTAATATTCGAGATAATGAGGAAAACCTCGGTCTCTTTAGGTTAAAAAAGATTGAAAGATTAAAAATAAGGTTTTCATTGGCAACCGTTTTTATTTATTTTTTGTTATTATTAAGTTTTTATTATTTTAATCTTTTTTAAACAATCATTGTCATGGAAACGTACATTGCAACACTATCAACTGAACTCTACTCAGAATCGTTATTTTTGTTAGAAATGGTTTTTCGTTGTTTATAGATATACATTAAATTCCCGTCTGTTTATTAAACTCCTATCTTATTTTTTGACTTACGCGTATTGCTAATGTAGACCTCTCCTTTAAATACTTCTAAATTATCACTAACTGGGTCTCCTACTCTATATTGCTATTTATCTTGTATTATATAATAGGTTTATGTATGTCATTATTACTATTCAATTAATAACTTATTCATTCTTCTGTATTCTCTCGTCGGCCTGTTTTGTTATTAAAAATTTAAAAAAAGAGCTGATACTGGGGATGGGAGTGGCCACTGTTGTAGGTGAGAAGTTGAAAGTCAGGATACATGAGATTATTTCATTTATTTCTGTAAGCAACGATAAACCATTGCTTGATGAAAAACGATTCTTAGCGCAGTTTGGTAGAACATAATTTTATAGTGCCGTAATTTTTTTTTTGCTAATTTCGTTTAAATTTGAGTTCAAAACGCTTATTTAAAAAAAAAAAAAAAGTCCTATGTTTTTAGAAATTTTACCACGTCTATGTAAATCCAATATAATCTGTTACTAAGTTTTAAGTCTATGTGTACTTATCACCGAATTGCAGCAAAAACTACCAAAATTAAAATTCCTAAAATGCTCAAAAGTTTTGTCGATGATACAGTAAGAAAGTAAATCAAAAAGGTGTCTTGTGATTTTTCAATTAAATCATTTTTTGTGGTAGAAAACGTCTGTGTTTTTATAATATTATGAAATCGTAAAATTGTACGTTTCCTACGTTTTTTCCCACTTAAAATTACTTCATTAAAATACAATCTAGACAACTAATCTTTTAAAAAAGTTGATACTCGTAAAAATCGAAGCAAGTCCACTAGGAAACTAAGTGTCCACAGACAAGAAAAATAAAGAAATAAACAGCTTTATAAAACCAATAGCTCCCTCGCTAAATTGTCTTTAATCTAAAAATTAAATAATACTCCAGTTAACGTATTCATTCATTAATTTATTTTTTATTTATATATTTATTCACCAGAATTACTATTTTAATAATTTTTTTTTTAACGTATTATTTTATTTGATAAATTTCCTAGATTTTCCCGTTTTCCTATATTGTTTCCTAATTATTATGAAAACCACTTGTAAAATCAAAACATGACCGAATGTACCACACAAAAAATTTCCTTTTAGAAAAAATTCTATATTCTGAAAATCAGAGCAGGATTTCCTGTAGAAAAATATTAAAAGATCAAAGAGAAAAATAAAAATAAAACATTTTTGTAAAATTAATATATTTCGTGCATTGCTTGAAAACTAAAATAATTTTTGGAAATTGAGGACGTAAATTCGGAAACGTAGTTTAGCTGACCAAGCATCACGCTGAATTTAAATAGGTTCTATTTATTGAACACATATTGCTAGAAAAAAACAAAGAATTAGTCTAAATTGCTATGTTGCTATATGTGTTTCAATTTGATAAAGAAAGATAACGGAATCCCGTTCTCTTACAAATCTTTATAAGAGGACGCTATATCTGCATTTACCTTCTTAGTCTAACTACCAACCAACAAAGTAAAATTACATTGCTTGGAACATAAATTGTAGTAGAGAAAGAAACACAACTTATGAATCTGACACTAAGAATCGTTCGTTTGAAATGGTTTATCATTGCATGTAGAATGTAAACTAAATTATCCCAAGAACAAAATCAAGTATAGATTATACACAGTTGTACATGCCATCAAAAATGATAACAGCTAATAACTATCTACGGTGATGTAAACGTTCAGTTTTTTTGGTGTACAGTAAGATATCTAGATATCTAGTAGTTTATATCTATGATATAAAGTATAAACTCTGATTTCAACCTGAAGAGAACGCTATACCCGCATCTATTGTCTCTATTCAACTACTGAGCAACATGCAAAAACAATGTTTACGCAAGTCGCCGACTAAGTAAAACTAGCTTAATTTTAATTTTAGAATAAAAGTACCTCTTATGAAGTTTATAGAGAACAATATTTTTGAGGGAATTTCATAGGTGTTAAATAAATTATAAGCTTATACAAATTATAAAACGTTACAATTATTAAAAACTAAAAAAAAATGGTTTATGAGTCTTTTATATTGAGCTGTATATTTAGAATAATACAAACACTCGAAATAAAAATATACTTTTATTAACATTTTATAATGGGTACTTTTACTCAAAAAAAAAATTAAGCTAGTTTTACTTAGTCTGCGTAAGTATTAGTTTTAAACAGTACTCGGTAGTTGAACTAAAATATTATATGCGGGTATGACGCCCTCTTAAGGTTGAAATCAGAGTTTATACTATAGATTTAAAATACTAGATAGATAATATTTTACTGTACACGGAGATATTGAATGTTTACGCGTCACCCTCGATTGTTATTATTAGTTATAATTTCATCACACGTGTTTTATTTTTGATAACATGTACTGTGTATGATTTATATTCGGTTTTGTTCTTGGGGTTATTTAGTTTATATTCTTTATATAATGATAAACCATAACAATCGAACGATTCTAGGGGGGGGGGTATTAATCGTGTTATTTCCCTTGTCGACAAAGTAACTCAAAAATGAATAAAAGAAAAAATACTTACAAAAAAAAAAACCTGGGCTACAGTGACCTGTAGTAAATGTTGATCAATTTTTAAATTGAAATATTATCAGCCGGAAATATCATATCTTTTAATGTAAGGTATAAGTTTTATCTTTGTTATACTTAGAAAATAAAACTTACATGCTTGAAACTTTTTATTTGATAATATTTTAGAAAAAAAAGTCCTATCCCTGAAAATATTCTTAATAAATTTTGTTGTCTATATTTAAACTCTAATTTTAACTCATACTACATAATTTATTAATTGAGGATTTTTATTTCGAAAATTGTGGTAGACTGAGGTAGTCACGGATGTTAGCCTCACATTAATTTTATAACATAAATTATTATTTTGGTTCATTATAAGGATGCCAGTGGCACTAATATTTGCTCCGTGATGATCACTGGAAAGCGTTAAATTATCACTAAGGGGCACTAGTACCACGTACTTTGTATATTAAAATTTGCTCTGCTTAGGTGTTACTAAGACTTATACAAATATTAAAATGCTACAAGGCCTGTTACAAGTCCTGCTTAAGCCTCGATTACACAGAATAAATTTACTCTCCGTGTGTCAGCGACCTAAGTCTCGTACGAGTGAGCGTTTACTGAGTTGTTGTTTAAATTTTAGGGGCACAACCACACGTTGTAATAATAATAAGTATTATTTATATGAATTATAAGTTAAAGTTTGTGATATTTTCTTTTAATTTTTAAATATTCTAATAAAAGTGGAATAATATCTATGCACTAAGTTATTTTTCGATATACTAATTGAAGGAATATAAGTGAGTTTTTAAAAATTTACGAACAATATCCGTTACTTTGGAATATAAAACGTAAAGATTATTTTAACATCAAATTAAAGGTGAAATATTTAAAAATTACTATTGACAATGAAGGTTAAAAAGACGTTTACAAAAATGTAGTATTTGAATATCTTCTTTCTTAACTAAACCGTAAACCATCTGTAATAAATTATCAAACGTCTATTTTTAGAAGCACGAATTAAGATATCTTAATTTGAGTTTGGAAGATTTCGGTAAGCTGCACTGCCTTTGTCTTTTATTAATTCGCTTATTAATGTACTCGGTGCACAATATTTCTCTTGTCTAGCAATCCAATTTCTAACCCAAATTCGTCTTCTTAGTTTTCTTTTTTTCTCCAACTCTTGACAATAAATGAGAAATAAATACAAAATTTGCTCGAACTACACCCTCCAACATCTTGCAACCAAAACTAGTCGCAAGCGCACTAGCGATTTTACTAGCCATGGCGATTACACAAAGCGGTGTTTTACTCGCTGGAGTGTAAACTAGCCAGTGAGGAAGCGATTAGGTCAAATACATTGAGCAAATTACTAAATTCGCTCAGCTAGTAAATTTGCCCTGTGTAATCGAGGCTTTATGATGTAGCCCGTTGGGCACTAGTATATCTTTAATCGTGCCTTAGAATAATTTAGAAAACCCATTCGATTTTTTTATGGGGGCGAAAGAAATCTACATACAGCGTGACCAGATAACAAGGAATACAACTAATTAATTATATAATATATTGTGCACTTCTATATAATTAATTAATGTACCGTAAATATTATTATAATATGATAGTTGTGATGGATCGAGGATGGCAAAAACTATTGTACAGTAGTATAAATCAGAAAAAAGATATTATCAATTGAAATGAGCTTTAATATAATGTATTAATCAATTAAAAAATTAAATAATAATAGAAAATATTTTCATAATAAATTACCTACCTACTTTTTGTAGCATTTAGAGTTGTCTTAATTTTAATTAATTTAACTAGACTTTAATTTAATGATAACTGTTTACACCATGGTTTATCACTTGTGTTATCCATCAAGTGTATGTCCGAATTACGCCATCTAGTAGAAATCTAGATCGTAAAGTGACTAATTGGGTTGAATGATCTAACTTTTGTCTTCACAACAGTTATATTGCCAGGATATGATACGGTATCCCTATATTATTACTCTATGCAAATAGCCTGACAGTTAATAAAAAAGAAAGGTATAATAATATATAGGAATGAATGCAGCCACTGGTGTAGGTGGGAAATTGGGAAGATAAGATATAGATGGTAATTAAATGTATATCTGTAAGCAACGATAAACCATTACTTACGAAAAAAGTATTCTGAGTGGAGTTGATATTGATACTTTGTCCACAATATATGTATCATCTTATAGTAAAATAATTAAATAGGCTTTATATATTTTCTTTAATACAATTATATTGTATTATTTACCAATTTTCCCCGATTCCCCATGTTTTACCCCGGTTTTTCATATTTTCTAGAAAAACTCTTAGGAAAAAAAATGACCTCTATAAAGTACCTTCTTTGTGAAATTCCCTTGTAAAAACTTTGCTATCGTTAAAAGTTGAAGCAAAATTACAGGTAAAAAAGTTTTCGATAGAAAAAACACCGTAATACTATACTATATTTCGTACATTTTACCGTTTTTTTTTTTTCGGTTTTTTAAATATGATGAGAATCAAACGAGAAAACCCCCGATAAAATCAAAAAATGGCGTTCCTAAAGTATCACATCCCCACACAGATTTCTATTCAGAAAATGTGTTACACGTAAAAATCCGAACAAGTATTCTGTTAGAAAAGTTGAGCACAGATAAAAAAAAAAAAAAAACATCTTTGCAAAACTATAAGCTTTTTTGCTGCACTCAGAATCATAAACGATTTATATCACTAATAAAATAAACGGTTCTTATCAATACCTGCCTACCTGGAATAAACGATACAGTAACCTTACTTACTAGAGACATTAGCTTTTTAAAAATATATACCTATACCCTGTCTAATCTATGAGTATACCCGTTTGCGCATACCTGACTGAGCTTTGAACGTTGTCGGGCTTGATAGATTGGAAACAATCGTACTCCATCGCCGTACAATTCTGTACGCCATGCGCTATCGTCGTCGTGTATACAGAAAGTTATAATATCTATAATACTATAGTTAAATATAGTCAAATTAATGGGTAACATAGACAAATTAGAAGTAAATTGTAGCGTTTATTCAAATTAAAATGGAGGCTTTGTGCGAGAAAATACCCATACGCGGTAAGGCCGTTAAAACAAAATATTATTGATATTTGGTTGCTGCGAGATTGTTAAGCGGGTGAGTAGATGAAGCGGTCCGATAACCGGGAGTGAGAACACATGAAGAAACAAACGTGTTTTCGTCCGCCGCCGAGTACACCTTAAGTTGGACAAGGTTTAGGTTTTAATAATTTAATCTTTAACAAGAACATATTATATTTCTACATTTCCTGAAGGCTCAAATTGATAGCAGTTGCCAGTCACAGTTAATCATCTATATCAGTGGTTGTCAACTGCCGTTTCGCGAATAAAAGGATACCGGGCCATATTGTATTTGAAAAAAAAATATTATATTTTGCTTTTCGATTGCAACGTTACGTGCAATTTTTTTGTTTGTTAAATAAATAAATAAATTCAATAAAGTTTTTATAAATATGAAGAAAATAAAATTATTTGGTCCGTAGTCCTGCTTAATAAGGCATTTACCGGTCTGCAACAGAAAATAGGTTAAGAACCACTAATCTAGTAAGGAAACAGTAACTGTTCATCATAAGGGACATTTTATTTTACTGTCTGGTGCAACCATAAACTTATACATCTAGACGGAACTTCAACATGAAAACGTATTCCGATAGGCGGAATTTCATTTCAAAGACAGAAACACTTGAAATTATAAACTGAGTTATTCAATTGAATGTCCCCAGAATGCAAATTTGTTTTCTCACACTTGACTATATCAGCCTACCTCTATTGATCTGTTCGAACCGACCACGACTCCTAGTCCTCTGGGTGAATGTTCCCGTCTATATGTACTAGTTTATTGATGCCCGAAGGAAATTTATCAGGCAGGGGCATAATAAAATCGAACACCTATAGGTACTTAAAAGAAAATAATATTTAATATTAATTATTGAAATTATGTTTGAAATTTTGAAGTCCAAGGGGAGCGAATACCTCTTCCTGGTGGATGCCCATGGGTGCTACTGTATAATCTTAAATCATAAAAGTCAGTTAAAATGATGAGAGTGATAGATAAATGGTTGAGTATTTTATACAATAAGCAATATCAAGTTATTTTTTTCTCCTTGTGTCGTTTCGATGACCGGTTTATAACCAAATATTGCATTGCCTATTTGTGGAATTTTGGAACGAAACCATCAGAATATGTGATTAAAGTATGTAAAATTGAAGAAAAAACATTTAAAACTCGAGTCTAAAGTATAATCATGGCAAAATAAATCTAATCGATTTTTTGACAATTAAATATTTTACATATTTAGAAGACCACATCAGCTTATAACCGCCTATTTATTTTAATCCAGTTGGGAATATATATATAAATCAATGTTTTAACCAAAAATAAAAATCTAGTCACATCTAACAAAATTAATAATATTTAAAAATCTATAAAACATAAAAAAAACAAACTTAACGAATTATTTTTTGGTACTTCTATAAGTAATAAATCTTATCATGGATTTTTTTAAATTATGTAATCTAAAATCTAATTATGAAGTTGTACTCCCTACTAAAACTTATTATTTGAGTTCATTTTTTATATTTTGTTTAATATATTACTAAAATATAGTTGTAATATAAATATTATAAGCAAAACGTCGACAAGATGTTCTGTAATATATTTCTAGAAGAAAGATAGTAGATACATAATCTATGAATTAAGACAGATGACGAAGAGGAGTAATTTTAAAATGTTATATACAGCGTGATTTTAATACAGAATATTTTTTAAATAGAAACCCCCGAAAATTTAGAACACAAATTTGAATAGAGAATATTTTCTTAGAAATTTCGATATACACGACACTGATATCAGATTTACTGTTTATGAGTTATAACATTTTAAGTTTAGATCGAGGAGTAGGAAAGGGTAATAAATTGCCTTTTTATTACCTGGTTCATGATAAATAAATCACCATGTATAGATTTTACATATTTTTTCAATATAAATAATAAAAATTATAAATGAAAATGTAATAATTATTACTAATCTGTAGGACTCGGAACTTGTTGCACTTAAAATCCACGAAAACCATCTACAAACGTGAAAAAACTACTTGAAAAATATTTAAAAAAGCAAAAACGGTAAAATGGTTTAAATGCTCCCTCCCTCTATAACGGCTTTAACTTATTTAATACAATTTTGTAACACTACAAAACTAAAGTTATTTTTTTTTTTAAATACGTGCAATTTTATTCAAACAAAATAAACTTTAGTTAATAATTTGTGTCGTGTTAGAAAATTATATTTAATAATTTAGAGTCGTTGGATTCATTTAAACCCTTCTCCTATTTGGGTTAGTAATTTTTTTTAAGTTTTTTTTTCAAGGCTTTTTACATTTTAAGAGCAATAAGTCCCGAACCCTACTGATCAGTAAAAAAATAAAATCTGATACTGTTGATAAGTAGGCCACTGTTTTAGTTGAGAAGATGGGAAAATAAGATACATAGTTATTTATATCTCTAAACAACGATATACTATTGCTAAAAAAAAAAACGAGTCTTAGCTAAGTTTGTTTATACTTGATTTGTAAGATCGTAATATTTTCTTCAACATTTGATCTTAAAATAATTATAAAAAGACCGACATATAAGGGCACGTGGACCACTGTAGTTGTAAGTAAGAAGTTGGGAAATAGAGGGGAAATCGTATGTAAATCTACACGTAACGATTTACCATTGCTAACGAAAAACGATCCAGAGCGGAGTGTTGTTTTGTCAATAATATATGTCATATTTTGATAAATTAATGACGCATTAAGTACTTATATATTTTCTTTATATTAATATGTGTTTAACATTGTAAGTATTTTCCGGGTTTTTCCCATGTATTATGAAAACAGCTGGGAAAATCCAAAAACGTCTTCTCCAAAATACCTCCCCAGTCGGATTTTCTTTTAGAAAAAATGCTATCATTAAAAATGGAAAAAAAATTGTTGGTAAAAAAGTTGTCCATAGAATAAAAAACATAGTAAAACTAATAGCTACGTTCCTCGTCCCACTCAGAATCTAAAATTACTACATAACACTCTAATTTACTTTTTTGACTAATAAGTACCTACAACTTATACAGTTATGTCTTCTTTTAAACAATTTTATTCACATATCCTTCCAAAAAAACATGCAAAAATAACCAAAATGTTTTGAAAATTTGATCACGTTTAGATTTAGAAAAGACAAGTATAAGCTTATTATCAAAATGTCAAAAATTCTCTCCAGGAATGATGTTTTCGAGAACTATAAAGTAATCGCAGTATGTATATTGCATATGCGACTAACAAACAGTATAATAAACGGCGAAATTATTTAGGCATTTGTTTTCACTCGTTCGTTTACGTTCGGACCATATTGCCAATACGCACCTTTTGTACATCGAACATTACTTTTTATCATTTTTTGGGAGATTGACTTCTAACAGACTTGTCTATCATTTATGCAAAATTAACGGTATAGCCCGCTGATTACATTTGTTATACACTCAATCTACGCACAAAATTGTGATTTTAAATACAATGCACACGCACGTATGCACAGGTCATATTATAATCTAGATTTATTTTGACCAATTTTAGCAAAAACCATCATTTAAAAATAAATAATGCAGAAGAGTAATCTGATACATCTAATCTATTTCAAACTTATGGTTTTGAAAAAGTATGTTTATTAGTTATTATTTATTAATAATAATATTGTAATTTGACCTTAGACATTTGAAGTTTTATATTGACCGCCATAGTTTTAGAACCCCTGTTCATAATATAATGATGATCACGTAATGGTGGGGAGGACAGCTGTTGCTTTGCTTCATATTAATAAAATTACTCGAGTAGTAGTGGTTATGCCAGCCTGGCAGCCACGTGTGTTCAATTATGTTAAATGCTGGGGTATTTCTAAATCATTTAAAATCGCCCAATATTTAGTAAATTAATATAAATAATTTTATGTCATATGTTACCATATGCATATGATAACATTATATTTTTTTTTTTTTATGTATATCATGAATGGTAGGATTATTTTTATTACTAATTTTAATTAATTTATCAAATTAGAATTATAAAAAAAAAAATGTAGTATATAATATTTATTTATATTTTATTATTATTGTATTTACTTACTAGTTTGTATCTATTATATATAGGTATATATTTTTCACAAATGTTTGATATCTAATTTATCAATAAGTTACTTGCATTATTAGTAAATAACAATTGCATAATTTATTAAACTTAATTTGAAACTTGATAAAAATTTCCTTAACACTATGTAAGTAGTATAAAAAAAGATTTAAACAAAATTGTTTTACATTTTTATTTTTCAGGAAATAATTTTGTACCACCGGCCCAAAATCCTGGTGGGTTTACTTTACTGACTGCTGCCGCCCACAATCCTAGAAATTTTCATAATAATCAAGGTGATATGAAAAATAGTCATATGTCTAATATTGCTCATGGTAAAATTATAAAATTAAATATTGATTTACTAGATATGATTTTATATAATTCATAATATTTTAGGTCAACTTCAAATACTAGCTAACCCACCAAATATTTCTCATAGACAGCCAGCAGCTGTAAGTATATTTAAAATAAAGTATTCATAGATTTTAATCTTATTGATAATAAAAGTTTTTTTTATTTGATGCATAAATAAACAAAAAATTAACATTTTAAATCATTCACTTTAATACTAACAATATATTGCTTATATTTTTATTTAAATACAACAATATATTCAGTGAGCCGTAAATCAATACAGTATCTAAGTTTGGATATTATTATAAATATTAAGAATTGAATGTTAGGCAAATTATAATGTTTTATATTATGGACATTCTTAATGATTTTTCTATATATTTAATTAATAAAGAGTAAGTAATATAAGAATAATAATTATTTAATTAACATGTGTGGGAACTTGAGAATGTTTGAATGAGGGATATCCCTACCTAACATCGGTGTTTGCAAAAAACAGCTTTTTGTGGTTTTTTCTTTTTGGTGTTAGCCTTAGTATTAAGTTAACTGTTAACTGTCATTTAACCTATGCCCCTTTAATGGTTCACTATTCAAACAATAATCAAGTCTTTGCACAATTATTCAATTATTTTATTATTATTAAAATAGTGTTATAAAAAAAATTGTTTTAATTAAATTGTTAAAAAATATATTTAATATTTATATAAAACATAATTTTAATATAATAATTAAAAAATTCAAATAGATTATTACATTATGTATTACATTTATTATCTTTTATGTAGCTACTTTAAAGAAATACATATATACATTGTACATCTATTGGAAATAATTTTAAATTATTTGGCTAGTAATATTGTCTGGATAAGGCTAAGAGTAGTAATGAGATAATATTAATTATTAAGTATTTAATGTAAATTTTATTGCTATACATATATAAGTTAATATTTATGTTCTTAGTAAATTAATTTTTATAATTGTTCATAAATTAGACAATCTTAATGCTAGTAACAACTAATAAAAAAACTAAGCTTCTTGCATTTGATGCAAAAGTTTTTATAAACATTATATGTAAAGTATTATATGTTCTAACTTTTTCTAACTAATTTTTGTTATGTATATTAATGCTTGCTTTTTGTGCTCAGCTACCCCACCATATAAGACCAAATGCACCACGTAATTTACCAAGAGGACACTGCCAATATCAGGTAATTTTCGCAACAAATTACTGATTTGATTGAAAACAATTTGTAATTTTATTAGGTATCTTTGTTTTCTATATTTGAGTAGAATTTCTTTTGACATGTTTATATTTTATTGTTCTAGTGTGATAATTTTTCAATTAAATTTCACTTAAAAGAATTGATAACAAATTGTTTTAGTTAATTATTAGTATTTGAACATAAATCCTGAATTCAAACCTATATGTTCATAATACATCCATTAGTGTTATATTTCATTTTTCTGTTCTTTCAATTATATAGATATTTTATGTTGAAAAATAATTGAAAAAAGTATTATTAAATTTTATTATGGTTTAAATTAATAAACTAAACTTTAGAATTATTGATCCAACTAAGGTAAATTGTCTCTACATTTTGTGCCAAAGTGCAATAAGAAATAAATATAAATATATATAAAAAAATAAGGTACAGTTTCGTGGTTAATCATGAAACTTTATTCATATTTTTTTTAGTTATGAAATAACTAACCATTACTCTGTAACAGAATAATATTTAAAGTGATCTTACATATACCATATGCTTTATTTATTAATATTAGTAGTTTAATATTATGGTATTATCTCTGAAATGTTATAAACTATATTGTTATTAATATTGGTGTTGGATATAATACATGTGTTATTGTACTACTGTGTACAAAATACATTGCATATACCTTACTTATTAAATGTTGCATACATTTTTGTTTTTCGCCAAAATTTTAATATCAACCTAAAACATGCTGCTTGGTATTTTTAATAATATTAGGATTACTTTTGACTATATTAAGATAATAGAAAATACAGGATGATTATTTTATTATTTTCCAGTGATTATCTATGGAGATATTGTGTACATTTTTTTTTGTTTTATTGGAAATTAAAGATTTTTTGTACAATGTGATTTAAACAGTATGCTCAATAATCATTAATTCATAGTTTGCATTAGTCATATATACAGCAGAAAAATAGTCCTAACAATGACTTATCTTAAAGTTCAGTCCTTGCTCCCCTTTAGTCCAACCTGTACATAATCTCCAAAATGTTATTATATATGGACTTAATATATGTAGTTGAATATTGTTAAAAATACTCAATATAAATCTTAAAGTACTAGACATACTAGATTACTTCAAACAATGAAGACTCAATCATAACTCTGTTAAGACTGAGAATCCTACATGCTACCTCAACAAAAAATCTGTTAATCATTTTGCAGCTGCAGTATTAATTATGAACCCAGTTCAAAATACCTAGAATTATCATTAGACAGAGTCAGTCTTCATGCTCAAAAAATACTTAACCATGGTGTGGGCAAATTAGTTTCTTCAACAATATTGTATAAATTTTAATATTCTCAGAACCTCTGCTGTTAACCTAGTGTAATTATCTGTGTTCCAATCTGGTTAAATAGTATATTATACAGGTCAGAAAGGTTATATTTAACCCAACTGCAGCATGTGAGACTGAATCATATAATAAAATCCACTCCTCTCCAATGGCTTCTCTAAGCTACATTGAACCTACTTCAGCTATGATGTTTATCACCTCTAAAGGAAATAAATAAACTTAGATGCTACATTATTACTCATCCATACTTTTGCATATCCTATTCAGAGTCCCACAAAACTCATTTTCCACCATGTAAATTTGCAATCACATTACAATATTGACTTCAATTAACCAGAGATTTAGAGAAAGTAATAGGAAACTTCAAAAATTGCTGAGCAGCTATATTTAAACCTATTGTACACATTATCTACAAAAGAAAGTGGACATAAATTAAATTGTATGTGTATCAGATAAAAAAAATGTTGGTAACAAATTTTGTTACTAAGTCCAAATTGTGATTATGGCATCCAAACCAAACCAAATAACATGGCATTTATTAACTGAATGTCTAATGAAGGCATTAAAAAAAATATTTAATTTCTCATCATAATGTAGTTATTTGTTTCATTCCATTATTGTTTTTGAGTGTGTATTACATTTTTAATCACATAAGTATATTGTTTTGTCACTTAGTTAAATGAATAACTTTAATGGTTCAGTGTATTTATTTAACAATATTTTGAAATACATATTGTAAACATATATTGTAACATTTTATAAACTATTGATTTTTAAATAGAAAAACCTATTTATAACTCCATTTGGAAAAAAAAATTTTTTAAATTTATTTCACAAAAATCAAATATGCCTTATATGAGTTATAGCTTATAACAGTTTAAAATATATACTGGATGAAAAATAAAGGGTTGTCTTAGAAATTAAATTAATTACTTCTCTGGTTTAAATGTAAATTGTTATAATTCACTAGCTCTAATCTGTGATTTCATCATTCATTTATAATGCTTTTTCTACAGAGTATGAGAAAGGTAAATAATGTTTAAATGTTTATAAAATATACTCCCTACAATTAGAAATAGTAACATTATGTAATTTACATTATTGATTTAGCTAACTTAAAAACACAAAAATGTTAATGCTTCCTAAAAATTACCAATTTACATATCATTCCGTTCAACATTTGTAACTTTTAAAATTACCCTAAAAACATTTAATTATTAACAAATTATCTCCTCAAAGTTTTGAGTTATTATTAAGCGTATATTTAATTAGTTTTCATATAAATGTTGGCAACAGTGATAAGAACAATATTTCTGATAGGAAAAATTGTTGTTAGTAGATGAATGAAAAACATAATAAACCCCATACATCCTTGCTTGTACTAATAATATAAAATGCTTATATCTCACTTAAAGTTCAAAATATCAAAAATAGCCAATATATATAAACAAATAATATTCTTACCTTTAAGTTTGATTGTACGTCAATCCACGTTTAAACTAATACCACATTACTGGTTCACAAATTCCCCTTTGTTGTATGTTCATTCATCACATGTGTATGTGTTTTTTTTTATAAATAATTTGTATATATTGGAAAAAACCAGTTATACTCTCCAAATGTCCATAGATAATTACTGGTTTTAAAAAATTACTCTTTATAAATAGAATAAAAATACGCATATTAACTAGTTTTAATTTTATAGTTATACATGTCTGGAAATCATATCCAGGCCTATCAAGGAAATGGTAGCCAACCATATTATCAATATCAACCACAGGTACTAAATTCCTACTTTAATTACTCAAAATTTTTTAATTATAAGGAAATTATTCTTAAAAATGTGTTTTAATGTCTTAGGTATAAATAAAATATGTCTATTAGTTTTTGAAAAATTAATTTTGTGTTTAACTTACATTAATTAAAATATAATAAAACATAACATATTATATTGATATTGTTGTTTTTAAAAATGATTTATTGTTTAATGGTGTTTATTTTAATTTAAAAAGTGAATAAGATTTACCATTGATATATTTTTATTTTTAAGGGAACTGCATGTGACTTGTTTTTTTCCAAATGTTCTCACAGGGCTTCTGCTCAGAGTAGTCTGATTTTGATTATTTTTTTATTATTGTTATTGGAAAGATGAAAACTTCTTACTGAGTGCTTTTGACTTTTAAAATTGTATTTCCAAAATCTATTATTAGAATTTGAATAGGACAAATAATTTAGTATATTTGTATGGTTTTTGTTATACTATAAATGTAAGTCCAGTGGTGCCTTGAAGAAAATTGTCTTCTCTCAAATAAAAAAAATATATATATATATTTAAAAACAGACACCTTTTCAAAGTAAGAGAAATAATCCTGTAAACCATGTTTTTAACAAATAGAACGACCCATGCTTTGTCCCTAATACAATAATTAAAACTGATGATATTTTTTGTTAAGATTGTATATGTTAACTATTTCTAAAAAAAAAAGCATTCGTAACTAAATATTTATTGTATTTTTTCAGGCTGCACAAGGTACTACTGTCATTGTGCCATTTATACCACAAAATTACCATACTAATCAACAAGGTATGTTAAGTATTGTGATAATTATTAATATTTCTTTTTATTATATTACATAAATGAAAAAAAATTGATTATTCTATTGTTTTTTTATTACACCATAAATTAATCGAGAATCTTATCATTTTCAAATTTTGATAAAATAATTTTGTTATTAATAAAGTTTAGTATACTTTTTATAATAAAACTTATTATTTATTTTATATGGGGTTTTTTTTTCTTGTTTTGTACATTACCGTGTATATTAAGAGTGTCATATTCACATTTACTGTTCCATTTTAACTAATAGGCAAAACAACTTATCTCGAATATAAATTGTGGTGTTAAGATTGAAAATAGAGTTTAAAAACATATAACGAAATTTAAAGAACATAATATTCGAGGGATCTGTAAATTTATTTTCTAAAATAAAATTGAAGAGAATAAAAACAGCCATAATATTTTTGTATCACAATTAATTTAGAAAAAACTTCTATGTGTAGTGATTATATTTTTAATTTACACTTAAAAAGCATAATGTTTTATTTATTTTCCTATTGCTTATTTCATCACTTGCAACATATAATCAAGTTTCTTATTAAGAGTCAAAAAAAAAAATTTGATATATAAGATTTGTTTTACATTTTTTAATAAATTACTTTTTATTTAATAATGCTTATTATATGAAGGTTAATGCAAAGTTTAATTTAAGATGAATAAATTTGATCTACGTTTAAACTCATCATTTTTCTAGTTAGTTCTAAATAAATACAATAGTTGTTTTATATTTTTATTTTGGTTTTCAGGTTTTTTATTTAATCATGCATCAAGCAGACCAATGGTCAATATACCACAAGGACTTCAAAATACTCCTGTGGCCAGTATGAGTGCAGCTTTGAGTACTGCTCAAAACTCCCATGGGGCATCCCTTATTGTACAGCCACAGCCTATGGAAATGACATCCAATTCACAACCTTTACAAGTACAACAGCAACAACCATCTACTCCTATGCAACCACAAGAACCTAGACCTCAGAAAAGAGTTAAAAATATAATCAAAATTACTCACCCTGATACTGGAGCTGAAATAGACTTACGTAAAAATAATGCTGCTCCAGTAAGTTAATATTTGTTTACCCTATTTAAATGTATAAATTCCTTTGTTTTCTTCAATATAATTAGCAATCAATTATGTAACCAACAAAATTCATTACAACATGATTGGATGTTCTGTATTTACAGCTTTGTTTATATTATAGTAATATTTGGAAAATCTCATTTAAAATTTTTTTTTTATTACTAAATTTATAATTTAAATTCGATTAAACAAGCAGTATTTGTATAAATAAAGTTGTATGTTAATTTATTTTTTAGAGTCCTACTGAGTTAGAAAAAATGAAAGTTCAAAGCCAATTCCAAAGCCAGGTTCAGAGTGTTGTAAAGAAAGACGATAGTAAAGTATCTGATGATAATCAGGTAAATAAAGGAATTTATTTAAATAATAGTAAGCAAATTAAGATTATAAAATTAAAAAAAAAACTTAAAATACAGAATTTCCATTTGAGTGAAACTTATATTTACTAAACTTAATGATGAATTATAAACTTTAATTCTCACATGATCTTTAGAAATCTTTCAAAATATTTTACAGAACAATGAAGGAGGAGAGAAAGTACGAAATGAATTTGTATCTCAAGTGAAAAAATTGGCTAGCAAACCTAATTCAGATCTTGAAGATGATGATATTCCTACAAAATCCATAGAAGAGGGGGTTGAAGCTCAATTACCTGAAGAAGTTTCTGTAATAGAAGAAAGTAATTTTATTGCTCCTGTTGTGGATGATGTCTCAGTTGAAAAAATTGATTCAACTTCAACTATTGATTTATGCACAAACACTGAAGAAGTTTTGGATATCCCTAAAAATAATAACGAAACTAAAACAGATTTGTTACCTAGTTCCATACCAACTCGTGAATTACTACCTCCAAGTACTGATATTGCCATTGTTCCAGAGGAATCCAATACTATAAAAAAAAATCCAGATGAACAATCTGTTAAACCAGGTAATAGCTTACATTTGTATTAATTTTATTAGTTCATCTAATACAGCGGTTCCCAACCTAAAGGTAAAACACAATCTTTTTGAGGGGTAAAAGACTACCTAACCTAATTAAATTTTATTAACTCTTCATCAGGCATATATGGACTATGATTTTAATAGTTTTTTTTTTTTGTGTGGGGGGGTATTTGTTAATATCTGATTTATGGGTATTAGTCTAAAAATGTTGAGAACCGCTTATGCAATCAATTTTTGAGTAGAAGATAACTACCACTTATTGTTGACCTTCATATAATTTTAAAGCATTTCAAATGTTTATATTTTTAATTATTTATCAATTTTATTACAAAATGTGATTATTGATGTTTTTAATGGGATATACTCAATTTTATTGAGTTGTAATGCTTGTTAAGAATACCATACGATAATAATAATAAGCAAAGATCAAACAAATAATTATAATATAAATTGTGGTTCAAATATTTTTCTCAGATGTGGTTAATTTTTTTTGTAACCTCGTTATCACTAAAACTCAATTTTGCATCATTTATGCAAGTGTGCAACTCAATTTTTTTTTTTATTCGCTATTAAAACGTTACAGGCTCATTCCAGACTGATATTTATGCAACCCACACATAGTATAGTAGTTAAAACTCGGCCATGTATTATTTAAAATACGCCTTATAATATAAATAGTTCAATGAATATTAATATATTGATATGTATATTAAATATTATATTATACGTATTGTATTTTAAGCTCAGTTTAGACAATCAAATATTTGGCGAATGGTATACTTCTTAGGCGAAACTTGGATAAAAATTCTAGGAGGGGTTGGCTATTTTCCCAAACAAATTTATTTGCTTCAATTTGATATGTAATATTATATTATATTTTAATAATAATCAAAAAATAATTAAATAAGTACCTACTTTAACTTTTTATATCATATGCATAAGTATTTTGTAAGAATTAGAATCAAAGTGTAGCAAGGAATATATTGGTATATATATGATGTAATGTATGTGTCTTACAATTAAAGATATTTCCTTGTAATTTTGAATATATTTTCTAAAAAAACCCCAATTCATAAATGTAAATAAATCCTGATTATGACAGAACTGTCTAATATCTTAGAAAAGAACTTACTAAAATATTTAATTGTGTGGACTGGGTTTTATATAAAGAAAAATTTTCAAACCAACATTTTAACTATTGATTGTATATGACAGAGGTTATCAGATTCAGTAAAGTTAAAACAAGGAAGTAGGAACTTTTCAGGAATGAAAAATTATTGGAACAATGAATTTGAGAAATTCAAATCAGTTTCTTATTATTGATTTTTTATTTGATGATTAAATCTATTAGTTTCTAACTTTGTACATAACTAATAGCTGATCCATAATCTTATCTAAGGCTTGTGAAAAGAATTTGGTACTTGGGTATTATATTATTATATTTATTTATTACTTCAATATTCTTTCATTGTATATAACTATAGTAGATCACTATAAAACTCTGGTATAAAAAAGTAAAATATTTTTCTCACTTGTATTCCGCGTCGGGTCATGAATGAACCGGCCTGCCGAGTTTTACGATTTTCACTGGTAACTCATATGTTCAATTCAGGCCTGCTTGTATTTACAATATTAAATTAACGATAATGAATTATCTGTTATCGCGAATTTCAATTATTTTATCATCGGTTTTATTTCATTTTGATACGATTTTTTTTAAACTATTCCCATAATATGGCTAAACTGTGACCATTGCTGTCAAATATTATCAAAAAAAGTGATTGGCTATGTTGGTATAACTTACCGGTATCAACTGTTTGCTGTTGTAGAGGTCGTTTGTTGCCTTTCAAATTGTTTTATTATTTTTCCTACATTTATTTCTCAGTATACAACTTGCACGTGTTTTTATTTGGATATTATTTTATATTTATTATTTTCATTTCAATTTTATTGTTTGTTTTATCCTGGGGCTTAGTGTATTTTAAAATCGTATTTTTGTTGGAAGAATGTTTAATTAGTTATTTTAAAGTACTATGAAGGGACCTTCATTACCTATTAGTGAGTACTAATTTTTATTTTGATTAGTATTTATTAAGTTTGTATTTATACAAATTTATGGCATTCGATCGAAAATGAAAATTCACTTTTATTGTTAGATCTTCCGGCAATGAAAATTTAATAATTATAGGAACTATACCCATTCAACCAAAATCCTGAGTTTCAAAATTTATTCTCAATTTATTACAATTATGATTTACTCTTATTCAAATTACTTGATATTAAATGAAAAATAGATAATAAAAAAATGTTTGTTCTTATAAATCTGGATTTCATTGATTTTAAATTGTTTTAAATTTGGTTAATAATCTGAAATTTGATTTGTTATGTAAACATTTGAAACATTTCTTTTTAGTTACAATAATTTCTTGTTAACTATCAAATAAATGGGTGTATAAAAATAAAAGTGTATTCACGGTTATAATATTAGGGTGTTATATTAATTTTGTATACTGTCGTCATCATTTACATGATATCTTTACTGATTTTTAATTATTATACTTTTATTTATTATTTATAATTTGTTGTATATCATATTTGCATGGGGAATTTATTGCTCACAGTTCTTTTAAATGTTTGCCACTGTTATTTATAATTAATAATGGTCCTGATATTATATATCACTTTAAAAGGATTATATAACTGTATTAGCCAACTTTAATGTAATGAATAAATTGTCTTTTGTAATAAGCGAAATAATGATTCATTATAATACTTTTTTTTTGAAATTAAAATTAAACTAAACTGTAAAAAGAGAATGATACATGATCCATTAGTATACCTAATATATGTATATCTTGTCACCTATTTTTAGTTTTTGCATCATTGGTCTATTTCAGACCATTCTGGCAGCCTGTGTGGCTTTTAAACTAAACATCTGCTTGATGTTATCATTTTAGGTAGTAGAAAAACATAAGCATTTTATTTAAGATTGAGGTTTAGTTTGTTTTAATTTATTTTAATGTGAATGTATAATAATATATTTTAGTTAAATCCAAAAAATCTAAAAACAAGAAAAAGAAAAATGTAGTGGCAGAGACTGATGAAACAATTAATGTACAATCTCCAAAAGATAATGAACCTGTTGTTACTGTAAGTAAAAATTTTAAAAATCATTACTGTAATTGGTTAAATAAATTATGTATAGAAAATAAAAATAAGGTTAAAATACTTTATTTATTTTTGCCTCTGAACTAACAGCTGTGGAAAAACTGTGAACGTTATCCCTTTATGTAAAACTTTTTAAAATTCTTACATAACATTGACATTGTGGTTGAAATAATAATTTATCATGATTGATACTTTTTTTTGAAGCAACTAATAGATTTCCATACATAATCGGCTTAAAAAGTTACTTGATACTAAACACAAATGTTAAAATTCAATTTGGTAATAAATATTGTATGATGTATTTTAATTATGTAGCAAGAAAACAAAGAAAATGAATTTGTATTGCCAATTGACAATGAAGACATATCACAACCAGAACCTCAAAAAGAAGAAATGGAAACAGAAACTAAAGTTATTGAAATCCAACCAGAAGTAGTCCATAAATTGCCAAGTTATTTAGACAAATTGCCTTACGCTGAAGGTTTGATTGTTATTCTTTTTCAAATTGTATATACAATTATAATTATTTATAGGTCAATGGAGTGTTTCAAACAAAACTGGTAATAGAATTTATTCAAAATCATTTTTATTACAACTTGGAAATGAGCCTATTTGTCAAAAGAAACCCGATGTATTGAAAAGCTGGATCAGTATTACAAAATCATCCAATCAAACACAATATGGTCAATTAGGAGTAAGTATTATAAAGGCAAATAATATAATGTAATATAATATAATTTTAATTAATTTTAGGTTCTGCCTCATAGTGTACACAGGTCTCAAAGTGCTAGTGCAACAGGCTTTATGCCTTCCTATTTAAAAACTAGTAATAGTCAACGAGCTGGTATGCCTATGATGGTAAATATGTCATTATTATTAAAAATTCAACTTGTTATTATATAAAGATAAAAGGCTATTGTTTTGTAATTGTATAATTTATTTTTAGCAACCTGGTGTTAAAAGAAATAGTAGTCAAGGAAAAACTGCTAGTAAAACAGCTAAACCAAACACCATACATATGTCACTTTCATTGAGAGAAGAAGTTAAACTAAATCAGACTGAAAATGCTTGGGTCCCAACAGCTGCAAAAAAAGCTACTAAAGTGGATGTATCCAAGAATAAAGATGAAGATGAATTAAAAACTGAGGTATGAACTTAAGCAATGTTAGGCATGTTAAATTTAATACATGTTGATTCAAGGTAATTAAGGTTATTAAAATCAAACATAAACACATTATCCTCTGAAGTGACTTGGGTGTTTATTTTTATTTTTCATTATTGTTTTATGGATAATAAACTTCTAAATCACTATTGGACAATTATATCTAGAAATATATTGAGATTATTATTATAATACCCATTTACAGTATTCTACTTCATTATATATATATATTTTTTCTTTTTTGATAAAATAATAGTATAACATATAATTATTTAAATTTTATACATATGTACATTTTACATTTTATACATTTTGAACAAATATTAGTAATAAATTAAGATTAATATTATAATTTTATACTTTTTGATAGTCTCTGTTTTCAATTTTAAACACTTATAACGTATTGAAATAGTTTCTCTTGAATACTTTAACCTTTGGTAATATCTCTATATGCGATTGTAGAATAGTATATTTCATATTTAACAAAGACACCATTTACTATGGTTTAAAAACAAAAGTTTTACATTGAGTTATTTTAATATTCTTATTTGGGTGATGGAGTGAAAAAAAATAAAATTGGAAATGTATTAATTGCAAAAGAAATTGGATTAAAAAATTATGTGGGGTCTAAATTTTTCTTAAAACTGAAAAAAAGGGGAGAACCTGTGATAATAAATAATTATTATTTTAAATAAATGATTTTTAGCCATAAAATACCTATGCAGTTTGTCAACGTGGTTATGCAAGCAATTTGTTGAACTATTATAGTGGCTATAGGCATATAGCATGTTGATTTATTGTAAATATAATTTTACCATTTGCGTTATTGTGCTATAAATATTGTAGCTAATAACTTTTTTTGGGAGGGGAGAATTATCTACCAACTGATTCATGTTTATAAATGATATTTTTATTTTGAATCATGTTGTTGTTATCCTTAGTATTTAAAGCAGGATAACAACTATTCATTAACATTTCCAGAAAGACAATTCAATCAACAAATTGCTTAAAAACATGTAGGTTCTCACTTATTTGAAAAACCAAATTCATTATTGCAACAGTATTATCATTTTTTGTATACTATTTTCATTAATATCTATAATATTTGTATTATTTAATATTAAAACATTTTGTGTCTTCACAAAATATTATCCAAATTATTATTTTATTTTATGACATAAGATAAGTGAGTGTCCCAGAGGATATTCTATTTCCATATTAATGTGTTTTTTATGTTCATTCATATTTCATCTGTTTTACATAAGACTGGTTTTTTATAACATACAGTTTTTATTAATCTATATTTCAGTGTTTATAAATTATATATTTGTTATTGAAGCTAATTCTATTGATTGCAGGAAGTCAATAAAAGTGTCAGATCAATTTTAAATAAAATTACACCAGAGAACATGGGTCCTTTAACTGAACGTTTTAGAGCATTACCAATTGATACTGTTGAGCGACTGGAGAAAACAATTGATTTAGTTTTTGAAAAGGTTATATAAATGCAATTAATAAAATGCCTCTAAATTGTTTCTTGTCAACTTGTCATTTATCTTATTGATTTTTATCTTCAATTTAAGGCAATTGAAGAACAAAGTTTTGCGCCTCTTTACGCGTCGCTTTGTTCAGCTATGCAATCTGTGCAAGTGAGTTCTGGAGAAGGTGGACATAAGAAAACATTTAAGAAGCTAATTATCAGTAAATGTCAGAGCTTATTCGAATTAGACAAGGCACAAGAAATGGATTCTGCTAAGAAACTCTCAGAAATAACTTCTTGCAAAGACCCAGTAATTTAAAAATATTTCTAATTAACAACTTAGGTATACTTATATTAAATAAATTAAATCATTGTAGGAAAAGAAAAAAATACTTCAACTAGAATATGAAGAAAATGAAAGACGATTGCGTAAGCGTTCTGTAGGAAACTGCCGGTAAATAAACCAGATTAATTATGTTTTTAAAAATTTTAATTTAAACAAAATTTTATTATTAGATTCATTGGTGAATTGTTTAAACAAAAGATTCTCACTCCGAATATTATGTTGTACTGCATTGTGAACTTGGTCACTAAGCATGTAGAAGAACCACTGGAATGTTTATGTAATTTGTTAAAGACTGTTGGAAAAGAATTGGAACAAGTAAATATAACTTTTAATTAAATTTACTTTTATTACAGGTCTATATAATTTTATATTTATTTCAGTCCTACAACCTAAATGACATTTTTGATAAGCTAAAACAATTGACTTCCAAAGAAATGAAATCAAAAATTCCATCAAGAATTAGATTTATGATACAAGATGTAATAGATTTACGAAAAGATCAATGGGTACCTAGGCGTAATGATAGTAAACCTAAGTTAATTAATGAAATAGAAAATGATGCTAAGAATGAAGCCATGGTACAATCACTGGCACTATCTTCGTTCAATAGGTCAGATAAACTGCAACGAGATCATCATCGTGGTGATGAAAAGTTCAGAGGTGGGGAAGGCCGTGATAATAAAAATCGCCGTAAGTATTCTATTTTGAGTTAAAAAATTTAGACTTGGTTTGTAAGTGAAACAAATATACAATATCTTGTACAAATTTAGTTCACTAAGCTGTAGCCATTTAAATAATTTCCTATAAATAATTACCTACAAAAAGTAAAATTAACTAAAAATTTCTTTCATGTGTTTTTAAATGATTAAATTTGTCTAATCTTCTCTCTGATATTAAAAATTTTAATATTGATGAAATATTTTACATGATAATAACACATTCTTAATTTACTTATCATAATATATTTGGTGAGAGGTTTATATTAGTTTGATAAATGATCATTGAATATTATTTTCTTCTCAGGAAATGACAATACCGAATGGAATGTTGTTCAGAATGCAAAATTTAAACAACACAATTATACAATCGATCAATCTAAACTTCAAGGATTTAAGGTAAATATATTATTTAAAACAATGGGTTGAACTCTTATTTCCGACATTAAACTGAACTTTTATGTTTTTCTCACTGAACCAAACCCATGTAAATTTTTAGTTAAACTAAAAATACATTCAACTATAATTACAATTTTTTTTTTTTTTTAATGTACAAAAGAAATATTATAATGAGTTTTTATTTAAAAAAAAAAAAAGTTTATTTAGTGTCTCTTTGAAAATTGTATGGCCAAATCAGAATGCTGTGTAGTTTAATAGTAATAAAGTTTACTTTATTTTGTAATCTTAAATCGAGATATCAATTAATACAATGTACATCAAAGAAATTAGACAAGTTATGTATATGAACAATATTATGATTTACGTGATATTGTTATCTACTTATGAATCAAAAATACATTTTTCATATTTTGGTAAAAATATTACTAATGCAAACAAAAGTATATCCCATATATAACAATATTATTTACAATTTTTCGAGTTCAATTTAAGAATAATATCAGACCTAAGTTTGGTTTGAGATTTGAACACTTTGGCCCATTACTAGTTATTTGAGAATTAAATTTAATGACAAGCATTTTATATTAGAGGCCATTTAATAAAAAACCAAAATAAAAATAGCTGTTATTAATAAATGCTGAAATCTTCAATAATTGTTTTTCTATTCACTATTAGAAATTCTGTATATATATATGTATCATGTATTGTATTCTATTGGTGCAGTTTCTTTGTATAAAATATTAGTGTACTTTGGACTGTATAACAAATAATAATTTTTTAGGATCTTGCTGTTACTACTTTGGGCCCTTCGTCAAAATGGTCGTTTCCAATTAATTCATCTAGCGGGAGCAAAAATAGTAGTTTCACAAGTAGTAACACATTTGCTGCTCTCAATGATGACAAAAAATCATCAACCACTTCACAAATGATGTAAATAAATGTTTTCAATTATATATTTTATTTTTGATGAATTGTATTATTTTTTAGGTCAAATAAAAATACATCAAGAAAGCCAATTATATCAGAATCTGAAGAAAGACAGAGAATGATGTCTGGTAAGATTTAACACAAGAATAAATTAAATGCTATATTACTATTCAAATTGTATCACTTAGGTGTGGCAAGTATGATGATGCCACAATTTGCTCAAACATCTCAAACACCAAATTCAATATCATCATCTCTGCCTTCTAAAGAAACAACCACTGCCATTGAAGAACCAGTGAATATTGAATTAGCCCCTAAAATTGTTGACCAAATAAATTGGCTGTGTAAAAATATCTTGCATGAATATTCTCAAATGCAAAACGTAGATGTATGTATTGAGTTACAAAAAATTAATAACTTAATATTACTTACCATATTTTAATTACATTTGTTTCATACTCTTAGGATATAGTGTATTCACTAACAGAAAATTCCTTCATGAAAACTCGACATCAAGAATTTGTTAAAGCTATTGCACTTATAACATTAGATAGCAGTCCTAATAGCAGAACAGTTGCAGGGAAGATATTTGCTGAACTTTTGTCTTACAAGCATAAAGATAATGTTAAAGTTATTTCTGTAGTGGATATTACTCAAGGGTACTATTACCATTAAATAATTTAGAGAAATGCGATAATTATTAAGATTGGTTTTTTTTTTTTTTTTGTAGAATTGATGCGGTTCTTAAAGATTGGAATGATTATTTAATGGATTATCCACAATTTTTTTCCTATATTGCTGATATCATTGGTGAGTTTTTTTTTTTTGCAGAAGTTAAGTTTTAAATAACATTTTATAAATTAAATATTCTCTTTTATAGCTCCACTATTAATCTCAAAGACTGCTTGTTTTGAAATAAGTAATTTAAAAGATTCTTGTACATCTATATGTCCTGACAATGCCAGTGTTTTTTTCACTGAAATATTACATAAAATTTTGAGTTCTAAAGAAACTCAGAACATAAAAGAAGTAAGTTTATTATTGTATATTTTTTCCTTATATTTATACTTTTTTATGACATTTAGTTCAAAAAAATTTTAAAATGCGAGAAATGTCAGAAAGTAGTTTAAGCCAGAGATTTTTTTTTAATTTCACTACCTCTTACAAATGTTTATTTTTATATTTTTGTTATGTTATAATGAAGATGTTAAAATTAAAATAGATTAGTTTTCAAGCCATATATTATTGTAATTCTGATTAGTGGGGATCCTTTAACCATTGAATGAAAAATGTGTTCCAATGACTTAGTGTCCTGGAGTGGTGACTGGTTTTATAGATAAATTGTTGATTTTTATACAATTGGGCTGACCTAGTGGCCATGCTCATGGTTAAGGAAACGAATCTGTGACATGATAAGATTATGTTAAATTATATATTCATAATTATTATTTAAATTTTTTAGCAAGTTGGTGGAATTTTATGGGTGTATAATAAATGGAGGCTATCCGAATATGTACCTTTAGATGTTTTTATGCCCATTAGTCAAATAAATAAACATTTTAAAAATGATGTAAGTATTAAAACATCATTACCTAAATAAAATGATAATGATCTGTTATTGGTATTTTAGCGAGTTGGAGTATTTCTTTTATCTGTGACTATTTATGATAAAATGAGGATGACTGATCCTAAATTATTGTCCGAAATAATGAAGAGTTGGATAACTGTAAGTAGACTTATTTACAGTGTTATACAATGGGATAAATGTGAGCACAGTGTAACATTTTATATTGATTTTTAGACAAATATTAGTGCAGAAATAATCAAATGCCCACAGTTTATGCGTGCTTTAACCATTGCCATTGTTATGATATGCTTAAGTAAGTTGGCATCAAGATTTTCAGTGTTCCTCTTTTTATTGTAACTGGTTTTTTTTTTTTTTTTTTTTATAGAACCTAATCATTCGTTTGAAGATTTCTTTGACCATGTGAATGTCAATTTGTTAACACATTTCATCAGTGAATATGGATCTGAAATTCAGCCACGACAAGTTCAATGTTTGTACGGTATACAAATAATGTCTGCTGCACTTGAGCATCCTGGTGGTAAGTTACTAACCTTCTTTAATAAGATGTCTTATAATAAGTTCTTTTTTCTATTAGGTATGGTATTAAAACTCTTCCACAAACTTTATGAAGACAGTGTCATTTACAAGGATTCATTTGAATTTTGGAAGAATGATTACGAGTTCAAAGTTGGATTTGATGAAGACTTGGAAACTAAAACAATGGCTGTTGTCGTATTGAATTCTTTCTTCCTATCACTTTCGATAAATGAATCTGATGACGATGACACAGTCGATCAGTAGTCTTCAACACAGACTGGCTGTACATGATTCTTCATTAATCAATCTTATATTTTTTTAAACTTATTGTAGATACCATGTTATAAAAAAATTATATAAATAAGAAAAAAATAGCCATTTTTCATTTATGCCCTTTGCAATTCAATTATTTTTTTAAATGTGCAAATATTTGTATACAGTGTTTTTATTAAGGGTTATTTATTTATTTTTTTGTACATTTTCTGGTTTTACTTATACAGAAGCTGGTCTCCTAAAAAAAAAAAAAAATGACTTAAATTGTTGATTTGTCCTTTTTTGACAATGGGATTATGACATGATAATTTTGTTAGTTTAATTTTATAAACTATATAATTGATAATATTTTGTGTATTATAACTAAATTAGTTTTTAAAATATGCCTTAGAAGATAGGAGACTATGCTATTTCAAAATAATATTTCAATTATGATTTTGTAAAGTGTCTATAAAACAACTTATTTTGAAAATTCGAATTTACAAAATTATTGTTATGAAGATAATTCATTGGAGAAAATTATTATATTTTTCTATATACGTTGATACCATTGTCGGACTATATTATGTACAGTTATATATAAATTAAAAATCTGTAAAGTGTCGGTTAATGTTATATCTAAAATATCAAAAAAAAATTAATAAAAATTGTAAAAAAAAAAAATGTTTTTAATATTTTATTAATTTTAAACAGTTTGTTTTTCAAACTACTTAAAAATTAATTTATTGTAACATATTAATTGTGTATATAAATGTATTTTATATGAGTTGAATCATAGATATGATCAGTTTTCTTTTATTTTATAAAATATTAAACATTGTTTCTTAATTCCATTTTATATTTGTTCTTTAAATTAAGAAGTTCTGAATATATTTATTGTTGTAGTTGTTTGATGTTTGAACATTGTATCTGTTACTTAGAGTATTCGTAATCTGTATTTTATTGTGTAACAGTGTTTCCCAAACTTTTAACTCATGGCTCCCTTTTTGAACTAATTGTTTTTTCAAAAACCTATTCTGATCCGAGTACTATTACTCTCAGTGTTCATCTCATTGTGTAGCCAAGGTATATAAAGCGATATATATATATATATAATGGTTCAGTTTTTTTTCAATGAAATACTACTGGGAATTTAATTTGGATGGAATACATTTGATATTTAATATTTTAAAAAGTGCTGATATTCAATAAACATTCGCTAATGAAATACTTGAATATTATACACGATTCTTTATAAGTTATACTTACAGGTCGATTTCAATCATTTTAAAAGTTTGTCGTGATTACACTATTGCCTTTAATACTTTGTTGTTTTGATTGTGTCTAATCGGGTTTATCATAGAATCTGCGGTCTAACATTAAATCAACCTTTCTAAAACAATGTTTGCAAAATTTGACATTTTAGTTTTTGTTTTTTTATGCATTAAATTAAAGAACCAAAGTTTGATAGAAATCTTAAAAATTATAGCATTTCAAGATATTTCTTTCATAATCATTTTTTTCGGTAGCGACGGGTTATCGAATATTAACAATTTTTAAATATTAAATTCCAAATTTATAGTGTCTAGATTTTAATGGATTTCAAAAGTTTATACAGTAAAACGCACATTTCCCAATAGCGGATGTTTTCACTACTTTCGCTATTTTTATTTTAATTTAAAAATAGTGACAAAATGACACTACTAAAACGCATTCGCATTAGTACACGGTCTTAGAATACGTATTATATTATGTACTCTCGTAATAATGTAATAACGATAACGAACTCGTCAACTCGATAAGATTACGAATAGCGGACACCAAGGTGTATTGATAAGGTGTCGTCAAATGTTTGAAAACTTGATTGATAATTTTATAAAAGCTATCACCACTGGGAGTGGTGTATGCCTTTTGTAGGCTGAAAACGTGTAAAATACACATAAAACCATACAAAACTTAAAGAACTTATATCTAAAATGCAAAACAAAGTTTCTTGTCATTTATCAATTGGAAAATTTAAATTCTGGTTGAAAACGTGTTCTCAGAACAAAAAAAAAAAATTAAACATCATTAAAAAACTAATACATTACTCACTTCACTCAAAATCGATTTCATTATTGAAGCCTCCAGCGGAAATATTTTTAATTGTTTATATCATCAGTTTACTTTATATTCTTTCACTACTTAAAATACATATTTACTGAATGTATACAGATTGAAATATTTTAAAATATTGAGGTATAAAAAAAACCACTATTTGCATGTTATATAGTTCAGGAATTTAAACCGATGAATTTTTTTTTATATATTTATATTTTTTGTAACAGGAGATTACTGAAGTTTGTAATAAAAATATTCCTTAAGCTGATCGAAACCTAACCGCAAAAGATCATGTCTGCGAATTGCATTTTATCAATGCTTGTATTATAAGGAGAAAATCTTTAAAATGCCCAGATGGGAAAGATAAATAGTATGAATTTTATAAACCTGCATTAATAGCAAGTACAGTTCCTACCATTTTTTCCAATTTACCTTACTATTTGAGTAAAAAAAACAATAAAAAGAAACACCTAAAATGAAAATCATTTTATCAAAAAACTAAACTACAACTGATGTACATAAGTATATTAGAAAATACACAGTTTTATTTTATTAAACAAATATGTATATTATTGTACCTATGTACAGATGTTTTGCAATAAATCATTTTTTTTTTTAAACTATATTTTTGATATTGTATTTATGCACATATTTATTAATTAGAAACATTAGTATTTATAATCAATGATATTACATTCATATAATATATTATATTTAAATAAAGAAGACAACTTGATGGTGATCAGTTTATGTTGTATCAAATTACCTATAAATGTTTAATTATAAGTATTTAAATATTTCAAATATGATTAAATTATCCAAAGAAGTGTAAATACTAAATATTATATACATACAATAATTTATTAAATTATAATTGGTGTCAACTTGATAAAAATGTAAAACCAAAATTTTATACATATATTATAATTCTAAGATCTAAATAATATATATTAGGCCAACTTTTTAAAAAATATATTTTATTTCGAAAATGGTCATGTAATAAACCTATCATAATATTCCAAGTGACGCATTCATTCATTTATTTATTTATTTTTATATATACATTTTTTATTTATATATTTATTTACGAATATTAACCATTTTAATAATTTTGTTTTTGTTTTTAAAAATTAAAAATTAAACACATTTTAGTACTTTCAGCATTTAACTATATGAAAAATTCAACCTACATAGGATAAGAAATGCTCTCTCTGTGGTAAAAATTTCAATCAAGTCAGTATACGTATAGGAGTCCAAAGTGACGACAGTACGACATATTATCAATATACCTTGGCGGATACCCATCTATTACAGTGAATTATTAATTATTATTAAAAATAATGACAAAACTGCGACAGCATTAGGTTTAACGATAATGAAGTATGAACTCGTTTAATAAACTCGTTAATCGTTATCGAACGATATAATAAGAATAAAACGACTAACGACGATGACAACATTACAATTTAATTTAACCTACACTATAGAGTGTTCATGAATTTAACATAGAGAAAATGTTTTCATTTTACACATTGGGATGGAAATTGGAAGTTAGTTTTTTTGGGTGTCCACTATTTAGAGGTTTCACTGTATTCCATATTTATACCGTTCAAATTTTTACGGATTTTAAAATTTTATATCCCAGATTTGTACTGTTCAAGTTTTTACATTCCAGGTTTTTACGCACTCTCCATTTTTAATAACCCGAAAGTGTTTTTCGAGGAAAATTTGAAATAAAAGGACACTGGCCTTACTTTTTCCGCTAATAATTGGATTTTAAATTTATTTTTAAACCAATAAATATTTAAAAGGTTATGTTTAGTCCCTGTTCAGACATCGAGGTGCATACTTTGAAAACTGTTAGTGTCATGTTATGACCTAAAAAAATTATATTACACGATATTCTGTTGAATAGGGACCTAACTGTTCTAAAGTGCAGTTTATGGGTAAGTCATCCGACTTCTATGCTGGGATGCATAAAAATCTTTTGGTAAATATTAAACGAATGAATACATAATAGCTCGTTAAAATTTTAATGGTTTGTTAAATCACTTGTGAGTTTCATGAAAATCGTACAATTATTTGAAGGAGAATAAACATATATTATCTATACTGTTATCTTTTAACGACAGCAGCTGCTATATCATGCTATTATCATGGTGTCCACATCAGAAGGTTGTTAGAGACACTTATTGATAAAAACCATTAACTATATAGTAAAATTTAAAATCTCACCGGAATCATCAAAATATGTCAGTGGATCAGACCTATTCAAAAACACTCTTGGTTTAGGTAAGCGTCTTAAAACTTCTAATATGAATTAATCATCACTATAACTGGATGATGAATCATAATAAACAGCCATAGTGCATTCAATAAATATTTTAATAATTGAATAAACAAGCTAGTCCATTAATCGTTTTTTTGAAAACCATATAATCAATGATGTATGGGAAAATTATTGTAACTGTATTGATAACACATATTTAACGAGTCATTTGAAATTTAGTGAGCCAAAATCGGGTGATTAACTATAACAAAAAAATGGACCGTTAAGACTAAAAATGAATGTCCCGTTAAAAGTTAAAGAATGTTTATGCAACGAAATATTTTTAACGAGTCATTAAAACTGCTAATAATTAGTTAAATCCTTAACGATCGTTTATGTATTTCGAATAGTGTAGTATTCAACATAATTTACCAAATCTTGACACTTTTCATACATATTGTAAGTTGGTGTAAAAAATATATAATTCTTTTCAAAAATTAATTCATCAGTAATCATTTTATTCTATGACAATAATTTCTTGAATAACCCGTTTTTTCCCAATTATCAAAACCACAAAATTCATTGTTAGGATAAAAATTTTACTTGGAAAATATACTGCACTTAATAAATCGGAGCACGGTTTTTAGTTGAAAATGTTCACAGTTAAAAATAAATGAACAGAAACTAATTTCCCAGAAAATAAATGAGTAAAAGGTTGTTTTACAGAAATTCTGATCAGGAAGTATGGAATTTTCCAGAAATATCATTTAGTTTTTGAAATATTTGTTCACCTGTAGTGTAATAAGCCGGGTACATATTGTGCGAGCCGAACTTACCACGAATGGTTCGTGTCATATTATGTACACACTTGCAATCCGCTCGCGGACCAATACCGACAACGAATCAACAACGAACTCATACCGAACTACCGGTAGTAGTATTCGCAGTGGCGGTTCTATGTTTTGCGGGGCCCTGGACAATGCTTTAGTGTAGTGGTAACTTTAGTATACTGTACACTGTATACTTAAATGGCTATATAATAATAAATCATAAGGCCCATTAAAACCAAAACGAGCTCGAGGACCTGGACATATGACCCATTTGTCCTCTTCTAGCGCCGACATTGAACGTTCGTATTTATCAAAAACTAACGAATCTGTAAACGAGCCGTCTAAACTTACACTAGGTTTTCGTTGTGTTCGTAAAAAAACCGACTCCCGATGGATCGGCTCTTGGGACGTTCGATATGCCGTCCAAATAATTGTCGCTATCGATTCGCAATAGGTACGGTAATTCATTCGCACATGTATACCGGCTATAGGTTTATTTATCAATTTCCTCCTTAATTTTAGGATTCATTGGTTCCTATTATTCCATATAAATAGTTATTATTCTGTGATTATACCTGTTTGAATAAGAGTGTTCTGAATTTTACTTTCTGAAGATTTACTTTTTGTAATTTTTTTCTGAATAATTATAGTCACATTCATATACTAAATTCTACAGAGCATATATTAAGACATTTTTATTGAGTGGCACTTTGGTAAAATGTTCTACCTGCAGAGGAACATATAGGGGAAACCAAGTCAAATCACACCGAGACCAACGAAGCCTACTATCGGGAGTTTTATCCACAAATAACAATTTCGAAAGCATTACATAGTAGCTAGCAGGTACTGTAGAGAAAATGTTCTTTTAATTTCTATGTATTTATCTTATATAATCATATTAATTTTATTCAAATTATTTTGAGTCATTGTAAGAATGCCAGTGGCATATTTGGTTCGTGATGGCACGAACATCAAGCACCGGGTAGCATTAAATTATCACTGAGGAACAATAATGCCACTAAGCCACTATACTGTCAAAATTATATGTACCTGTAAAAATTCACGTTTAAATGTTGTGATAATAGGATCCTCTGAGCTCCCGCGATTGTCTCATCGGGATTAGCGAACCTAGCGGTGTTTTCAACTGTAGTAATGTGCTTATCAATTTATATTAAGCGTGAAAATGTTCACACCACGATTGTCTACATGGCCAGTTAATTAATCCATCTTAGTCAATTCGTTCACGGAATAAATAAACCCTATAATTTTTATCGTGTATTCGACGTGTTTGATTATACTTGTTTCTGTTATTTCTATTTATCACAATCTTTTAAGTTATTAACGTTTAGTCGGGGAAAATCAATCGACAAATAATCAAAATGAAAACGTTTTTTAAAAATATATTGTCGAATAAAATTAAAATTATCACGCTTTTACCGTGTAGCTTTAATTCACCGATTAGATGGTTTTCTGCCAAAGCAGTGCAACAATCCATTAATAATACTGACGAAAAGTCTTTAGCATCTATATCTCAGGTGATTTCTTGTTATGAATTATTGTTTAATATGTTTAGTAAACTAATTGTTTTTTTTTTCTGTAGAATGAAGACCTTGATAAACTATATAAAACCATTGAATTCGAATGTCGTAGTAATGATCCAGCAGTATTGCGAAGTTACACTCATTTCACAACAATGGCAGCAAATGAATTAGGAATTCAAGTTGGAAAATGGTATGGAAAATAGTATTTACTTGTCTGTTTATTTTTATTTGCTGATGTATGCAACTCTATACTAAATGAAATTAATTCTAAAATAAAAATTAAATAATTTTGGGTGCTCTTCACTGGTCTTCATTTTCTTATCAATGAATAAAGCTGTATATTATACTATTTTTTCTATTGTATTTGCCCAAGATATTTATACTTGTTAATTGGATAGGTTAGGTTGAAAAAAATGTTTATTACCTTTATATAATTGTATATATTTGTTACTATCATATGTTCGGAAATAATAAAGATAACCAAATTCTGGTTTTTTATTTTATCATCCAGGATAAGAAATTAAAATTAAAATATTTATATTGCTGTTAATTCTATATATTTTGATAAAAAACTTAAAAAAACCTCTATTTTAATATTTTTGAAAAAAAATTTGATGATAATTTTATATATTTTATTCTTAAAATTTGGTATATTACATTTTTTTTTATTAAATTTGTAATTTGTGATCATTTTTTAAAGTTCAGAGAAAAGTACTTAAAATTATGCAGTAGTATAATAATGCTGTAACTGCATTCGCTTATTGATTATTAGTATTACGGCTAATTTATTGACTGTACAGTCTTCTCTAAACTTTCAAAAATTACTAAAAATCATGAATTTAATGAAAATAAAAAGTTATGTCAACATTTCCAAAAGAATAAAAATCTATAAAATGGCTATCCTCAAATTTTTCAAAAATAATAAAATATAGTTTTTTACCAAACATAAAAACCTAATTGCAATAAAAATATTTTTTGTACTTTTACCTGAAGGTAAAATTAAAAACAATTAGAATTTGATTATCTTATTATCTCTGGAGATATTACGATGTATATTTCTTCTTGGGACACTGTATTAAATCTGTGTAGTATTTTAGTATTCCCTATTGGCAATTACACAATATATAATAAAAAACCTGTCCTAGGATAATGGGTACAGGTGCAGCTACTGTTTTTGGTGGGAAATTGGGAAGGTAGGGGAAGGACAGGAATTTAATGTATAATTGCATGCAACAATTAACTACTGCTAATGAAAAAATGATTCTGAGCTGAATTCGGTTGATAATGTTGGTTTGTCACCAATATATATTTCATATTATGGTAAAATAATTACATATGCATTAATTTTCTTTATAAATATTTGTTTAATATTGTACCTATTTTCCCATTATTTTTGTTTTTTCCCTTTCATTGGGAAAACTCTTGGGAAAATCAAAAAATGACCTTCCTAAAGTATCTCCCCAGTCAGATTTCTTTTCAGAGAAAATGCTATCATAATAAATTGTAATAAAATTCTGGCAGTTATCAGAAGAAGTTGTTCACAGTAAAAAAAAAAAATTGAATATCTCTGTAAAATCAATATATTCCTCACTTCGCTTAGAATTTAAACTGTCACTTGAATAAAACTTATTCTTTTCAATATTTTTTTTAAATAAATAGTATGTCTTTACATTTCAGTTTATATATTACATTTTTTTAAAAGTATTTAATTTTAGTGTAGAGGCATACTAATTAATAAATAAAAAATGTATATATATATATGTATATTAGGAATATTGAATAGAACAGAAGTTATTTCACTGTAAATCATAGATCATCATGGGGCATTCTGTACAAAATGAGCTAATCTCTCTTTATTCAGCATGTTATAGACTAGCAAAAATCTTAAACTAAATATTTGTGTCATGTCAAAATGATTAAATATTATTAATTTATGGTTATTCTTAGTTTTCAATTTTATTGTGATTGAATTTAAAAAAAAACATTTATAGCTGGTCTCCCCGTAAAGCTCACCATGAACGCTATACATTATTGCGATCTATTCATGTCCATAAAAAGTGCAGAGTACAGTATGAAGTAAGAACATGGTTCAGATTTATTCATTTTCATAAAATTACCGGTTCCACTGCAGACACATTTTTGGAGTATACTCAGAGAAATTTACCAGAAGGAGTGGCACTCAAGATTACTAAAGTGAGTTGTATACTATACTGTTACTTATTTTTATTTTAATAATTAATTCCAATTAACCTTTTTTTTATCCGGTTTCAGGTACTATTGGAAAGTATCCCTGAAAGTATTTCATCACACACAAAATTAGACATTTCTTAAAAAAATTGTTTATTTTTTTGTTATTGAATCTTATTTATCTTTTAATATGTAATGTAATATATATAGTAAAATAAAAGTTGGAATTAAATAGTAATCATTTATATTTGAATAATGTATAATTACGAGCTATATTATCATTTTAATATAAAGGAACTGGGATTTCTTAGGGAGAATGTTGTCTCAAAATTTAATTGTACAATTTTAATGAGACTAAATATATTGTATATCGGTGTAACATAATGGTTGTGTAAATGTATTAAATAGGTAAAGAATAATTTCCATTAGATCTACTTTTTAATTGATTTACAATTTTCTTGTAATTCAATGTTTTTAAATAGAACAGGATTTATTTTGTTTTTTTATGCAGTACGATTGTTATGTACAATACACTGTCTTATAAATCATAATAATTATATTACTGATACAGTCCGAAATAAGAAGGTATTTTCAATATCTTCATGTGTACTAATTAATTAATCAAGCTTATTGTTCTATTAGCAACATCAGCAACAGATTGATCTTTTTCCTTAGTCTTCATATAAAATGTTTAGGGTTAGTCATCTCATTCTAAATTTCAATTTGACCTGGTCCAATCATATTATTTTCAGTCATCCTCTATTTATGTTTTTTTTTTTAATTTCTATTATTATAATTCTTACACTGCTTTTTTTTATTCCTCTCTTCTTATATGTTCAAATCATCTCATTACTGACAAAATGATATGTTCAATGTCAATGTAAAAATGCATTAGACCATTATAATATTACATTTTAAGAAAATGTAATAACTACAAATAAAAAATTAATTGATTTTCAAGTGAACTTAGAACATTGCATTTTGTTAATTAAATTTATAAATTGTTAATATACCTATATTCTAATTAAAAACAAACCTGAATAATTATAATATACCAATTTGTTGAACAATTAATTACAATTGAATAATCAAAAAAAAAAGGTTAAATCATTTAATTTTAAATTTTTAAACACTATGAAAAACAAACTTTATAGTGAAAAGGTGGATGAAAATGTTATCAGTTTACTATTCAAATTTACCATTTTGCAAAATTTTCATGCCTAAATGTGACAGAAAAATATTTTCTAAATGCAAAATAATTTTTCTGGTCTACATTAAAAAAAAATTTTAAATTTTATTTTGAAGACATATCAAGTGTCATTCACTATACAAGTATAACCATTCTCTTGGTAACTAAATGGAGAATAAGTTAAAAATATTTTCAACCACTGAAAAAAATACTTAAGGGACCACACTAAAAAGGGTTGATTTATCAAAATTATCCAAAATCTTATTTTTAAAGATCTAAACAAGAGGTAAAATTTAAATTATTTAATTTGAAAAAAATATTAGTATATTAATTTTTGATCTCATGATCTCTCCTTAAAAATTATTATTTACACACATAAAAAATTTTTTTTTCCTAATAATAATGATCGTAATTTAAAAAATCTGAAAAATAATAAGCTCTAAGGAACAGGAACAGAGAAGAATATCTGTTAAAAAATTAAAAAAACCCTGAAACATCCTAATAATCAGTCTAAATTTCTATAAACCTAAGGGTAATAATGATTTGATATAAGAAATGAAGAACATAGAAAACCACTGCTTAAATTAACAATAACAATCTATATTTTTATTTTCCAATATTAGCTATATGGTAGTTATGTAATATATATACACAATTATTTTTTTTAACTCATAAAATGCGTGCTGTAAAAAAGTTATTTAAATAGTATTATATCGTTGATTTTTTAAAACATAGTTATGTAATAATTTCAGACAACCCGTAAAAATAATAAAAATAACAGAAATCCATAAAATATTATGTATATATATGTGCGTTTGTACATATAACGGATGTACTTTTGTGCTTCACTTATATTAATTAATGCATTTTTAAAAGTATACAGCTAAATAATATGTTTTACATACAATAATTTTAATTTTATTTGAAATAACACAAACAAATAACTGTATAATAACATTTAAACACACCTTTATAAAGAAAGTTAACAAATTATTATTATTTTTTTAAATGCAAAGGTATATATATATATAGCAGCTTAAATTTATTTAACAGAACACATATTCGTTCAAGAATTTAAAACAATAGAAAAATCAATAAATCTCTTATGTTAAGTACACTAAATCTACATTTATACACATGATTTTATTATATCAATATTTTTTAAACTAAGTATAAATCTAACATAATATATAGATTACTATTTAATAATATTATATGATAGTAAATTTGGTAACAATATTTTCCAACTAATCTGGACTTAAAATTATGATATTATATTATAGAAAAAGAAATGGCACCTGCAAAGAAATAAATATGATGAAATTATAAAAGTTAAATTTCCTTTGAATGAATAAATTGACTTTTAAGTCTTTCCAAATACTGTTTGGAAAATATCAGTCTTTGGAATATTTTTATTTTAATAAAATTTAAGTAACTGAATGAAAATAATAAAAATAGTACATTATATGTAATATGCATAATATAAAATGCATTATATATATATATAATAATACATTTTAATTTTTATGATTAGAAAAAAATTATCACAAAGAAAAATCCAAGACAAAAATCACAGTCAATAAAAATATCCAAGAATTCGGAAAACGAAGAAAGATTGTAAATAGGATATATATAACTAAAACAATGTTTTTCTGTAAATAAATATAAATTTAAATAAATTATTATTATTATAATATATATATATATAATGGCATTGAAAAAAAAAAAATGAATGCTAAGTTTAAACTCTAAAGGCCTGAAAACAAATTTGTTTTGTGTGTAGGACCTATGTATAAATTATTGCACTTTTAAAAATTAGGTGACTAAAACAATAATCAAGCCGAGAACTAAAAATAAAAATTTTTAACTCAATTTGAAATAAAATGAAGAATTGGCCAGTGAAACTTAAGAAATTGTATATTTAAAAATATGTGCTTAAAATATTAATACAGTAAAGATAATTATTAGCTATATGCATGATATAACAATATTAATATGATTATCTTTTTGTTCCATTTTGTTAAAAACACTGTTTGGTAACTTTCAATATAATATAAATAATGTTATACACATAACTATCTAAAATTAAATTTGAATCATAATGAATCCTATTTACCTTAGGATCAATTAAGAAGGCTCGAGTCTGACAGCATTAGTTTGTTTTTAAACATTTTATCCATTATTCTAATGTGTGTATATATGTATACATATGAGTGTGTGCTTATATATCATATTATAGCTCAAAGAAATATTTTTGTTTTAAAAAATGAATTCTAAATTAGGTTTAAATTTGGAATTTACATCAATAAAATTAATAAAAACTATAATATAATAATTTTTAGAGTAGTATTGTATTTTTAACACTTTAGTTTGTTCCAAATCCAAATATTAATAATAGTAATCAAACATGTGTATTCTTAATACAGTATTTATTTTTAGGGTTTTAAGAGAGTTTATATCTAAACTATTATACTTATAGCACTAAACAACTAAAAACAATTCCATAAATATTTATAAATTGTTCAACAATGATAAAAACAAAATTTGTACTTGTGTGCTTATGAATCACAATGTAGTTTGTAAAATGTTCTAAAGTAAACAAAATTTGCATTGAAAGGGGAGATGGCTTTCTCAGTATAAATTAACAATACAAATGCATTTGATCCTTTTGCATAAGACTTGAATAGCCTATTTAAATTTAAAAAGTACGCAAATCGTTTAGACTGCGTCTACCTTTATCAGAAAGTGGTCTGCAGATTGAAGTAGTTTTTTTTAAGCTACCAAAAACTGGTGGCCAAGTTGCTTGATCAATTGTAACTGGTTTCTTTGATTCAGAATCCTGTTCGAAAACAGAATCATTAGATTCAACTGTATCAGTAGATGCTGATGACTTATCTGCACTAGAAAATGGACTAAACAGGCTTAAAAGTTTATCAACTCCTGTTGTAGTGGCTTGATCCAAACTCGAGGTTAAGCTTTGTAATGAAGTCAACAGAGGTCGAGAGCCCATAACCCATGATACTTTTCTTGTTCTTTGATCTTCTTTTTTTGTATTATTTTTATGTTTGCATAAATCCAAACTATCAACAGTGAGTTCCAAATTAGTAGGCCCAAAAGAATCATCAGATAAAGACTCATTACTAGCTGTTGGTGCTTTGTCATTTAAATTATTTAATTTAGTCACCTTAAATCGACTCTCTTTTTGTTTCTGTTCTGACACTTTAGACACATGGAAACGATTTCGTGTGGATGTAATTGATGGACTGCACACTGGACTACTAGCAATTGGACTGTGTATAGGACTTGGAGCTGGACTCCTTAATCTACCACTACTTCCTCGCAACATGGGTAGATAATCATCTGACCCAAGATAATTGGGATTTTTATTAAGTGAAGTATACTGTATCATCAATGATTCACATGTGAGAGAAATCTTTCTGGAATCTACATTAGGTATTTTGATAGATTTTGTAATGATTGAACCATCTGTTACTTGGTCAAGTAGATTATCATCAATTTGTTTATTATTATTTTTACTTTCATTTTTGTTACATATTTGTTTGATCTGCTCTACTAAATTGGTATACTCCTTAGTTGCTTCCTACAATAAATAAATAAATAATTTACAAAAAACTTTTTACAGCAGTAATGTAAAATGTAGAAATTAAAATTAAAATTATACAAAATTATGTCTTACAGTTGTATATTTGTTACGTGGAAGAGGATCTAAATCTAGGCGTGTAATTTTAAAATTTTTCGAAATGGATTCTTTTAAATTGTTCAATCCTTCAACTTGAATATTATTATCACGTAAATCTAACCTCTGCAAAAGCAAACAATATTATAATACAAAATGAGGTTTGCAAGGAGTAAATGTATTATCTAATGGTTGATACACATAATAATATTCTGCCATTAATTTAATTTGCAGGGAAATTATTTAATATTCTAATTTATAACAAATAAGAAGTAATTTATTTTAATATAAAATATTAAATTCACATAATATCATTCGCATGTGATAGGTTGTGATACATATTTCAAGTCTAGTAATTCAATATATCTATAAGAATATAGAGTATCTATATTATTAAATATTATTTAAAATTTATGTTACATTGATTTAATCATGTAAATATTCAAAATAGAAAAAAATATATAATACAAAGATTTTTCGAATTTATAAATGTTTACATAATTTGTAAAAACATTTTCCTTTATTTTTAATATTTACTTGATAAAATGACTAACATGAATTTTGTATCACCCTGCATAAATTGTGATTACATTTCCAGGTAACACTAAATATTTCAGGCAAATACCTTTGGATTTGAATTTTACTTTCGGGAGATGATAGAGGGTACTGAAGTATGTTAGAAGTATTATTTTATAGGAACATATTATTTGCAAAGATAATATATACATAATTTTTTTAAAAATTGACAAAATATCTTATTTTTTAAACAAATTTATACAGATGTATCTCAGGTAATTTTTTTAAAAATATGTGTATTAAAGTTACTTGAATAAAATAAGACTCACAATCTATTGACAAAATTAAGTGTAGCAAAAAAAGTCACATATGTATTATGCATGGGCACATCGAAAAGGTTAAACATTTTAATTTATCCTAAGGTGTGTATTCTAGCACTTTCTATCACCCTCTTCAAATACAGAATTCAAAACCATGATTATCCTGCCGAAATATTTATTGTTACCTGGAAACATAATCACACGGTATGTAAATATATAATTGAATATAAATTATGACCAGTTTATTATCATTTCTTATTCCAGTCCAAATTCTAAAATGTTAAAATTAAGGAAGAGTTTTTATTGTAAGTAATATTTGATATTTGGTTAGATATTAATATGTTTTATGAATTTCTAAATAAATTGATTCAAATTTATTTTTACATATTCGGATGTTAATATAAATGTTTATTGTTTATATATATTTTTTAATTTATTTCTGTTTAAATGTTAGATGATGATGTTTTAAATTTTTTTTCTCTGTCTGTCATTTATTTTATTACTAGAAATTGTGCTCTAACATCAAAGTTGATTTATCATAGCAAATACTATCTAGTTGAGAATATTAACACAATACGGTTTCTGTTATTTTTGACTTTTATAATCAAATAAAAATAATGAAAGAAACTTAATATTTGCATTGAATATTTATCCCTTATAAAAACTACATTATTGGTGTATTAACTGAAACCAACACTTAAATTATGAATTATCTTTTTTTTTTGATACATATAAATGGCCTAGAATTTAAAAATTTGTTGATGACCAGGAAACATTGCTATAGTATTATGAGGATAAATTCAATTTTATCTCAGAAACAGAACAGAATTTGATGAAGAATCTATTTCAAAAGATGATGATGATAATGCGGTTTATAAACAAATGTCAAAATTGTATCGTATGTTGTTTTAATTTCATGTGCAACAATTTACATTCCATGGCATACTTAAGTTTACTTTTAGCTTACAAATTTATTTTAACTCTGTCCTGTATGCAAGTAAGTAGTGAAAAGGCATTTTCGCAAAATTAAAATGCATACTAATAGATGCAGAAATTTTTTATCGTAGGACAAAATCAATCAATTTTTATTAATGATATTTTGCTAAAAATACAAATTAAAGATGTTACAAAATTATTGGCTAATAATAGTAATTTGTTAAAAAATATACTCATTTGAATTTCAAAAATTATTTATTTATTTTAAAAATTAAACAGGCTTGAGTCTTTTGAATTTATGACTGATTACAAATTGACAAATTGTAAAAACGGAAACTTATGTATGATATTGATAAACATTAATTTAATAAAGTACAATACAGAAAGTTAAAACTTAAATTAAAAATATCATAAAACATTTATAGATCACTAATACTTCTACCATCGCAATACTACAACATTAAACTTGAATTTATCAAAATCAAAAATCAAATGATGGGGATATTTTATTAGCTAATAACAGTTGTGGGAAAAAAGAATCGGCACCATAACTTTTATGATAGTAGGAGAAGAAAATCAAATCATTAGTCCCGAAGAAGAATGTGGGAACCTTGATGCCTACTAAAGCCAGTAGATGTGGACAAAAAACGTAATCATTTAATAGATTGTATATAAATAGGGTTACCATAATGTTTTTAGACAAAATCTAGTTTGAAAATAATTGACAAAAAAAAAAAAAAAAAAAAAAAAAAAAAAAAAAAAAAAACGAATATTATAATATAATAAAAAGATGTGGTAATTTTCTTCAAAAAACACTAGTACTTCATTAGATTGTGCTTTGTCTAGGTATGGGTTCACACAAATAGAAATAATATTAGTAAGACTACAATTAGTAATACCTAATATATTAATCATTTATTTTATGTCAACAATTATATGTTATGAATTGAGTATGTCTTGGCGATGATTCGAGACATTGTTATACTATTTTATATCACAGTCAAAATGTAAAACATGACTGAATATAAAAAATTAAATGAAGGAATACATAGGAAAAAGGAAATTTACAAATTGGCCGTTTTTTCATAGAAATAATTTATTTTAATAAGAGAGACTTTTGTTTATATGTTTGGTTAAAATTGTATTAGTCTTAAAAGTGATTTTTCATACTACAATAGTTAACAACCTTATTTGGTAAGAAGTGTATTATTTTTTTTAATAGAATTAAAATTAAAATTTGGGTTATATTAAAGACATTGATAATATTGAGCCCGTGTTGATAATTATGTTTATTTAATGGAATATGCTCAAGTCTATAGAATATTGAATTGAAAAATGATATTTTTTAAGAATAAGAGTGATTAGAATCATGTGGTATTAAAGCATCAGTTTGTGTATGTTTCCTGTAAATACTTTTTTTTTTTTTTTTAACATTTTATTAGAGAATATACAATCTATACCCAAAGGCATAATAAGAATATGTGCTACATTATATTAATGTAGCACAATGTATTTCCTGTAAATACTAAAATCTAATTTATTGTTATTATGGAAACTGTAAGATCTAAGAAATTAAATTTACTATTAATTTGTATTTTGAGTGTAAATTGAATGTTTTTATTTATTTTGTTTAAGTAGTTGACTAAATTTTTTACTTGTCTATTTGAACCTCTAAATAAAATGAACGTGTCATTCATATATCTATAATATGCTTTTATATATGGACTGTATATTTTGTTATTAATAATGTTAGTGGTGTCATAATTTTACATGTACATTTCAGATAAAAGAGCACTTAAAGGACCATCTAAAACTAACCCATCTTTTTGCTAATATAATTTATTATTAAATTGAAAATAGTTTTGATTAATAATTACATTTATTGATAGAATAATTTCTTGTACTTCATTTGTATTAAATTTATTACTATGTATAAGTTTATTTTTTAAAACATTTACTGTTTCTTGTTTAGGAATAGATGTATATAAATTTTTGACATCAAGAGAAATCATTTTGCAACCTGGCATGATATTAATTTTATTAATAAAATCATAAGTGTTTTTTTTTATAGAAGTATCAGTATTCATGTTAATTTTCTTTCATGAAGGAGTCTAAATATTTTGCAAGGTTATAGCTGAAACAATTTTTAAGTTAATAAATGGACAAATCGGATTATCTTATTATTATGTAATTTTATGAATGGACGTAAGTGTGGATTTTCTATTTTGTAATCAGATTTTAATATTTTCTATTAGACTTAGAAGTATGATTTCTTTCGAATTTGTTATCAGTTTATTGATTTTTTTAAGTGTAAATTATAATTGGGTCATATATGTGAAGTTTTGAATATTATTATTAGTATTTAAAAAATTTAAAGTTTTTTTTTATGAATTTCACTATTGTAAATGATAGCAATAGTATAAGATTTATCTACCACAACTATTTCTGAATTATAAGTTTTTAATTTATTCACTATATTGTTAATAATTGTATTTTGTTGTTTAAATATTTTATCAGGCTTATTTTTGTAGTTTTTATTTGTAATAATACACAGTGTAAATACATTTATGTGAAGGTATATAAACACAACCTAATAACAAGTTACAATTTTATTGTTAACATTTAACAAGACAAAAATAAAGTCTATACCAACAATACATTCTGTAGGTATTATAAAGCAACGTTATTTAATATTTATAGCTAATAAAATTCTACCACCCCTGACTACATGACTAGATCTCGGTCAGCTCTAAAAATATTATAATTTACTAGACCTTGTTCTTCATCATTATAATTTATATTAAATTAAGTTTCACATAAAAATAATAATAAATCACAATCAAGGGTAATAACTGAATTACGATATGACACTAATATTAATTTTTATAATTTAATATTATATATTATATGTTATTTATTATAATAATAATAAAAAAATGTTACTCGCATTTTTTGTAATTACAAACTAATATACAAATGTTCAAATTTAATTTAATGAAGGAGAAAGTAATGTTTGTATTAACAATAAGGGTAGGTAATGTAAATCTTGTTGTTTACTATAAAAGATGTGCATAGGTAGGAATGGTATGTGTAGCAAAATATAACTTAAAGGAGTTGGGATACAATGACACATTGTATGGAGCTCATGTTTCCTACTTTTCTTTGACTCATGTCTAAAAGATCAATAACTGACTGAGTCCGAGTAAGTCGAGCTACGCTGGTACATGAGCAGTGAGCAACCTCTTGCCTAATCAATCCCATTTATCATATTGCACCTAGAGTCCATAGTCGTGTCACACATCATCGGGATCCTATCCCAAATTCAAATTTCAATGTGTGCGTGTTACAACTATTGAGACTTTATTAGACACAACATTCTTAGAAACTTGTGCCAGTCAAGGTGGCTAGCCCGATGAATACTTTCTTTCTAATCTGGCGCTAATGAAGACGACAGTATGGGTATAACTGATAAATATAACATAAAATACGCATTATCTCAGAAAATATTGACTTTATAAGAATTTTTTTAAAAAAATTAGGAAACAAACAGCTCTAAAGTGTTATGTTATTATTATTTTTTGTTACCCTTATGTTTTGGGCGAAACAATTACCATATTTAGACTTTCAGTTGGAAACTATATCAAAAATTCATAAAAACTCAAATTTAAAAATTGTATTTACTTATATTGACCTATATAGATCAATAAACATACATCAGAGTGGTATAATATTCAACCAGTGGTGGCCAAACTTTTTTTTTACCATAAGCCAGACAAAAAAATTGTTAGGAAGAATTTGAATAATGTCCTTAAAGCTATTGGGATATTAGGCCTATTGGCTATTAATGTTCAGCACTTAGAGATAGATAAAGTGAGAGAGTAAAGAGTGTTTAGACAATAGACCCCCGGATTAAGAAACACGGGTGTAGAATACTTTTGCAAGCAGTAGTTTGACCATAACTGTACAAACATATTAGGAATATTAGTATTAAACAGTTTATAAAAAAAACTATCATTTCACATGCACTTATTCTACATTCAAAATTAGAAAAATTAAGTAAGTTTATACTTTACATCGATAAAAAAATGTATTTATTTTTTTATTAGTTAAACGTGTAGTTTTAAATATCTATAATAATTACTTGTAATGTAAAATTGGTTTCAAGAGCTTCTGCTAAATACTTTGCTCCTTTAGAAGTAATTTGAGTGCTTTGTAATCCTAAGCGTAATAAATTTTTGTTATTTTTTATTGCGTTTTGGATAGCACTAGCTGTGATGTCAAGTAAATGGTTATAGCCAATATTGAGCATTTCTAATTTAGTTTCCGTCTCCTACAAAATACAAAAATTAATAAATAAAATAACAATAGAAAGTTTTATTGGTTTTTCATTAATTAAATTAGAAATGATGTCTGTTTATTTTTAAAAACAATTTTCAGTATAGTTAAGATAAAAATTGTCGCTTAAGAACCATAATGGCAAATCTAAAAAAAAAATGTAAATTTAGTTTAATAATATACTAATATTATTAGATCTATTTTTTCAAGATATTTGTGATCTTATTATCAGTTTCGAGGTTCAACTGATAGGTTAGGCCTGAAAAATCAAATTTTCAACATGGCATTACTAAAATCACAATCTTAGAATATCCCAAGACCATGTCTAAAATTGTTTATCAATGATATCACAGCCATTTTTCGTTTTCAGAAATGTAGAAAACTGAGAGTGATGTATATAATGGACATTAAAAAATATCTGTTTTAAACACATGCCCATAAGAGACAGGTAAGAGAGGTGGGATTGTAAAGAAAAAATTAAAACAAACAGAGAAGAAAATACATTACAACAACGAAGTGATATGGAATAAACACTGAATAGTCTTTAAGTTTTATACATATTTTTGGTTATTTTTGTCTTCGTAATTAACTTTATCCTAATTATCAATCACATAATCTGTCATAATCAGTACCTTTAGAAATAAACTAGCAATGTTGATGCATGGCATGTATGTATACGTTTGCAATACATTTAATTTTGAACTAAGATAGTTGTCCGCTATCGAGGTATTGGGGGAAAATATAACTGTCTATGTCCATAATAAAAAGAGCCCGTTATAGACAGGTCGAAATACATAGGAATGGCTCTTTTTGCTGGGACCTTATTATTTTGTCTGTTAAGACAGGTTACACTGTAGTACTATAAAAAAGTCATCTTTAGAATTATTTGAGTTTAATTTTTAAATAAAAACTGAAAATAAAATTTATCTATAAGCTGAGTGTTAAAAATAGTAGACAATAATGGTTTATCATAATTTTAAAATTAAAAATAATAATACATTTTTCTAATGGGGACATAGTACCAACATACGCTGTCTTAGAAATATACAACATAACAAATTTACGTTCAGTAGGAACAACTTTATGTTGTTATATTATATCTTAGAGTGAACTGATTTATTAATTTATTTGATTTATCTGAATACACTTTATCTTCAACAAGTGGTGAAGATAAAAAACCTATAATACAAAGCACAACACTCATAAATGAAGCAAAAAAAAAAAAAAAAAATAAATGAAGGAAAGATTAAAGTTTTGAAAACAATGAACAGATAGAATGACGAAAACCTAGAAATTGAGAACTATGTGTTGGAAAAAACTCAATATTTTAAATAGATAGGTGCAATAATTACCAGAAATAATAATTAGTTTTGAAATAGATAATCATATCAATAAAAGTAAAATGGCATACTTTGCACTAATTAAATACCTACTTTAAATCATCGGTTCTTAACCTTTTCAGGTTCATGAACTCCTTCCAAGTATAAAGTATAACCATAAATTTCCCAATAAAAAAAAACAACATAATTTTTTGTCCAATCGGTATCTCAATTTCATTTCAAATGTGACTAACATAGAAAATCTAGTCTTGGAGAGATGTGTAGTTGTAAATGAAATCAAAAATTCCATTGTCCTGAATACAACTCGCGGATAAGCCTTTGTCAATGTATGCCAAAAATAATGAAATTTTTTGTCTGAAAATAGTGATGTGCCATTTCTTTTGATCTTCAATCAATTAATTTTTAGCGAGATCTGAATCTTTAACAGTGTTTAAGTCTCTAAAAAAAGCATTACTACATAACCATATTTTTGCTTTTGAACAGGTATGTAGAATCAAAATAATTGTTAAACAGATTTTTATGTACGTCAAGATGTTCATAAATTTGTATTTGTACAGAAATGGACAAATCAATAGTACCTATTATTATTATTATTATTTTAAAATTCATGTTCAAACATAAGAAAGTGTGCTAAATGTTCAAATTGCAATTTTCTTTTCCACAGGGGAACTTTATTTACAAATGTTTTTATTATTTTGAATCAATGAATTTACTTTGTTCTAACAAATAAAAATATCTATTAAATATGAAATGAATGATATTATTATACAAATATTTTGAGAGTGAGCTTGACCGTTCTATTACAAATATATGAAATTTCTTCTTTAAGTTTATACAACAAACATTACATAACTTATCCTTTGGAAAGCCAATCTACTTCTGTGTAGTAAAAAATTTCATGTTCAGCTCCCATTTCTTTATATTTCTTACAGTTTCTACTTCAACTACATGATCTTGATTCATTGAATTTGAATTAATTTCAAATAAATTTAATTTTGGATTATTCAAAAGAAAATCACAGCCATACCATAGACCCTTGAATAAATAACCTTCTGAAAACCCCTAATTGGACCACAGGTTAAGAACCTATAATTTAAATTTAGGTTTCTCTCTAGAGGTACAAAAGTACGCTTGTAACAGTAACACCTTGGTAGTAAGAGTTATTAACTAAGGACCTTCAAGAACAAAGTGCTAACCACAAGGACCTGTATGACATAGTATAAAACTGCTGGTGAAGAAAAATGGCAAAAATACCCATAATAACAAGGTGATTTGGATATGTGAAACAAAGAAAGGTAACAAAGCTAGAACAACGAAATGGGAAGAGACCAAGAAATGGAGGCCAAAGAAACAATGGGAGAAAATGATTCAGAACCGTAAAAGTTGGAGAACCTTTACAGTGGCGGCTATAACTCTTAGTTCTGAAGCCATATGATGATGAATTAAATTTAAAGATTCAAGGTCAATTTACTCAAATATTAAAACAGTATAATGTTGTAAGTTTATAAGGCAGCACATGCAGATGGTACATCTTCTTAAAAGAGAATGCATAGATATTTCTAAATCTTTTTTATTAAATTGTATTTATTATATTTACCATTAAATTTGACAAACATTCTGAACAGTCTTGATCCAAGTTATTATTCCACACAATTAAAATTGTCAATGGAGACTTTTGATTTACAATGCTTTCACAGAGTAATCGGAAACCTTTATTTTGAATATTATTGTTGCTAAAAATAATAAAATAAATTTGTTATGAAAATTTACCTATAAGTAAATATTGTCAAAATAATATACTATTGGTACTAGGTATGGCTAGGCATGGAGAACAATCATTTAACAATGATACATACACAATACATATTTTAGCACCCACATGACCCCCTTCTTTAAGATTTAGAGTGCAATGTATTGGTTTTACTATATTTTGTCTGTAAATCATTCTTGTACCATAAATATTGCATCAACCAAAAAACAAAAACAAAATTTTTTTTGTAGCATTTTGAATTGGAGTATTGGGAAGCTCATATTTTGATATTTTTACAATTAGGAAAACATAGGAAAAGCAGACAAATTAAAAAAAAAAAATGCAGTATAAGAACTGAAAATTTTACAAATATAAGTTTTTATATAATTTCGTAGATCTGGAAAGATTTTTAAAATCTTCTGGTGATTTTTATTTATAGGAATTTTTTTTTTTTTTGGGTTATATGTGAATAATAATTTTTGTCAATCAGAAATGTTAGAATATTTTTCTTTTTTTTTTAAAGCCTTATATCAAGTTAAATTTTGATAACAATTTTAAAATCACAACATTCTAATATGTTTAACTAAACTTTTCTTAGAAACACATTTTGTTATCAATTATTTATTATCGCATACAAATATAAAAACATTATACAAACTATCTTCCAAACTTCCTACCTACACCAGTGACACTTCATTCATAGTTTCAACTTCTCAAATAAACTAACTCTTTTATATACTCCCGACTTCAAATTTATGTTTATATTATCAGGGTTTACTGATAATTATCCAAGATAAAATTAAAATAGACGAAATTATTAATTTAGAACAAAAATTTTATATTGTTATTAAAATTCAATTGAAACTGTAGTTATTTATTTATATGCACATTTTTCCTAACACAGCTTTTTGATTATATACATAGTATTACCTACATACACTATAATTTTTGTTTTTTTTTTTTTGCTTTAAATTAATTTACCAAATTATTTGATAATTAACAATACTTGTATATAATATCTTTTAATTATGTTATTATTATTATATTGCATAACATACAAATGTTTTAAATCCAATTACAAGGAATTAAAAAAAAAGGGTGGTGTAATTTTAGCTGCTTGTTTCTTAAAATAATAATAACACTTTCAGAGATACATAATTAAGATGATCACCTTATATACACAAATGTAACAATGTGTAATTTTAGATTCTGAGAGGAGCGAGAAGTGTATTGATTTTGCAATGATGTTTATTTATAATTTTTTTTGTTTTATCTGTGAACAATTTTTCTACGGGCAAATTTTTTCTAATTTATAATGATAACACTTTTTGAAAGAAAATTTAGCTTGAGTGGTATCTACTTTAGGGAAGTCATTTTTTAATTTTCCCAATAAATGAAAAACATTGGGAAAATATATTAGAAAACCAGGAAAAAAGGTACTATGTTAAACAAATATTGAATGCATATATAATTATTTACCATAATATGACATATATATATAATAGAAGCAACATGATAAACTGAATTCCGCTCAAAATTATTTTATAATTAGCAAGGGTGATTCGATGCATACAGATATAAATTAAATTTTCCCTCTATTACCTTCCTAACTTCTTATCTTCATCAGTGACTCACTAATGTGTGAAATATGACAGTCTTTTTAAGTCTGAAGACAACCCTTTAAATAGATATTTTTTTTATAAACAATCTGTAAACAACTATTTGAATAAGCATGCGTGCGAATATATACATTAAAATTTGGGCATAATTGAAAAATAGCAGCTACCCATTGGTAAAACTTTATTCAACAATTTGGGTAGGTTAATTTGAATAAGTAATAAATAATTTAAGTCCTACCACTTTCCCTTTAGTATGCAATATGCATGGTGAAATTTCCAGAAATGGTATTAGAAATAAGAGTAGATTATACTAAGTTTGAGTGATTGGACAGTTAGGAGTGCATATTTTTTACAGGATTTTGGAAGTTGCTATGGTATTTATTTTTATATCTAAAAGAAGGGTGTGGTTTGAAACATAGATTGGGCCATTTATGATTAAACAAAGGGCAATAGATTGGAAGGTCATATGTATTTTAAAATTAAAAATATGTTTACCTTAAATCCAACAACTGTAATGTGGTATTACATTTAAGTAAAATTGATAGTTGTTTTGCATCATTTTCATTAAGATAGTTTTCTCCCAAGTAAAGTTCTTTTAATGAATTATTTAGTTTTATTGAAGACACTGAAATATTTATAAATATAAAGAATATGTAAACTACAATTATCATGTTAATATTAATGATGGTATATTGTTTCAAGGTTAATATAATTGCATATGATTAAGTGTTGTAATTTGATTCATTAATTTAAATATATAATATATTTAATACTGAATTAAAAAATAGTTACCTAATGAAGTTAATGGACGGTCCGCAAGATTACAATTTTCAAGCTTTAAAACACATAACTGTGAACCTAATTTTAATGAACGACTCAGTATTGTCATATTTGATTCATTAAGTATTGTGTTTCTTACTTCTAATTCTTCTAAACATTTTGACTGAAAAGTAATTACAGTTTTTATTTAAAAATTCCTTTTTAAAATTATTATAACAAATCACCTTTTTTAACGTACGAGCACATGCTTGCCATCCTCTGGTACCAATATCATTATTAGAAGAAATGTTTAAACAAATAGCAGATTCATAAAAGTCTAACATATCAAATAATGTGATTGCAGTCTAAATAAGAAATACATAATAAATTGTTAGTACCTAGAATTTCTTTTTGATTCCTTTTGTTATTAATGTCTAACATTCAAAATAATACATTAAATATTAGTATATTTATAATTATGCAGAAAAACTTGTTAAGGATAATACATATTAGCAGATAGTTTCATATTAAAAGACTAATTTATAATGATCTTCTTAATAGCGACACTTTCTTAAAAACAAACAAATTACTAATTAAAAAGAGTGAATATATTAAACATAACTACTTAATAATAAATATGGGAAGTGAAATTAATTTTTTTTTTAAGTCTGTACTACCCAAAACATACCAAATTTTTAGTAGATATAAATGATTGATTCTATTGTTAATATTATTAATTATTAAATGTTAAATTTATTTAATGGGAATAAAGTAAATTGTATAAATATTTCTGTAATAAAAAAGTGTGATATTTAAATATTTTATATAATTTATTTAATTTATAAACAGTTAATAACTTAGTTTTTTTTATTAATAAAAATTAAATTATGTAACTATTTGACTTGTAGAAGATACCGGATACATTTTTAATACATGTACATAAAGATATTCAAACATCAAAGTGTTCTTACATCATCATTTAAGCCAGTTGCTTCAACATTAATCATTGTAAACTGAACTCTTTTAAAAATTTCTTCAAGGCTCTCCCAATCAACATTGTTTAAAAAAACACCTTTTAAATCTAGACATTCATTCCGCTCCAAACTTAAGTTCAAAGATTTTATTTGATTAAGAACAGAAAGTAACGGATCAGCATTATGGCGTTCACATGATTCTTGATATTTCGTTGTCAGTAATTCTATAGTTACATTTTCCACTGAGAACATTAAAAGAGAAAAATGTAATGACACACTTTGTTCTTAAAATTTACTACAATTTATTTTTGTATGCATGCAATGTACATTAGGTATGCGGGTAATTACTTGATTCCCAAGGATGCATGGTTTCGAGTATGCCAGTGACAATTTGACTTTCGTCATCTGGAAAAGACACATTTCGACTGATGTATGTTTTCTTCGAGTTTGAACGTAAGCACGACGGACCAACTGGAACGTTTGACAGAGATAATATTTCGAAATTGCTTGGTAACGATCTGGATTTCCATTCAGTCATCACTGTTGGTTGAATTATGGTCTCATGTAAAAGTAGTACATACTTTCGACTGGCGAACTCGAACTATAGTTGTCGTTTGACCGCGTTTGAGCGGGTCAAAAAGTAAAAGGTTTTCGGCAATTGTTTACTAATATAACCAGCTTCATTTATGCATTGCGCTGGTCAGCAGCACTTCACTCGGTATCGGTCAAAACTTGACGTAAACAAACTGCAATGCACACGCACCGTATACATGTATATACGTATAATATACATATATAAATGTTTGAAAAAAGGAAAAACAAAGTTAATGTAGAAAAAAAGACTCGGGACCTTTTAAAATCACTAAAAAATAATAACACGAAAATGTTTGATGATCATTGGAAAAAATTCATAATCGATAGTTACTGGTTAGTGGTTGGTAAAATTTAACCAAACGGATAAGCTACGCTACCGCGGTAAACACTTTAATCACTAAAAAATTACCTATGCTGTGTGTGTGTACGAGTTTAATGGTATATATTCTACTATTGTATGTTACAATGTCGTCGTTGAAGTTTAAAATTTAAAATTGTCCTAAGAATATTAAGTCCGAGTGTAGGTATTATATCAATACCATAAATACTAGTATTCATAAATAATACCTAGATTTACGAAATTTATTAGATAGGTTGCATTAGCTTATCGATGTTTGTTTATTTTTAAAATTTAAAGAATTCTATGAAAATAAAAATATGAAATGTCGTGGATTAGAACAATAACAATATCGCCGGTGGCGCTATCTTTTAAGTCGGAGTGGCGACTTCATACCGCCCCCATTATAATATTATAGCACATCGATATAGCGAAACAAAAACACAGGGGAAAATATTTGGCTGTATTGAAGGCGAGTTGTAATAAATTGTTGTGAATTTCCGGCAATCTGTTCATGAACGACCGAAGCCAAGTCACCGGTCGTTCTGAATTTCGTCACTTTGTTGCAGGGCCTCGGATCATGGTTGGCCGTCATATTTTTTGAGAAATTGTAAGGTACATATTATAACAGATAATATTATGTACATGATTATTAACACATATTATAATACGATGTAAATGTCCTATGTGTTGTTTGGTTTCTAAAGAGATACCAATTTCAAATGCTTTGTGGGGGCTATTTTTTTATTGATTGGTATTCATTCCTTCAAAATGTTCACTGGTGTTTCGATGATTTGTATTGGAAATTAAGGTGAAAATGTCGTCAGCCGCTGGGAAGCAAAGTAACAACTCTGGACAGGACGATGAGGGCGAAGAAGAGGATGACGAAGTCGGGGATCTGGTTTCTGCCATCAATTACAACACCATTAATTATAACACCATATCTTCTATGGCCGTGCTCAAAGAAATACTTGGTAAAATTAATAAAACTAATATGCACCTAGATATCAACAGCTGATCACATTATTTTTATGGTGGTCCATCTGATACATGTGATTTGGATTTTATTTTAAATTCAATTGGGTTTATTTAATTATGCAGTTAAATTTAGTAATGTAATTTTCATATGTTAACGTTTAAAATTATTTTTCTTGATGTATTCCTAATTTTCTTTATTTAATAATAAAGAAATCAATTGATTTTACATAATATTTAAAATTAATATATCTTCTTAATTTTCGCATTATTTCACCCAGTTGAAATTGACTATTTTTCAATTTTTATTTGACTTTATTATACATCTTCCTAAATCCCTTTACAAACTCTGCAAATTCTTCTTTTAGCATAATTTTTTCTTTATTTTGTTTTCTGTATTCAACATTATATTCTCTTTTATCTCTTAACATGTAGTTTAACCTCTAAGGTTCTAAACTATCTAATTATTGTTCTATTTTAGTTTAACACAAGAAAATAAAACATCTGTTTTAAAACAATATTTACTAATTGCAAAAAAATATTTATGAATATAATATTTTATTATCTACCTACCTAATTGAGATTATGATATGAATATTGCAGTATTTTTTTCAAATTTATAAAACAGTATAATTAATATATATGTATATAAATGTTATTCTTCTGTGGGTGATTGTGGAATTTTTGTTATGGCGCTCCATAAATTCTGTTGAAAAAAATTGCCCTTAACGAGATAAAGTTTTCTGTTTAAAATACATTAACATTTTTGTTTATTTTGAAATTTGTTTAAACATAATATACAAAGGTGGCAAAAACATTTTATCTTTCCTGAAAATAATATACAGTAAAGTACTTTTGAGGAGAAAAAATTAAAATTGAACTTTTTTGCTCCTTCACCTTTTAACACTATTATTTGAGGTTGAGAACCCTCGTTGATTATCCTAATCTTTCACTTAAACTGATCTCCCACCTCGCATACACCAGCTGTATATCATATCATTCTTAATTATATATTAACCATCTTTTTCGTGTGGTTTTGTCAACTATATAAAATGAAATCCTTCATTCTACAGAAACAATACCATTTGCCTATTGGAATCATCCACCTGGGCTTCCTACTAGTAAGAGATCGGTGCCCCGGTTTCCTTATACTTGTAGCATCATATTGACCCCCTAAATTTTTTCCCTTTCAAAAAATACCTAAACCTCAATTTCTATACAAGATCAAAAATGTTCTTCAATTCTCTAGGCCTTATGTAAACAAAGTTCAAAATAAATGAAAAACTTTACCTTGTTATAAGAGTACAAAACAATTGTCCTAAAAATGAAACTCAAATAGTAATCAACATTTTTTTTTATTTATTTCAAAGAAAGTTAGTTTTGCCAAGTCAATAATTAATAAAGTTGAGTTTTACAGTTTGGCATTTAAACAAATAAAACCAATTTGAGTACCTATATTTTTATATATTTTTTTTTTTACTTTTATTCAAATTTATGATAGTGTATTAAATATAAATATTTTACTCTATGTTAATATTATGTATTTTCATAACATTTTAACTTTGAAATCTAAAACTATTCAGTGATTAATTTTAGTACTATTGAAGATATTATTAAAAATGATGAAAAAATTAGTCATTGTTGTGTTTTCTTTTCTTATTGGTTAAACAATTTGTTTTGTAGTTAAATGCATGATGGTGTACATTATCATTAATCGTATTTAATTATTACACATTTTTTTTTAGGTTTTATAGACCATTTCGGCTGCCACCGAAACTATTTCGATCAGTTTTATTATATGCTGTTTTCCATTTCACATTCATTGTTCCTTTAATGAACCTAATCAAATTTTGAATTTTCTCTATTATACATCTTGTATAATTGGATATTGGTTTTGATTTCTTTTTTGTGTTTGTTGTTTTTGAATACTGGTCTAGATATTATAGATTCTGAGCGGAGTGAAGAATATATTTGTTTTATAATGATGGTTTTTTTAAATGTTTTTTTTTCTGTCAACAAATTTTCAACCAGAAATAAAAATTTTCAGGTGTAGCAACTTTAATGAAATTTGACTAGGGTATTATTTTTTGATTTTTGCTGACGTTTTCATTATAAATGGAAAATTCACTAAAAATTTATAAAATCTATTATTTTAAAATTGTAAATATTATGGCCTTTAAAAACATTTTTAGCTGAACTTTGCTCAGAATCATACGTTAACAATGATTAATCGTTACATACAGATGTACCTTAAATTTTCCTAACTTCTCACCTACAACAGTGGGCCATCAATCTTGTGAAGTATGTCCATTTATTCCATTATAAATTTAATCAATTATTTACTACAAATATTTAATTAGATAAGTTTATGAGTGAAAATTATATCATTTTAAATCTATACAATTAATGTATTCTATGATCCAAAACACACAATGTTTTTTTAAGTAAAGTCATTGCTTCACTATTTTGAGAGAAATTAATATACATATATATTTATATATAATTAATCTACTTTGAATTCATATAATTATTTTATTAATAACTAAGGGACTTACTTGCTTTGCTCACCAAACACTGTAACTTGTAACCATATAGTTACATAAATAAAATATAATAAATATTTGGAAGATACAACTATCAAAACTCTTTTGTAAATACTTTCCTACTTCCTACTTCATACTTGGTTTTAATAGTATAATCTTTAATTAGCAAAATGAATTACAAATTATTATTAAACTATTTTTATTTTTGTACAAATTTTAGTTGGTGTGTCATATTACTTTTTTTTGTATTGCTTTATTATTTTATTTAGGTAGAATATTGTATGTTGATTTTTAAGTAATATTATGTGTAATTTTTCAACCATTGCTTAAATAATTTTTGTAGTTGGTATTTTAACTACAAAATGCATACACAATCATTTACTAGATAGTTTAATTATTTTAAATTGTTAAAAATGTAAAATCCATTAATTAAAAAACATTTTTGTCATTTACAAATAATAAATTTACATAGTTAAATTATTACTACTGGTTAAAGTTAACAGGACATAGTATGAACAGCCCTATTTTTATTAAAGTAATTTTATTAGAAAAAGTCTCAACTAATTACTTGTAAAAAGTACTGTAATAATGAAATCTAAAATAATTTTTTCTTAGTTATCAAATTTTTGGATTTTGTTAAATTTAACAATTTAGTGTTACCAAAAATCGCAACAAATATCCAAATTGTGTATCCTAAAAAAAAAAATTCAAGCATGGATATATTGATGCGTTGATAGCATGTTTATATTGATCATCAAAATAATGATACTGAAATGATAAAAAACAGTACATTTGTTTTTTGTAACTAATAATTTTGAATTCTTATTACTAATGCTGTAATTAGGTAATCAATGTTCTCTTATTTAAGAAATACTACATTATTAAAAATAAACAATAGAAATAGTATTATAAAGCAAATATGTATTAGTTAAATTGTGTTTAAAAAAATTATATTTCTCAGGAGCTCTTTAAAATATGATTTAATTTATTATTATATAATATTACATTTTAGATTTATATTTTTAATAAAACCAAGTTTTATATTATTATTTGTCATATTCTTAATAATAACTGTAATTTTATAATTTTGTTAAAGGAGCTCAAGACAGTCCTGAAGACGCTGATTGGTTCCAACATTATTTCTTGCGTCATGTTAATCGCTTACCATCACGAAGTCATCAGTTTGTAGGTCGACGTCTTTCAGAATGTAAAGAAGAAGATGAACATATTGAACATAATTTAAAATCATCATTAACTGAAGAACAAATAAATAGTACTAACATTAGTGCTAAATCAACACCACCTATATCACCACTATCACATCATAGAGATAAACATTTTTTTGACGTAAATTTAGTAGAAATGAAATCTCAGGCGTCTTCAACGTCCACTTTAGATTATGATTCAATGGATGAAGTGTGGATTAAACGGCATGATGCTGAATCAACAAGGCGTAGACCGGTGTGTATGATTTATGAATATAATATTTTATATTTATTTACTGTAAAATATTTTGTTTAATAGTTCTTTATAAATTGTAATTTAGAAGATTTTAGTTAATGGCTGTTCAGGCATTTTTAAAGTCATAATTTTAACATACTTGGCACAAACTGAGTTATCATTTATTACCATTTGGTTTATCAATATAGTAATTTTATAATACACTTCTAGTTTTGATATATGTTTATATTCTAGAAGTAATTTTTTAATTTAACAATTATTAAATTTAATTTTTCTTAGTACTCATTATCTTTTGATTATCATTAAAATCACTTTATTATACATAAATTAATAAACTACATTAAGAATTATACAAATTTCTTAAAGTACTATTCATGTGCAATTCTTGGTGTAAAAAAATTGTTAAACTTTTTGGAAATATGTACATTCTCAAAAGTACATATTTAGAAAAAAAAAGGATATACTATACCACTATAGTAACCATACTATAAAGTTTTAACTTTTTCACTCTGTTCAAAATTATACTTGTACTCAACATTTTTCTGTTTTGATTATTAAAATTATTTTTTTATCGTATCAATGTATAGTTTGTTATTATCAGTGGCGTACCTTAGAACATTGAGAAGTAATTGCCTCTCCCTCCAAAAAAAATTGTCCACTTACACCACTAGTTTATTTAATATTAAGTAAATGTTAATGCAAATAGTTATATATTTTAAATTTCATATTATTTTTAAACACCAAATAACAAAACTTTCTTCTCACATTTCAGTTTTTCACACATTTTATATAATTTATAGTCATATCAATATCAATTTTTGCTTTTATTTAATCAGTTATAATACTAGATCTTAAACTAATTTTTAATGTTATATATAAATTATTACAAAAAATTAAGTAGAATAATTTTAACTTTTTTTTTTTTTTTATACAAATTATTATCTTAGGAACTAGGATCACAACCTTTACCAACTACAGCAGATGAATCAGATGGTCAGTGTATATCAATCAATCGACCAAGATCTGGTAAAAATATTTAAAATTCTTTTAGTTACTTATATTCCTGTTTGTATTTAAATCATATGAGTGAACCTATTAAAAAAATTTAATTTAACATTTTATCTTTTTTTTAAATAAAAAAAAAAAAGTAATATATTAATGAAAATCAAAATAAGTATAAATAGACAAATTGTTTTTTGTTTTGTATTCTATTAATCAGTTTCAATTCATTGTTATTACATTTTATTTATTAATTCCAATTATGGTATAATAAAAAGTTATTGCATTGTAAGGCCAGGGTTAACAAGAAAATAATAATCCTACTTTTAGGCCTCACCTTTATTGTTCAAAACTGCATTCCATATTTCTCTATATTAATATATTATTGATTTTATAAAGAATTGTGTTTGTGTGATGATTTTTAAGTGAACTGAGTGAAATATATTATGTTTATTATAGTATTTATAATTTAAAATGTTAGAAATATCTGCACGAGATTTTTCAGGTAATTGAAAAGTATTTTATATTAACTATAATTGTATAACCTTTAAGCAGGCGCGTTTTTATTTTAATTCAAAGACATATTGGATTAGGTTAGGTTTTTATTTTTATTTTTTTAAATTTTGTGAAAACAATTAATTATAATAGACTATATTATTATTTTTTGTAGTATATGTTTTATTTTTGATGGGGGTTTATCTGTATTAATATTGATCTTAGTTACCAAAAATATATTTTAATAATATGCAAAATATGTGATTAAAAATAATATTATATTTATTATTAAGGTACATGGAGCAAAGGTGGTTCAGCTCCTGTATTAATGCCTGCAGTAGTAGCTGCTCTAGCTAAAACCAAAAAAGCGTCAGTTAGTGTAGAAAGACGTCAATCAGGTGATGACATTCTAGCCAAAGGTACACCAAAAGTACAGCCATTGAAAAATAAGATTCAACAATCATCGTCACAACAAATTCAACCAGTACAAAGTTCCCAAAAGAAGATGTCACCAAACCCTTGTTCTGGACAATCTCCGTCTCATACACGCAAAACAAATACTCTTTTGGATGCTTTTAGACCTAGATCTAAATCTGATGCAGCATCTAAAAAAAACAATACAATAATTTTGCAAATGAAAAATTCTATACAAGTTAGTGTTATTTTATTATTAACTATTCAAACAACTATTATAATTCAGAATTAAAAACTAAAAACAACTAAAATGCCTATAGAATACTGAAATATATAGAGCTTGAAATTGAAGCAAAAAAAAAAAATTGAGTTTTATATTAACATTAGAGTAGGAATTTATAACTATGTATTTAGTTAGGTTATTTTCATTAAACTTAGCATATAGGGTGGTAATATATTTTAGAAAATATAAATTGACCTTTTTACTTATTATAATTATACTTAACTATAATTAAACCATTTTGATAAAATTGCAATTCTGGTACTTTGATAAGTAATTTTATCAGCCATTTATTATATTACAATGAGTTCACTAATTTCTGGAAATATATAGTAATATAATTATGATAGAAAACATCATTCGTACAAATTTAAAATAATGAATTCGTATAGCTGTAAATAAGTCAGTTTTCATTTTGCATTTTTTTTTCGGGTCTTCTTAATTATTAATAAAATAACAAAGAAATCAAAAGAGCTGTCTTAGGATAATGGGGACGGGTGCAGCCACAGTTGTAGGTGAGAAGTTGGAAATGTAGGACACAGATTTAATGTATATCTGTAAGCAACAATTAACCATTGCTAATGAAAAAAGAATTCTGAGCGAAGTTTATTTGATAGTGTTGCTTTGTCAATAATATACATGTTATAATATGGTAAAATAATTATGCATATGCATTCAACATTTTCTGTAATAATATTGTACCTATTTTCCCGTTCTCCTGTTTTTCCCATAGTTTTTCCATTTGTTGGGAAAACTCCTGAGAAAATTAAAAAATGACTTTCCTAAATTACCTCCCCAGTCAGATTTCCTTTCAGTAAAAGTGCTACACTTCTAAATCTGAGCAATATATCTGGTAGAAAACATAAGCTGTGAAATTTAAAAATAATGAACACTATAAATTTGTCAATTTTAATATTAATATTTTTTTTTTCCGGGTTTTCCCTAATTATAAATAAAACTAGAGAAAATCAAAAAACCATAACTTATTCATGAACTAAATTAAAAATGCAACAAAAGAGGTTGTTTGTTGTTTATCAATTTGAGCAATATTTTTGTTGGAAAACATTGTGAATAAAAATTAAAAGCAATGAAAATGGTATAGCCACTATGTACAGTATAAATTTACTGTTTTACCAATAATTTTCTTTTTGGTTTTTTCTTATTATTTTGACAACACCATTGAAAAATCAAAAATTTACCTCTCCAATGCATCATCAAAAGATAATTATCTTCAGAAAAGGGTCTGTAGTCCATACCTTTAAAGTGGATTCATCACCCTACAGAAACAATACCATATCCCTACTGGCATCACCCACCTAGGATTTCCATCAGTAGGAACTTGGTGTCCTGGGTTCACAAAACTCGTATTATCATATGTATACCTCCCCCCCCTTGAGGGTACATGTATAAATATATTAATGAAATAAAATTATGTATAGCTTAATGCAAATAAATAATAACAATGTTATTATTTATTATTAAACTAACTGACCTACATTAATGTTGTTCATTAAAATATCTGATTACCTATTTATTACTCGTTGAATTAATGCAATAATTTTAAATTAAATATCCTATTACAACTGTTTAAAACTATTAATTAATTAAAGATTAGGGAGATAAACAAATAAAAGTAATTTGGTTTAACTTTATTAAAATTGTACCTAAAAATATATAGATGTCTTATAGAATACCAATATGATACAATGACAAACATCATTAAAAACTGTTTTAATTTTTTTAACCCCTTTTTAAGCCTCCTTTAACAAAACACCGTCAATATATGAAATTATTAATTTTATATTAATGTTATTTATTTATAAATATACTGTATTTTATATTCAAGATATTGCTCACATTAATTTATCATTTTTTTTACATTGCATAGTTATTAAATAATTTTTTGAAAAATACATATTTAGTAGGTACCTATGTTTATTATAGCGTATAGGTATATAGCAATTCTATAAAAATTTAATTTAGGTAGAATTGTTTTATTTATCACTTCAAATAAAGTACTTTATTTGCATATTTATATCTTATCTTATAAATTTATATATTAAATTGAGTTTCAAAATTTTGTGTAACTAATTTATTATTATTGATTGATCAAATATTTTAAACTATCTATATATTGTTATGATATTTTATGAAAAACATTATGTGTTAACATTTTTAAAAATGAATTGTTAATATGGTGTACAAATAAAATATACATTTTTGTTTATAGCAAACTCTCAAATCGCCTGGCTCAAGTACTCGTAATAGTATTAGTGGATCAAATAATTCTTCAACTGATACTATTGAACTCTCAAATATAGTACCACCTACACGTAATCGTTATAAGCAAACTGCAGTAGCAGCAAGACCACGAGCTGGATCAGATAGTGCTAGTACTAAAGGAGCAGTATCAAAAATGATGGATTTATTCAGACATAGATCTCAGAGTGCTGTTTCTGCTGAAGATAAACGTAAAGCCGTAAGTTTAAAATAACAAAATCCATTGATTATTTTAATATTAAGTAAAAAACTAAAAACTGGTTTTATCTAATTTATAAGCTCAAATTGTTTCAACAATATTAATGTGTAGTCATATAATAGGTATACAATATTGATTTTAGATATCTTGAAAATAAAATTAATAGAACTGTAGGCTATAAAAATGATTTTTTTAATTTTTTATCATTGATCATATACACTAAAAATAAAAAAAATGATTACTTTATTAAATATCTAACATATTTTTTATTTTATTAAATACAATTTTTTATCACTGAAAACCAGTTTACACGTGTTTATCAAGCCATCTTATCAGTCTTTAATCTAGAGATTTAAAATTCCAGCATGGTTTAAGATATGCTTAAGGTGTATCATTTATGTAGCGGCATGCCGCAAAGCGTTTTATTAGTGCTCCACTATTCTTTCCCTACCTATACTTAAAAGTGTAATATCTCGTCAACGGGTTGACAGAAATCAAACATTTTAACACCAACATTTAAGAGTAATACTTCATTTATTTATGAAACTTCTAGTATAGGTTCTCATTTGAAAAACCCAAGTTAGTATCACCACAGAAAACTCCTTAAACGTTATAAAAAATCTGAGTATTCGAAAATATCGGCTTTAACCACACTTAAAAATTTAAAAAATTAGAATTTGAATATATGCAAAATTTAACCAAAAGAATGGGGTGAACACTCACCAGGGAATCACTCATTATATTTAATTTCTTATTGTTTTATACGTTTTATTATATTATTTACAATGAGTTTCAAAGTAAAACGATTGTTCTACTAATTTCATTAATTACGAATTGGAACTTGCACGAAGAAAGGCACTGTTTCGCTGGTCGTGCCGCTCTAAATATTCCCTCCACATAACCGCCGTAGTTTACGACATATAACGTTGTACTAGAATGATTATCTATTATTGTACGATATATTTACTGTAAATGGTCATCCATACTCAATCAATTTTAAATATATATTATAATATAAATTAATATTCCTAATAATTTTATGAAATTAAATTTTAAATAATAAAAAAAATTATATACGTAAAACGTCAGAATAAAAACGACAGTATTAATGTTCTATAAATCACGTAAAAACAAGCATTGGTAAAATGGTCAACGTGTCGCAAAGGTTCTTTGTAGTAGTGGTTCAATGTGGTGAGACATGCGCTGGTGAAACTCAGGAAAAAATATCGCTAAAGCATCTGTCAAAATTATGCGTAAAAAAAATAAAATATTGAATTTAGTTGTTTCATCATCAATGAATTGAGTGTATATTGTGCACATAGCTCTCACAAATAATAAAAAAAATAATATCGTATCAGTCAGTAGTTCGCTCGTATAAAAAAAATCTAATGTATTTCCCAATTTCATGATTTATCGCTCCAAAATCTAAACAATTGATTTTAGAATTTATAAATAGCTTATGGCATAGGCATTTTTGGAAATTAAAATTAATTATGCGGATTTCCCTTGAGAGAGTAGTTATATTCCACAAATTATTATTCTGGAATGTTAGTTGTTTTGTTTGTAATTTATAGATTAAAAAACCATACGGATGACAGTGATTAGACGATAATTTACACATATAAATCAAATTTAAATGTCTCTGTAAACTATTTTAAATATTATTAATATTGACAGTTTAGTTATTTTAGGGATTTTTTTCGGAGATCTTTCTCCGGGGATTATTTTTTCAGATTACCGCGCCGGTACCATATTTTCGTGAAACGGATTATAGTTAGCAGGGTGATTGACAAAAAAACATTTTAGAAAATAAAATAACCCATGCCCATACCCGATATTAGTATCGTGAACATTAAATATTAAACATGGAATGAATTAACAAAAATATTTTAAAATTAAGAATCTCTTGAGTTATCTATAATGTATTAAGTCAAGTTGATTTTATGTAATGTTGTAACTAAGGTGGATCAATCCACCTTTGTTGTGACAATATCAAATAGGTAGGTGATAAAACAAATTAGTTAATTTTTAAATTAAATTGATAGGTAAATTAGGTATTTACCTATTTGCATTTAATAGATTAAATATTTAACGAAAGTAAAAAAAAAAATAATTTTATTATTTGATACTTACTGATAACATTGTACCTATTCTCTAGTTTAACTCCTAGCAAATATCTTGGATTTACTATTCCATGGTCATGATTTAAATTAATTAAAATGTATATCTTAAATCGTGTCTACGGTTAAAATGTTAACTGAGTGATAATGAAATCATATTTTTAGTTTAATTGAGGATTAACATTAACTGGAATTTAAATTCTCTTAACTGGAGATTGATAAAATGGCCCTTAAAATAGTGAATATAAATATAGGTATTTATCAACCAACCACCTATAGTATTAAATGAAATGTATAAAGCAATATTATATTTATATTAAAGTTTTTAAAACATACAATTAAGTAAGTCATTAAATCTTTAATGCATATTATATAGTAATTATTAATAAATAACAATAAAAAAGTACAAGTATTATGCCGGGTTACATAAAAACCGTTCTGTTAACTAATGGTTAAGTTTGCATTGCATACAATTATTTCATTATTTATATTTGTTATCTATTGAAGACATTCGTTTGATTCTACTGGTATATTCCAATAATTATACCGGTATTATTTTTAGGGGGAAATATATACTGGTATACGAGTACTATTGGTATAGAGATGGTATATTGGTACCAAATAAATTTCTAGATTGCTATAACCACTTGCTCAGTTATCAGTATAAATATTTTATCCATATCAAATTATAACGTGATAATGCAATATCAAGTTTTCACTGTTTTGTGTGTTTCGTTATTTATGTCAGGCTCGTATTAAGCATTAGGCACTTTGGACACTGTGTCTACGACCTACTAGAAACATCTGATCTATGAAAAAAGAACTACAGCTAAATATATATATATACAATTTATTATTGAATTTTATCTTAACTGCGATCCTTACATGATTGTTTTGGATGACGCGCTGCGTCATGAGTCTTATCTCATATATTATTGTGATTGGCGATGAATGTATTATTTTATTATTGTACAATGTGTATGCATTCAGTGACTTAACTACATATTAAAATGCCCTAGGTAAAATATTTTTTCCGTCCTTATGATGTAGAAAATAGAAATTATTATACATTTGTCACCGAAACAGTGCTATGACTTCAATAACTGTATTTTTGACTTAGTAGTTATGTATTTTTTTTTTTTTTTTGGAAAAGATAAACCCAATCACACATTTTTACATGAAGTAAATTATTACATTTACACGATTAACCATACATGAGATATACATTTTTATTTTTTTATTTATATACGACACATTTTTATGAAATCATAAAATAATTTGTATAGTAATATTGTTTAGTATTAAATATACATATAGTATCTTTATTTAATCAATTTTAATATTATTAGCTTAATCAGTTTGTCACTTCAAGTGACACATAAATTGCAGTCAATTAACAGAGATGTAAGCCCCGAGGAAATTGTCTCAGTTGCTGCTGTAGTAGCTACACCATCGCATGCATTAATAATAATTAGTATTTATTTATAAATAGTAATTGGTTTGATATATTATATGTACAACTAAAAATTAACATAAACTCATTATAAACTGTTTTTAAATTTACCTACCTATGTTATGAAAGGCAATTTTTTTTTCAATTAGTGCCTTGGACCTACTCCAGCTACTACTTGGCTTAATCCAGCTTTGATTTATATACATTCTTATTAGGTACCTATTTATATATTTTTTTTTCTGTATAAAAAAGGCAAATGATACAAAAAGGAGTAGAAACTTTACCAAGGCGAAAAAGTGTCTATTAATTGACTTAGTTTTACCACATAAAACAATTATTGAAAATATTAAGGAAAGTTAATTAAATGTATTAGATTTTTTTCGTGATTGCAAAATTATAATTACCTAAATGATAAAGTTAAACAGTTAAACAACTTATCAATTCAATGACTATGTTTTTGATAACAGCTATCAAATTTGCAAAACTTTTCAACTTTATAGCCGGCTATTGGTTTTGTATAGTTTTATGCAACCAGCATAAAAATAACGTTTACAGTAATTATATTATGCCAAAAGAATTACATTATTTTATAATAATGTACGTTATTGGATGTAAACTTGAAATCAGCGGGCAGATAATTCGAACTGATGATTTAATAAGTTACCTGTTTTTTGTCTCGTCTACTACTATTGGCCCAATTTTTGTAATGGTACTTCGTTGCTAATCAATTATTGTTGTCCACAGTATATTTTTATATTATATAGCATCAACTGATATTGGCTTGTATATAGTGTAATTTTTTGAAAATGTAATATTATAATTTATAAGTAGTAAATTTCTTCACAGATGGCTTGGTAAGCAACATGTAGTGGAATTGTACACCAATAACAATAATAATAGTAGAAGCGATAGGTGATGGGAGGACTTTTTGCTAGGGTATAGTGGTGACTAGCTTGTGAGTGGGGAATTGTATAGTTAAGTTTAGTGAAAGTATGAAAAAAACCTTGTAAACAAAACAACTATAATTATTGATGTGTCCCCTCCACCAAGAATTTTGTTGTCTACTGGCCCTCGTTTCACTTGACACTGCAAATATTTTTCGTTTTTATTATTATTATTTTTGTTATATTCGACAATATTATTATTCTGTTTCTTCATACATTTCCATACGCTTGCGCACGAACGCCTATAACCGGTTCCCTTCTTCAAAATGAATATCGTTTCATTATAGCATTCTATTCTATTCCCGTTACCGCCGCCGTGGTCCTTGTCACCATTGTTCGTGTTGGTCGTCACGTATCTCTCAGAGTCGCAGTATAATATCAGTCCGTTATCCGTTGTTCTGTTGTGGTTTTAAATGTTTTAATCCTATTTTTGGGCTTGCGTTATTTGTGCACGCTTGTATGTGTGCGTACATACGTCTATACGATATTTCTTTGCGAGTGTAAGTTGTACTTACGGTTGCGCGCGAGCGTGTGTGGTGTTCGCCAGCACAATATGCTTTGGCGATGTCGTGGTACTTCCGATGGATGTTCAGTCAGCAACAGGATCCGTCCGCGGTGGTCCCGACTGTTAATAAACCGCGTAGTCGGTCCTTGGACGGTGGAAATCCCGTTGACCTCGTCAAACAACCGCATTTGCCCATCACTGCCGCAGCGGCCACCTTTCATCTGGCCACCCTACAACCGGTGACCGCTGCACCGATGCCCATCCGGCTGCCAGTGACAATGCTGTCGGCAGCCACGTTACCCTTCGTACGTATTCTCGGTAAATAAATTACGGTGTGACGTGCTCTTGGTCTCGCAGAATGTATTTGTCCAAAATATGAGTTTCCATAAATCCGCCTTTTATATACATTTTTAGAAGAGTATTCAAAAACGTTATTTTTGGTAACTACCTACTAACTAAAATATTTATTTTTGATAGATTCTTAATGAAAATTGACTAATTGCAATTTAACTTAAAGGCCATAGTAGATAGGTTAGGTATTATAATTATTTTAAATCGGTTTATCATCATGTATACTTTTTTTTTGTACATTTGTTAAATATTTAGTAAAAGTCCAATAGGCTTTTGGCCTATATGTGTAAATATCTATAAATATCTGACAATATGAGACAGTAATTTATTTATCAATAATCACCTATTACTTATATTTGTACAAGGATTATGTTATCGCTTTTGTATATATTATTAAGCTTGGTGGGCGCTGAGTGGTCAAACTCACAATCATGGTTTGTGAAGTTGGGTGCAGAAGCATTGCACTAGAGTTAAAAATACATTAATTTCTGGTATAAGTGTAGTGATAACTTTTTTATTGATAATTTAGGGTTGCTACCAGTTATACTACTCGTTAAATTATCTAATGTTCACATTTTCCATTGAAAAGTCTATTAACAAATAAAACAAATCATTTTAATTAATAAGCCTTTTTTTTATTAGTTATAATATAATACGTACATAATATGTATTGATACATTACATATGATATTGTTGAAAATTACAACGGTACCTAAAAATTGGTAAGGTCAGAGCATTAGAAATTCATATAGATTTAGAAAAGTTAAAATGTTTGTATTCTAAATACAATTATTTAATATTATTATGAATACAGTTTTTGGCAACCATTATTTCAGTTTGAATTTTGGAAGTTATTGTTGTTTAAATATTATTTTTTAACATTGTGTCAAATATTAATAAATACAATTTTTAAATTAAGATGACCTATAATTTTGGAGGTTAATATCAATGCTGAGACTAACCCAACCTGTAACTGTACCCATGGAAGTATATTTATTATGTAGATTTTCTCCTTAAAAAATTGTTAACTAATGGATAAATATGTAAAACTGGGTGCAATGAAAGCTACCAATGTAATACATAAATGTATATATTTTACAATCTTTACCTATTCCAAAAACCCATTTAATCAATCATTACTTTATCCACTTGGAAGAAATTAAATACTAGATAAAATGGTAGGTATCTAGTAAAATTAAAAATGTTGTATAAATTATTTATTGGGAGATATAATCTCAGGAGAAGTGGTATAGTCCTGACCATGAATAAATATATTTAGTCATGGTCCTGACAATTGTTTTGTTATCAATTCTTATCGCAATGCTTTTTATCATGTAATCAATATAAATGTATAATATAATATTATAATGTTTTAAAATTTTATGTGTTTCCATTACAAATAAATGTATACTTTAATCGTGGCTTTCATGGAAATATTTAACTGTTAATAATACTAGCTGATTGGTATACAAACCAATAATAATGACCTATACGACTACTGGCATATAATATATAAAATTAACTGCACGCAAGGTTATGTCACTAATAAGGGTGTTAAAAAATATGTTAGAATGTTTAAATGAAATAATTTTTGTCATTATATATTTTTTTCATAATAGTCTCCCTCATAAAATTATAGTCTATGTAAAATCTATCAAAAAACATAAAATTTAATTTTTAAAACAACTTAAAGAAATGATTAATTTTTAAGTACTGTAATTTATAATTATAACCTAACATTTATAATTACTTTAGCTAATTTATTATAATTCAAATTTTCTTAATTATGGGTAAAAACGAATTCTTTGTATTATGAATAAATGTTATTTAACATATTATTTTGTTGTTTTCCATGGGAACTTACACCACTTGAGTCATAGTAAAAATAAAGAGCTGATACTGGGGTTGGGGGCAGCCACTGTTGTACGTGAGAAGTTGGGAAGGTAGGATACATAAGGTTATTTCATTTATATTTGTAAACAAATATACATTACTTGATAAAAGCTCCTGTTAAATTTTCAAGAATTTCCTTTTGGTCTATACATTTTAACCACAGAGTTTACATAAACAAATTGCAAAATTAAATGTCTATTAATAGCTAAAAATGGCTAAATCTAAAACGCGCCTTACATATTCGCGCGTTTTACATTTTGACTGTGATATACCTGATGATGAATTTTTAATTCGAAATCGGTCGTATAGTACACTTATCATATTAAATAATTCAATTGATTGTACTTCGCTCCGTTCTCAAATAAATTTCAAAGTCCCCCCTCAAAATATTAGAATCACTCCTCTTTTTCCTCATCCAACCATTTATTAAACTCCTATTTTTCGGCTTATGCGTATTGCTATTGTAGACCTCTCCTTTGATTACTTCTTAATTATCACTAACTGGGTTTCCTACTCTATATTGCTATTTATCTTGTATTATATTATAGATTTATATATGTCATTATCACTATTCAATTTATTACTATTTCATTCTCTTGTATTGAACCACGGCCTGTTTTATTATTAAAAATTTAAGAAAGAGCTGATACTGGGGATGGGAGCGGCCACTGTTGTAGGTGAAAAGTTCGAAAGACAGGATACATAAGATTATTTCATTTATTTCTGTAAATTACGATAAACCATTGCTTGACGATAGACGATCCAAGTGCAGTTTGGTAGTATATAATTTTGAAGTGTCGTAATTTTTTATTTGATTTTCATTTAAATTTGATTTCAAAACGCTTATTAAAAAACAAAGTCACTCGATGATTTTGAAAATTTTACCACTTCTAGGTAAATCCAATATAAGTATTATTACCAAGTTTCAAGTCTACGTGTATTTATAACTGAATTACAGCAAAATAACTACCAAAAATTAAAATTCCTTAAAAGTTCAAAAGTTTTGGGGAAGATACCGAAAGAAAGTAAATCAAAAAGGCAACAAAAAAGGTGTCTTGTGATTTTTCAATTAAATCATTTTTTCTGGTGGAAAACGTCCGTGTTTTTATAAAATAATGAAATCATGAAATTGTACGTTTTCCTACGTTTTTCTTACTTAAGTGCTTTTATTTAAAAAATTGCGTTGAAAATCAAAACAATTACTTCTGTAAAGTACAGTCTAAACAACTTGAGCTTTCAGAAAAGATGTTATACTTATACTCGTAGCAAGTTTACTAGGAACTAACGTGTCTACAGACTATAACAAAGAAAAAAAAAGCATTGTAAAATCAATAGCGCCATTGCTAAACAAATCTAGTTTATGACCCAAATTTTTCAATTTTTATTTTTAAAAATGTGTGTTTTTGCTCGTATCTTAAGAATTTAAAGTCTAAAAATAATTCGGACGAACTTCGTTTGGGAGTTATGGGGGAAAACTTCATGAAGTTCGGATTTTTCGTTTTATATTTTTTTTTTTTTCAAAAAGTGTGAATTTGAATGTTTAAACTTGAAAAATAGTATTTTGGGTGCACTTAGAGACCTGGTGAGGTCGCTATGGTTTGAACGTTCGTAACTTTAAATCAAAGCCAGATTAAAGCCACTTATTCTGAATTCAATAAAAAAAACTTTGTTATCAAAATATCAATATCTACAAATCATAATAATAATAAAAACGATTACATTTTGGATTAATTTTAAAAATGCTATTTTTCAAGGTTTATGTAATTACTATAAAAGTAAGTATAATAGGTAAGTTATAATTATACCAATCGATTAAGTATTAAAAATCACACATTTTGGAAAAAAAAAAAAACAAAATTCGAAAATATTTAATTCTTACAAAGAAATATGTGAAACTGAAAACCTGAACTTCATGAAGTTTTCCCCCATAACTTCCAAACGAAGTTCGTCAAACTTTTTTTTTAAATTCTTAATGTATAAGCAAAAGTACACATTATGAAAAAAAAAAAAAAAAAAATGTGAAAAATGAGCTTGGGTCGTAAACTAAATTTTTACCTAATATTTTATGGTTCGACCTAATGTATTTCAAACGTTTACAAGGTGACAGCGGTAGCGACAGCTGGAGAATCACTGTTTGACGAAAAAAAAACTTTATTAACATCATAACCACCTGTTATAATTTAGAATAGAAAAAATAATAATAGAGTAATCTGATAAATAAAATATATATATACGTATGAAGATGAGCTATGGGTAAAATCGGTAGCATAGTAAACATATTGGCTAATTCTTTCAAGAAAAAAGGTGTTTTTTATAATGGAGGATTTAAATTTTAAAATGTACTTTTTTTTGGACTTTTATATATGGTCACTATAGTTATACATGTAATATTTACGATTTTTTANTACAAGTCTATAAACATTTTAAACTGAATTACAACAAAAAAATTAAAATATTATTTTTGTAAATTTTCAGTTTTTTTTTATAAACTATATATTAGTTTTGTTTTATAGAACATTTAAAAAATAAGTAGCTATACAGTTTTATATGTTATTTTCTTGGAGTTAAAACCACTACCTATTTTTATTTTTAAATGGCTACATGTATTAAAAATCCCATAAATAAATGAAGGTTAAGTTAAAATAAATTTTGCTGTTGAAAATTTTCGTTTTTGAGGTATTCCACTTTTAAGTTTTAGTCGGAGAAGAGTAGTGTTGCACTATTAAAATGCCACGCCTCGTGCTGTCATACAAATGATGCTCCACTATACAAATGTACACGGGTTGTTTTTTTTTTATATTTTATGTTATTTTTAACAATCTCTAAGACCTTTACTTTTATTTTTACTGGATTAAGAAATTAATTACTTTTGCTAATTTCCTTATTTGTGAATCTACTATAATGCAAATAACCATCATAATAATATGACCTATATGGTATTCTGAATTTTTATTTATTTTTCTTCAATATAATTTTAGATTTTTATCTGCTTTTTTTAAATTTATTATATTTGTTAATATTTAAAAAGAAAATGTCTAATTTCATTGTATACTTTTATTATTTTATCAAGTTGTTTTACATTGTAGAACCTAAATAATATAGTTTATATCAAGTATTTCTTGTAGGTTGTTTATTTTGGTTTTTTATTATTATTGTGTCATAAACCACAGAATGGTTAATATTAAGACAGGCTATATCATTAGTATAATATATTTCCATTATGTATTATAGGTCGGTGGTACATATAAATAAAATTATTTTGAATCGGTAGGTATTAAAATTCTAGATAAGATATCCAATCTTTTGTCCGTTGCCTATGAGTTTTATTAAGCCATAAACATATCAATTTTTGGAATTTTTCTTATACAATAATTTCTGCTAACATAACAACAACAATATTAATGTAAAATTATAAAAAGAAACAAACAAAAAAGACAGACATACTTAGCATGATGGGTGCAGACACTGTTGTTGGTGTGAAGTTGGGAAGGATATAGAAGGGAATTTAATGTATATTTGTAACCAACGACAAACCATTGTTTAAGAAAAACCAATTCTGAACGAAGTTCAGTTTAAAGTGATGTTTTATTAATAATATATATGTCATAATATGGTAAAATAATTAATTAGGCACTATATATCATTTCTTTCATAATATTTGTTTAATGTTATACCGATTTCCCCGGTTTTTTTTTTTATGTTTTCTCAGGTTTTTCACATTTGCTGGGAAAACTTTTGGGAAAGTCGAAAATTGACTTCCTTAGAGTATCTTCCCAGTTAGATTTCTTTTCAGAAAAGGGTCTATATCATAACATTGCAGTTTGCTTCCTGGTAGAAAAGAAATACAAATCAAATTCTAGGTACTAATATTGACTTATTTGACTTCAATTTGTTGTGGTATTACACCACTGAGCATATTCCTCCATAGAGAAACATAGTGCCATGACTGCGTAATGTATCTAGGTCTGTTGCTCTCCATTTGGTCCCTACTAATTTCTCTATTATTCCATTTCTCTTGTTTACTTTTTCTGTGTTTTTTCACAATGATTCTTGTTGGTTTGAGAAATTCTCCTTGCCATATTACTTTTATCTTTGTATTCGTCTGCTTGTTGCGTAGATAAAATGTACATACTTGTTTTTTGGACCAATTTGGCTCCATCTCAGAGTTGTCAATTTAAATTTATAAAGCATAGATAATTATTTGGTTCTGGTTTTATCCTATTTATTTTTTGATTCAGGTAAATCTTAAAATTCATGCCAGTTTGCTGTATTGAAATTATATCTTCTTCTAAAGGGTACTTTCAAGGGTTTCACTTTCACCGCTGCTGTTACTTGTATCATAATCTGACTGTTGCGATTTTATGATATGTTTAATCCACTATTTTGACTTATGTTACTAATTTTTTCCAAACTAAAGATCTGGGTTGTACTCTCTTCTCCACCTCCTACTTTGAAATGAAGACTGTAACTTTAGATCATGTAAATTTCCATCTTTCTACATTATCTCTGTTTTAATCTATTTCTGTGTAGCACCAGTTTATGCTTCTGATATTAAAATTCCCTACCACTATATTGATGGTTTCTTAAATAAAGTTTTTCGGTTTTTAAATTTGAATATCTAATAAGCCAGATGGCTTAGAGGTTTATGTATTGATGTTATGGTGCATCTATCTAGTTCTACACTTGTTATTTCAATATCGTCTTTATCGGTGTATGGTGTTGATTTTATTGCTATTTTTGGTTTTGCAAACACTGTGTTAACTGCGTGATCATTCCACTATTTGACACATGTCTTCTAATAAGTCTTTCATGGTATATATCTCTGTGTGTTTTTTGTATGTCATATTTATTTTTCTTACATAGGTATTCTAGGATTGCCTTCTTTTGTCTCGTTAATCCCTCAATGTTTACTGAGATCGTAGTAATAGCTGGTCTTAAAAAAGGGCCTTTTAATACCAAAGTACTGCATTTATGACGGAATTGGTAGAATTAGTTGATGAGGGTGAAATCTTTGTGACAAGATATTAAGTCTTCATTGACCACCACTTTCATTTTATTAAGTAGTTTACAGTGGCACCACATAGAAGTTTCTACCTTGTTCCCATGTTATCTATGTTAATATATTGTGAAAAAATCAATTTATGTTAGTTTATTTTACTTGCTTACAAAACTATTTTCCTTGTATATTCAGTTTGTATATTTAACTTTTTTACTTAATTTCAGCCTATATTTAAATCTAATAAAATATTCTTAATAACTATACTTAGTTTGTTAAAAAGTTAACCCCTTCACTAAGTATTATCTAAATGGCCTCAAATTTTTAGAATAATTAATAATTTTATGGTATTAGATTGGTGTGTGTCCCTGAGGAAATTTTAAAATTGTCAAAATAAGGACCACCCTATTAGTTCCCCTATTAGTAATCACTTTTGAAAAACAAAATATGTTTTTCTTCTGAAATTTTGAAATTAAAAGAATTAGTGAGGTATTGAGCAGTATTTTAAATTTAAAAAAAAATTAATAACTTAATGATACTACACATACATTATTTTTAACGCACAGAAAAAGGGAATTTATGTTCAATGCAACCAATTTTGTAATTTTAATTTTAATATCTGAGTAAATTAACCTAATATCAAACTTAAAGATAAGAACATCATCTGTAATTGTATGTTGGTTTTTCCAAAGTTGTAATTTTTAAGAGTTGATATTTTGTGCATTAGTAAGACTAATGTCATTACAACAAGTGAAATTGCCATTAAGTTTCAAGGTTAAGATGGTTCTTCAAATATATCTGAAGAGTTTTAAAATACACTATAATAAAATAAATTCAAGGACAATTATGTTTTCTGAACAGCACAATTTTTAAATTTGCTAGTATCATTATCTAATGAACTTATGTATCTAAGATACTGTTAGATACTGTATAATAAACTATGGGAACCTGCATTAAAAATAAAAATTACATTTATTTTTTAAAAACAGTTTTTTTATTTGTTGGTTTATTGATATGCAATGTCTTGATTTTCTTTATAGTTTTCATAATAATTGGAAGCAAGAGGGTAGAACTGGAAAATTTAAACAATAATGGTTACCATTTTTATTGATTTTTTTTTTTTAAATTTGGTTTAAGATAATTAGAGAACCTGATATTATCTCAGAATAATTATATTAGTCTTTTCTAGACTTTTCAAATCATTCTTGTTATTTTTGATCTATTTACAGGTGCTGAAATGTTCGAGTTTTTTTAGTTTTTATTTGTTAAAATTGTTTTAGTGAAGCAAAAATTATTGAAAACTCAATATATTTTTCATCAGGGTTCATCTTAAGGTTTATTGTAAATTGTAATAATTGATAAAATAAAAATTAGTCTTATATAGTAATTTTAGATTCATAGTATAGTGAGGAATGTATTGGTTTTACAATGATATTTATTTTTTAATTTGTGAACAACTTTTCTACCAGATATTTTGCTCAATTTTTATGTGTTTTTATTTGGGTGGTACTTTAGGGAGGTAATTTTTTGATTTTCCAAGAGGTTTTATAATAATTGAGAATAATGAGGAAATGTACATACATCTATAAAATAAACTTTGCTCCAAATTATTTTCCCTTAACAATAGTTTATTTTTGCCTATAGATAAAAATTAAATTCCTTCATATCCTACCTTCACAACTTTTCACCTATAACAGTAGTGGTCCACCCATTGTAGAAAGTAAGTCAGTCTTTTGTGTAATTCTTTTATGTTTACATTTTGATAAAAATCCTGATAATCGCAAAATTTAAAAACATGTTTAATCAAACTTCGGCCAAACTTTTTGTTGGCAATAAATTTATCATTATGTGTAGATGTAAATTATAGAACTTTTTGTACCCTACCTACCTAAATTCTTATCTACAAGTCCATAACAATTGCACTGCTGTCATCAATATTAGTTCTTATTTTAAAAAAGAAGATATTTTAGATTTAAAAAAAAAATCATATTTATTGGGTTTTGTATAATATTTAAGAGAGTTATAACAGTTATAATAAATTATTATTTTTGAATAATAATAATTATTGAATATATGTATGTCATATATAACATATTTAAATAAATAACTATAACAGAATTAAAAATAATAATTATGGAGGAATAAAATTTACTATTAAAGAAAAAAAACAGTAAATATTACTATTCTATAGTTAGATTATAATGTATTTTTTTAATTAGTTGCAACATATATCAGATATAATATCTTACTGTGTTAAGTGGTTGTGAATTTCAATTGTCCTACCATCCAAATAATTTAATTCCGTGGGACACATTGTATATAAATACAATTCATTATTATTTGTAATTTGTATAATGTATATATTATGATTTAACAATTATATGTTGTGCACACATCTAAATGAATATCTAATAATAATAGATATTCAAAAAAGTTCAAGATTAGATTATTTATTACAGATAAAAATATAATGCCTACTTCTTGTTTTGTGAATTGATTTGAAAAACTGTTTTATGATATTTAATAAAACTTGTGTATTTTAGTTTTTAATTGAGTCACTTCAAAATATAAATAGTTGAAATATTATAAAGAATGTATAGATATAACATTGAATGCATAATTGACCTAGTTCATTCTAGTTCTACTGGAACTAATATTATTTTATTAATTTTGTTACAGAGATCAGCAAATATTCCACAATCAAATTTTGCGCAAGGTAAGTACAGAGTACACTATTTAAAGTTATGTATTTAATATATAATTATTCATTTAATTAATATTTGAATGCTAGTATTTTGTTCTTGTTGCTGTTAATTTTAAGATGACGAAAATTATAAGTCATTTCATTGGGTCAAGATTATTAAAGTTTTTAATCTCTGACGTCAATTCTGTTACTTTAGAACGAAAACTGATATTTTGTGTAAAGTTTAATATTTAAATTAATTTAAAGTAAATTCAGATAGGTAAACATTAAGCTTGAAGCTATTTTTTTAAATTATTTAAAAAAAAAATTTCGGTGACAGTTAAATTATATTACTTGACTATGAAATATTTCTAAAAACAAGGATTTACCAATGACAATTCGTGTTTATTAATAGTTACAGTTCAACTTCTATGATGAATAGTTGTGATTAAATAATAAATTGAGGACAACAGTTACATTACAAATTTTATTTTGTTACAAATATTAGTTAATATATTTTGTTAATTGAGCCCTGTTTTACGTATGAAAAAGATTATTTAAAATATTTCGCACGGTGGGTGGGCCACAGTTGTAGGTCAGAATCTGGAACGACAGATGGGAAATTTAATCTGTATGCAATAATTTACCATTGCTAAAGAAAAATCATTCTGAGCGGAGTTTTAACGATTTTCGTTGAATTTTTGATATTAAAATTCTTTTATAAAAATTCAACATTACACTCAATTTTTTTTTTATTTTTACTACTAAGTATGACCTTATAACACTTGTTTAATTTTCTAATATTTCTGTTTGGTCCAAAAACTTTACTCATAGAGTACTTACTGAATAAAAATTACGTAAAAAAAAAACCTTAAAATTAAAATGTCTATAAATAGCTCAAAATGGCTACAATGTTTTGAAAATTTTACCACGTCAAGAAAAAGACAATATAAGATTTCTGTCCAAACTTTAAGACTCCACAAATATTTTTAACTGTATTAACTTTTAACACAAAACAAAAAAATTAAAACTTAATACATTTAATTATATATACGATCTCTGTATATGTTTAAATTACTTGGTATATTACTATTTTAATATTTTAATTTATTTTTAAAAAAACATGAAATTAAAAATGAATCCTATAAGTAATACAATTAAAATAACATATTCTTCTCCAAATTTATATTCAAACACTAGTGTTATCTACTAAACTTACTTTATCTAAAATCCTTGTAATTAGTAGGTGTAGAGCTTCCCATCTAAAATTAATTTGACTAACGTAACTTGATGGCAACTAATTAAGGGAAGGTTATTTTTTTAAATGTTATGTGAAAAAAGGTTATCTTAAGTAATTGTTTTACAAAAGGAGCATAAAATGATTACCGTTCTAACTCAGTGTACTATATCATGTATATATATATATATATATTTTATAAGTTGAAATTAAATTTGTTAATTCTCTGAATATTTTTTTTAACCTGAATTTTTCGTTTTTGTTATTATTGCATGTTTGATATGTACATGGTCTGTGTGAATTTTACAAATATATTTGGGAACTGTTAGTCATCAAAGGTGTTTTGCCCTTTTCGTGAATTCGGTATCATTTAGCAGCGGTATTTAATTCATTCGAACCGTAAGCCATAAACACTAGAAAATGATTGTACGTGTAGTGTAGATTACGCTTGCTCTTAATAATGTTAAAGGTACCTAATGTAATACGACAGCAACGTTCTGCATGTTTTTTGTAAACCTAACTTAATATTTCTAAATAGGAAAATGTTATTTTAGATTCTAAGTGAAGTTAGCCAATGTATTGGTTTTAAAATGATGTTTGTTTTATTTTTATTTTTTTAATCAAATTTTACCTGAGTGATACTCTAAGGAGGTTATTTTTTATTTTCCGTGGGATATTCCTAATCATTTGGAAAACACGGAAATGTGCGACATTAATAATTTTTGATTTTTGTTGTGATCAGTGAAAAATATTTGTAGAGACTTGAAATTTGGGTAGAAAACTTATATTTCTCTTTTCTAGACATGAAATAATATTCATAACATTTTCGCTATCTTTAAGCATTGAGCTATTTATAGAAATTTGTATTCTGCGAGTTTTGTACGTAATTTTTATATGGTAGGTACTTTGTGTATAAAACTGTGGGTCCAATATTAAATGCTTAATAATTTAACAATAGGTTTATTATAATTCGTAATTATTGGCCATAACAAAAAAAAAAAAATTTTGAGTACAATGTAGATTTTTGTAAAAGAATTTTAATATTAATTTTAATTTTGACAAAAATGTTACGGCCCTTCAAAATATGTATAACTGAACTCTAAGAATCCTCTTTCATTAGCAATGATTAATAAATTGTTGATTACAGATATCCAAAATTTCCTTCTATATCTTACCAATGTACTCACCTACTACAATAGCCTACCAATCATCTAAAGTATGTTCGTCTTTTTTTAATTTTACTAAGACTAGATTTAGTGTTTTTGATAATAGTTACTAAAATATAATGAGTATTAAGAAGTACTTAAATATGTTTTTTTTCGGAAATGTATACATAGTAACTTGTTTTGAATGTAATTAGCTAGTGCTTAAACTAGACTATATAATATAGATTATAGACTAACACTATATAACTATATGAGTACCTAAGGTCAAGAATAATATTTTTAAATTTCTTTTATGATAAATTGATATAATAGACTGAAAAAAAAATATTTGGGTATAAAATATATTTGAATAATATGCACAGTAATTTATATAAAATTAGCGATAAATTTATTATTGCTTACTATGTTTACTTAAAGTATTTCTGTTGTAGATTTAAAGTGAAGCGAGGATATTATATTGATTTTACTGTAATGTGTTTGTCTGTAAAGGTAAATATCTGTTGCATTTTGAATCTAGCTGGTGCATTAAAAAGGTAATATTTTGATTTTCTAAGGGATTTTCAAAAAAATTGGGAAATACTGGAAGAAAAATTAAAGAAAAACTGTAAATATTTACAACTAGTAGCGTTATCGATTTCATTATTTTTGATTTTTACGCATTATGTTTTCTACCAGAAATAATATTGCTCAAAAATGATGAATTACCTTTTTCGATAAATTTCTAATCTAGTTGGTGAAGAAGAAAGTCGGCTTTTCATTTTTCGTGTAATTTTCTTAATAATTTGGATGAAACGTAAGAAATATAAAAAAGTTAACGGCATTAATGATTTTATTATTTTGTTGTAATTCTGTTTGGCTATTTTTGGGCTATTCATATGCGTTTTATGTTTACGAGTTTTTATATAGTTTAATTTGGTAGGTATACCTATGTGGACATCATTGTTTGACTAAACAAATGTTCTATTCATATGCGTTTTATGTTTACGAGTTTTTATATAGTTTAATTTGGTAGGTATACCTATGTGGACATCATTGTTTGACTAAACAAATGTTTCAAAAGTTAACAGGAAGATCATTTAAATAATTATACTTAGTGCTCAAAAAAAAAAAAAAAAAAAAAAAAAAAAAAAGTAGTCTGTAAATTGTAATGTAGTAATTATTTTCATAATAGTATTAATATCAAATTTTGATGAAAATCGTAAATATCACGTTTAAATAAACTTTGTTCAGAATGTCCTACATTGTTATCCATGTGTTTTTAACTCGCAGTCAAAATTTATTTTTTTTTTTTCAATCAGATTTTATGTCAGGGAGACAAATGTAGAAAATTACCTTTTTATTTTCATCCTTATTCATTGAAAAAAAAGAACTTTAAACTTTTCAAAATGGTCGATTTATAAAATATATTCTAAAAAATTATATTTGTGATACAAATTAAGAAATGTTAAAATTAAAACGGCTATTGCTAAGAAAATATCAATCGGATTGGAATGTATGATGCATTCAAATTTTTACAGTAATATATTTTACAAATTAAAAGTAATGAATTATAAGAATGAAGTTATTTTTTTCATTGATTAAGAAATGAAAAAAAAAATTTAATTTTTTTCTACATTTGTGTCCCCTTGACAAAACCTGATTGAAAAAAAATTACATATTGACTGAGTTAAAAGTATGTGTGACAAGAGTCAGCGTTATTGATATATGGTTAACACTATAAGACACTCTGTTTAATAGAAATCTAAATATTGACCTTTTTCAGTGTATTATCTCAGTATAACTTCATCAGAAATCACCCTAAAACTTTAAAGAAAGAAATAATTACATTTTTTCAAAATAATTCTATAGTTAGAAATCTTAAGTGATACGTTTTATTGTCTAAATGTTTTTAAACATTAATCTAAAAAATGCTTTAAAGTTAATTCAATTTTAAAATTATATTTACTTATGTAATTATATTTCAATTTTAGATTTTATATGTTAAGAAGAGCAATCTAAAAATGGACCAATATAGTAATTATGATACTTTCAGTATTCCTTATTACTTCAGTTTAAACACTAAATTTTTGTTTTTATAATTTCTTAATTATAGGGCCATAGATAGATTTACATGCTTCTTGCATTTACAATTCCACCATTCTAAACTTTAAAAATATAAGATTAAAAATAATTGATAAGTGATAATGTTAACAGGTTGACTACTGATTGTTGTAGGTTGGAAGTGAGGAAAGGATACGTAAAGTTATTTTATTTATATCTGTAAGCAATGTTCAACCATTGTTAACGAAAAACGATTCTGACCGAATTTGTTAAAAATGTTTCGAATTTAAGTGATTTTAACGATTACATTGTATTACATAAATACAACTTATAATAAATCTCCTATTAAATCGGAGGAGCTATAAAGTATTCGAAAAATATTAGGTACGAAAATAATATCGTTAAAAATATTTAATCCGACAATTATTTTTTCAATCCCGTGTTTTTAACATTCCGTACACCGATAAAACGCTATCTAAGATACCACCAGTACATATTTTTCTAAGAGAAGCGGTAAGAAAATGTTCTAATTTGGGTTGCTAAGGGTACGAATTGTTTACTTGCAACAAGTTATGCAAGATCAACTAGTGTAAATACAAAAAATCTAGTCGTATTTATAACTCGAGAGTGCCATAATAGTGGTGTGTGTGATAATAAATAAAAAATAATGTAGCACTGTACCTAACATTACATTTTATAATTATAATTAATTAAAATTTAAATATTAAAATAACTACAATTTAATAGGTAGTAAATAATATTTATTTTATTCATGTCAAACCACTTTTAGATAATAATATTAATTCTTCAATAGTAGGTATCTAACAATGGTTCAATGGATAATTGATTTAAAAACTATTAATAGGTAACTAATATTTAAGGCCTCTATTGCAAGTTGTTTTTATGACAATGCCCGACTGACTACGTTGTCTGTCTTGCATCCAAACAAATGTTATCCAAATAGAGCTCTATACAAATTTAAAAAAACTTGACAATTTTAAATAACTATGTAAATAATTCAAAAATAAGGATTTAAATTTAATTTAATTGACCTGGTCAATTTTCCGTAAAACCCGTAAATTTATCTAGGATAATAATAACTTTTTTCAAAATTTTGAAGCCACACCCGGATAATTATAAAGGCTGTAAATTCTACAAAGATATTTCAAAAATAAAACCACCCACATTCCTATTCCTAAAGAAAACCCCGTGAATAAATATATATCCAAATGCAAGTCAACCAATAAACAACCAACTAGCAACCAATCCTAACAAAAAATCATACGCAGAAATAACCATAACCGGTATGCTTAATTTTCTAAATAAAATACTTATGAGACATTCCAAGACTTCCTAAAGGATTACTTTCAAAAAACAATATCAGAATTCATTCAAAATATACCGCAAAGTGACATTTTCTCGTTAATAATGAGAAAAATGTTAGCTAACTCAACCAAATCAATAGCAATCCAAAATTAATATAATACTATTAAAGGTATGATGTTAGTCAACTGGAATGCAAACGACTTAAAATCAAAAAGGTCCACCTCAGTTGAATTTATATCAGGACACAAAATCGACATTGCTTGTATTACTGAAACACACTTAAAGGTATCCGATTCCTTTGAAATAACCTGATATAAAATATACAGAAATGACAGAAATCATATACAGTGTATATTATACAATTTTCAGGAGGTTCAGAACAATGATTCAAAACAATCAACACAACTCTATAATACTACCGTTAATAGTTCAGATGGAAACTATAGCTATTAACCTTTTAACTAATAAACACGACCTACGCATTATATCAGCATACAATTCGCCGAATAAGAAAATTAAAAAATTTGACTTATTCAAACTTTTTAATAACTCCCCAACCTTACTCCTAGGAGACCAATTCAAAATAATATGGGGCTGTAAAAATTTCAAATCCGAATGGACATAAATTGTATGATTACACGTCCGACCTAAACTCTCTTATAGTGCACTCCACTATAAAATTGGCAAAAGACCCATCAAACTTAGACTTAAACTACGGCTCCCACAAGATATTTTACTTGAAGTTCAAGAAGAGTACTATCCAGATTCATAATCCAACCAAAATTTATTTTTAAATTTTAAATAATTAATATTGTAAAAATACTTGGTGTATTGAAACAATTATATTAATAAAAAAATAAAATTTAAAAAGATATTTCAGTAAAAATATAATCCACGTGCCTTACGAAAAATTGTTCACTCTGTATAGTGTATATTTTCAGAATATAATCGAAATTTCACAGAATAAAAAAAAAATATCGACATTTTTGTAGACAATTTCTTTAAAAATATGATAAGTATAAATCGTTACAAGTAACAAATTATTGTAACCGTTTTTATCTACGAATATTCTTATAAATCAAATCGATATATTACTGTATAATTATTATTTGTAATTGTTGTTTAATCTTTTGAATTTATATTATGCAATTACTTTTCTCATAGTACAAAATTTAAGTAATTGTAAAAAATTATTATCAACGTATTATAATACAAATTACAATATTATTCTGAGTTTAATTTTTTCTTTTTTTTTTTTTAATTAATGAAAATTATATCGTATTATTATCATTATTATAATTAAATAATATATAATTTTTTAAAAGCCAATAAAATAAAATCGAATTAATGACGTTTTAAGAATGTCATATTAGTATACAGAATTATAATTAATTTTTGAATTATTATGAATTATAATAACTCATTATTTTGTGAAGTATTGACTTGACAATGACAATGTTTTGAAAATTTAAGAAAAGTGCAACCCTAAAATGTTACATTTCCATTATTTTCGGTTTGGAAAGACTGCCTACTTTTGATTTTCAAATGACAACAGTTCCATAAACATATAGAATATTAGTTTAAATAAATGTTGGTGTTGAAAATGTTGATTTCCGTCACACCGTTGACGAGATATTCCACTTTTAAATTTGGGTAGGGGAAAGTAAAGTGGTTCATAATTGGTGTGGCGGCACGACGCGCGTCGTTTGAAATTTGTGATTAGCAATTAAAAGTGGAATATTTCGTCAATGGTTCGACGGAATTGAAAAGTTTCAACACCAAAATTTATTTAAACTGATATACCTCGTTATATATTTGAATTTGTATTATTGGTTTCCATTAGAAAATCAAATATATATATATATATATCAAAATAAGGGTGACAAAAAACAATGATTTATAACATTTTGAAGCTGCTTATTTATTAATTTGTCAAGCATTTTTCTGAATGGTCACTTTGCGAAAGGAGTGTTTTACGTTAAATGAATCACCGTCGACTTTATGATGTGTAATAAATAATAATAATATATTATAATGTAGTATAAAACAAATGTCAGTAGTTTCAATCTAAATTTAAAATTACACGATACCTTATGGGATTTATTGGTTTTCAAATTTATTTATTATAGTATATATATATATATATATATATATATATTAATCAATTGTTTTATCTGTTCATAAAAATAAGTAATATTATGACCTGACTATCCGAAATTAGTGACCTATCCGAAATAATTGTAAGATCATTCAATTATTGTTTTAGTTAGTATGTATTTTATTTTTTTTTGTTTGTTATAAATTGTGATAACATTAATTTTTTGTATAGTACCTATAACGAAATTTCTCTTTTAATTACAAACTATGTCATGTTTTCACTGAATGAAATATCGGTAATAACAATATGCGCTCACTGTATGTTAACACTGAGTCCGATGATAAAACCAATTGAGACATGTGTCTAATGTAATATTAGGTAGGTATTTGATTTTTCTCTTGTATAATTTATAGTATATTTTTACAATTGTTATATAGGTACCTATTCTAATGAAGTTAATATATTATGTACTTATGTACTTGGTCTTTTTTTTTCTATAATTACAACATATTATATTTTGTTATTATAATTGTTTATCTTTACGATTATAATGGTATTTGTGTTTTGTTAAAATGATATCAATCGTGGTAATTTTCATCAGTACAAATCATTATAATAATATTTAAATGTTAATAATAGGTACCTACAGCTATGTTTACACGCATATTATTATTATAAGGTAAATTAACGGTTTTCGTGAATTTTAATACTCTATTGGTATAAAAATAATTTCCGACCTTTACACTTTCAAATATTGTATTATTTTAGTTCTAAAGTTCGTAGCCGCGGTGTACCATCAATCTCTTGCGCTAATACAAATGAAAATGTATTCGTCATTGACCTTTGACGCGTAGTCGGCAACGTATTGTGCTGATCTCGTAAGTGATATTTTATACATGTATGTTTACGTGCACACTAGGTATATAGTATACAGTACACATAATACTATAATAATAGGTATACACACATAAACACCCGGTCAAAGTCGATCTGTCCCGATCCCGGGACTAGATCTCTATGAGCAGTACGAGTGTATAATATGCTATAGTTCATGTGTGTACGTGGGACCGGTCGCGCGTCGTCCCCTACTGCCTCCGTACCCGTCTGTCGACAGGCCCCTTCTCCCAGGTTTCAGCTGACTGTGGCACTGTTGGTGGAGAAGGAAGTGCCGTCGCCGCGTCATTGGCCGGTGGTAGTAGCGGACAGCGATCCGGGTCGTGCTTCGTTTTCGAACCAGTCGTACGCACGTTTTCCGTAACGCTCGTTTTTCTCGTGCGCGCGTGTCGCACAGCTCAACCAAACGCATGTAGTGCACGCGTCGTGTATTAGAACGCAGCTGTGCCCGATAAAGATAAAAACTACGGCTGTATACAAGTTTATAATAATAATAATAATTATAGTGACAGCGTGCTGTTCAAGTATAATTAATATAGTATTTTATATTTGTGATTTTGTTGCCCCGAATTAATGTTATATAATGTTTAACGAACAAATCCCGTTGAATTGAATCGGTATTCGTTTATCATAATAACACACCGGGTACATAATATTATTAGTATCTAGCATATTATTGAAAATACGTTACAAAATAAAGAGCGTATTGCTTCACGTTGTGATCCCGCGGCTAGTGGTTTCGTACGAAAATGGAAGTGGGGGCAGCGGCCAAGCCGATATGTCTGGCGATACCGAAATCGCGCGTGGTGTGCCATATCACACCGCCCGACGACGAGCCGATCGCGCCGAAACCGGGGCCAAAGAACGTTTATTCGCGGTCACCGTCGTCCCGGTCGCCAAGCCCGAACAGACGGTCGTCGCCGCGCACATCGTTCCTGCATGACGCTTACCGCGCGTTGACGGGCTCCAGGAGTAGTACGTTGACGGACGCCAAAAGCAGTACTCTCATGCCGCTGCCGCCGACGGCGGACCAGGCGACAAAGCCCGTCAACAAGTCGTGTCTGTTGGACGTGCCCAAAGACGGACAGTTCCGAAACCGGTCTAAATCGTTGGACGACGGCACCAGGAAAACGGCGCTCGCGACCTCCTCCGGATCGTTTCGACTCGACAGCGGTGACGCGTATAAGATATTCGAAAGCATTCTGAAAGAAGGTACTCATATCCATATTGCATTACAAACCGTGCGCCTAAACGCCCCGATAATATACGGGTAATAATATTATATAACGTCGGTGCGGACGCGAATTCTGTATTGTTCGGAAATTTTCGTCTGCGAAAAAAAGAAAATGGCCAATTTACTAAGACTGTTTTTTTTCACATCCGAAAATAACCGCATTGCGATACGACATAAACATAATTTTATGTTTAATCGACACACGTCGTCGTCGTGTCGAAACTTTTTTACGTGCGTGAATACTGGTGTATGTTACGTTTTATTATTATTATTATTATCATTATGTTACACGCCATTGTCGGTCATTATCGATATACCGTATTATAAGCGCGGTTATTGTAATGCGGCCGATAAGACGCGCAGTTTTTCTTCTCTTTTCTTTTAAACGAAACGAAAATTAAACAAATCATATATTATTATTATTTATGCATCATGTCAGGACATCAATCGCCGATCGCCGTGATTAAATCGCGTGTCTATGTAGGTGTTGCATAATAATAATAATAATAGTCGTGTAAATAATGCCGCGCACAGGTTCCAGTCGTTTTAAGTTTTTTACGCACGCGTTGCGGGGATTTTTTCTCTCTGTTTATGACTTGGCGTCGTTATTATTATTATTCGCGAAGAACGGGAGCCGATCAATGCCAGTTGGCTCCCGTTGGCGTAATTTTTTTTTCTCTTTATATCGTGTTTTTATCGTATGGACATAATATTATTATAATATTAGATATTAGATATATATATGCATATACATTATGTACTTTTGACTTGACGGTCTTTTTTCGAGTCGCTGTCGTAAAACAAAAATACTCGCGAACAGATTTCAACAGGTCGCGACATTGTTGTAATATTATATCTCGGATAAAATATGTGCCCAATGCCAAACCGCCGGCTACTAGAGCCCCGTCGACGGCACGCGATTTCCGGCGACAATCGTAAAAAAAATAATACCGCTAATAGAGAACGAAAAGAAAGAGAGAAAAAAAAACGTAATAATGTGTCGTGAAACGTCACGTGTTCGGACAAGTGACCGATCGGTAATCGTCGTCTAATGTAACACAATAAATTATTATACGTCTCGAATTTCTCTTATTTCTTCAAAAAACGATCGAGACGATCGAGTATCGTTGATCTTCATTCTCAATACGCGTACGTCGTATTTGTGTCAATAAGTACGAAGAAAGTTGTACGGGTTAGTGTCGTAATACTGCCATTATTATACGACGTGCCGTTGGCGTGATTATTATGTGATAACATTATCTTTATCAGGTGTGATCGGATCGTTATAGGGGAAAAATTAAATGCAATAAATATTACCGAACGTCTTGTAAATATGATTGTTCTACGTTTTAATCGCATAGATGATTAGGTATATCGATTTTATTTCATTGCCGAAAATCACGCCCTTACGCCTATATAACATAATTGTTTTTAATTTCGTTTGAAAAGTAGGTACTCGTGCAAATTCAACGATCGAGCGTTTAAAACAGTGTAATTTTATTATTGAGTACGCGTGTAGTTTTTTCTTTTTTTTTTTCTCTCGATGTGACGCTATTTGAAAATCGTTTCGGATCCGGATGATCCAATTGTGACCGATAACACAGACCGATGATAAGGAGAGCGTGACGTAGACGCCGATATCGCATAATAATAACAATGAAAATACGATTACTCTTGTTGCGGGACAGCGCGCGCGTATTTCAATTATTGACATTGTCGGGGCGGTGTTTGTGCGCGCGTTTTGAAAATTAATATCGCGCGCGTTCGACCGCCGCGTCGTAGCCCAAAACGGCCGTTGTGGCGCGATTTACCGGCCGGTCTAATTGACTATACCACCGACGGCCCCGTTGTCGGTGGGGTGGCGGCGTGCGGGCCGACCTTTGTCGTAAATATACCTGCGGTGACGCGAAACGCCCCGTCTGTGTAACAATATATTGAATGCCGAAATACAAAAATTATTATCGCGTTGGACGCGCGCACGACCTCGCGCGATAATTTCGTTTTTCAATATTCGCCTCGCCGCATTAATCGCTTCTGTGTCGGTGTTTTATCACGTGTCGGGTACACGGTTAACTATAACAATAATAATTATCGTGGCGGGCGGGGCGGGTGTTATTGGCGTTTGCTGCGTGTTATTTTTGGCGACGCGCAGAACAGCAGTTCGTCGCGTAAGAAACAAAAATCCGTTATGTACTTCGCCGATGATTTTTTACGTGTTGGTGGACACGTACAGGATAACATTTCGCTAATTCGGCCGGTCTCGCTTTGATTCGCAAACAGCACAACACTAACGCATCCGGAATAGACCGGCCGTGTTTTCGGTTGTTAGCCCCGACGGAAAATTCTGTTTTTTCCCAATTATAATTTAGCGGTTTCAGAATTCTGTCGGTCGGAACATTTTATTTAGCATAATATTCACCAGATTTTGAATTCGGTGATTTTCAGTGCATATTGAAACGTTTAAAATTAACTTTATTAGTAATTGACGAATCGAATCTAGCGGTTCCCAACTCTGTACGTAACCCCTTTCTGAGGGATGAATTTGGTAGATGTTATATTTGTTTAATTTTTTTCTTTTCAATATAATAAACCAATAAAGTATAATTATTGCCACTTGCATCATGTACAATAATAATATCCGACGAATAGCGAAACACCGGTGTTGATTTCCTAATTGTTATCGTTCATAGACTATTATAGTACTATAGTCCTATAAGAAAAAAAAACAATTTCCGGTTGTTCAAGTTCTTGTCAAGCACCGTCCTTGAATTTCAACATTTCCTAGTTTTCACCAACTGATTCTGATAGCCCTTCCGGCGGCTGGACGGTGCGGCACGGCGCACGACCGTCTATAACATATTTCTATTCCTAATCGTTCGTACACACTCCATCCAACCGCGGAAAACTCCGCCGCCACTCATCTCCATCTTAATGGGATTCGAAACGGAACAAAAATCCCCCCCCCCCCCACACAGATTGTTTGTCCCTTTTTTCGTCCATCGCATACGCGGCGTATCAATTTATAGAACTATTTAAGTCCGTTCGACAGTCGGATCGTGGTGTTGTAGCGCGAAGCTATACGAGTTTCGAAAACGGATTCATTGAATTCGACGTGGAGCGTGCGCAAAATGCGGCCCAGGCCCAAACGAACATTGTTTAAAATCGAATTAAGGTTGGCACTGTAATTCGAATAAAGCGGGCCGGCCGAAATCGTGTTAGCTTCGCCGTTCAATGTCAATCGGTTTTCAGAAATATTCTCGTTGTCGCTTCACTATAATGGATCGGGCCAGAGATTATTTTTGGTGCCCGGTGCAGAATCATGCAAGGGGCGCCTTTTTTAACTAAATTTTATTTCAAGGTATTAAATCTAGGCACATGCTTTCCACAAAAATGTGCTGATAGCGCTTATAGTCTGTCAGATATGGTACAATGCATTAATATTATTACAGTATATTGTTATTTTTATTTAGGATAGTCATTAAGTCGTCGTTTTAACTTAAATTTGTATTTTGTAACAGGTTGGTAATTCTTGATTAAATAATTCTATTTTTTTTTTTACATGGACGCATGGGGTACCGTGATTATTTGATCTTTGGTGGGCCTGGGTGAATTTTGACCCAGAGACCCCCCCCCATCCTCTCTGAACGGGCTTGGATCGGGCAAAAAAATGTGTTACGACAGAGAAGAATAAGGGTATCGGAGGATATTTGTTTTATAACAATCCGTAAAACGCAATCGTTAAAACCATTAATAATAAATATTCAACACAGTACGACCACGAGCGTAAGTATAAATAATAAAGTGCCCGTTTGTTTCAACATGCTGAGTCCTTGGTAGCCCGGGTCCGGTTTTTCGTCTCTGCTCGCGCTGCGAAAAACCTAACGTAACATAAAAAATCGCGGAAGAAAAATAATATAAATCTGTGCTTACTGTTGTTATTTATCAGATGTGTATATTACCCGAGTTGGTAGTGTACTGCACACTCGATTGTAAAACTAGTGCTACCGGTTCAGTGGGTTTTATTAAAAAAATATATAATAATAATAACAAAATAACTCGAAAATCTCGCTTCTTTTGCCATTCAAAGGGTATAAAAACAACACGGAATAAAAAAAAAAACGACGATATATTATTAATAATATTAATGCTAATTATGCGTGTGTTGGGTACTTACAATACCTTTAGATTTCCGATTTTTTCTGGGTTTTTTTTTCCCCGTACAAATGTTAAAATGTACGTGTGTATACAATTATATTATAGGTGTACGTTTATCATATAACATAGTTGACAATAATTTCGACTTTTCATGTGTTCGTACCTAGGTAGGTTATTAATCATCGAATGATCCGTTTTTGTGTTTGATCTGGTCGAGCTGTTTGATTGTGTTGATGTGTTGGTTTGAGCATTGCGTTATAACTCGTTGCATTACTCTTTTACAAAAAAAAAAAATATATATTTATAATAATGAACGATAATCACGTCGGGTCATTTATTCGATATACCTATCTGTCTATATTGTCGATAAGACAACAAATCGCATTGAAAAAAACTCTTAGAAAACAGATTGGTAAATAGATAATACTACATAGATTTTAAAGGAATTATTTTTGTTTTGTACAACTCGTGTAATCTAATGGCAATTAAATGGATTCTAATTTTCTAAGTATTTTTGTTGTTTTATTTTTTTTATTTATTAATAATTTTAGAATAATAAATTGTAAAATTTACTCAATGTGTAACGGATTTATTTAGTTAAATATTTTTCCCAGAATTGTATATAAACATTAATATGTTTATACTGTTTGGTCTAAATAATTAGCCTATAGCTAACCTCCGATTAATTGATATTTAATTTTTTTTTTATGGAACATACATAGTATACGTTTCTTCCATAATTACCTATGCTAATAATCGTATTTTAATAGTTATAAATGCTTATTGTTCATGAATTTGAAAAATTAAAAAAAAAAACATCAACATGTATATTATTTAGTAATATTATAGTTGTTTGAAGGGCACGATAATTTTTATATTGTCAAACAAAATATCAACATTCAATACATTAGAGTTAAAATAACAGTTTTAGGCGGCTATTCCTGGTTTTTAAAAGTGGAATATTTTTGACACTTTTATTAGTCTTTAGAAAAATATTTGTTTACACTATAATTAAAATGAGCTTTCTAAAAGGGTTTTTCATTTACAAGTATACACTCGGAAAATATTCATTTTTTTTTCATTTGTTTCGTAGAACATTTAAGAAACAAGCAGTTCTATAATTTCTCATTTATTTCATTTTTTTGTCATCCTTACTTTTATTGGTATAACCACTTAATATTTTTGATTTTTAAGTGGTAACCTAATTAAAAATTCCATAAATAGACGAAGTATTGGTTAAAATAACATTTTTGGTTTCCGTTAATCCATTAACGAGACATTCCACTTTTAAATTTAGGTCAGAGGAAAGTAAACGGTGCATTATTAAAATGCCGCTTCTCTACTTTCCCCCAAACCAAACTTAAAAGTGGAATATTATCTGGATTGAAGTATATCAAAAATGACAGTACCAAAATTTATTTTAACTGTTTATGACATTTTTAATATAGGTTGCTATTTTAAAATCAAAAGCAATTGGTGGTTTTACTCACAAAAATAACACAAATTTCTAAGGATAATAGTACAGATATTCATACAATATTCATATTTTGCCACCACTCTTTGGTTTCAGCCATTATGAAACACTAGAATAATGTCATTGATTCTTAAGAAAACAACTAGGCTCTATCAGTTCCATTCCACAGTTAGTAGCCAAATATCCTTGTACTTAAGGCTATCTATCTATTTTATAATCCAGTGGTTTTCAATCCGTGTTCCGCAAGTGATAGTTAGGGGATCGCTAAAACCACAAGTATCATATGTATATTGTACATTGTATTATTCAAATTCTATTAAATAATTTTTGAAGGAGTCCTTATAAATGAAAATCACTGATATAATATAATCAATGGTAGCAGCCATTATTTACCTACAAATTTTACTTTTTCTGCTCATGGGGATGGTTAATAGACAACTTAATAGAAACCTGTTGGGATTTTCCAATAAAACCCATCATGTTTTGAAAAGGAAAAACTGCCCTTTTTTTTTTATTAGTTTTATTATTTTTTGTGAAGTGTTCCACATTACCTCTGCTTCATCAGAGCATATTTATTAACTTTTGGTCTCGTATAAAATAAACTAAGAAATCGGTTGTGTCATTAAAAGGCAGTCGATTTAATTAACATTTATTATGCATTATTATTATATCAACTATTATTGATTTTTGTTCTTTTGTAGTTGTATATGTACTTATAACATAAATAAACAACATATGATAATAACATATTTTTTCTAATGAAAGCTAAATTAGAAAAAAAGAATTCTGAGACAAGTATGTGAGGTGAGGGGGTTGTTAAACAAATGTTAGATGAGTTTATCTCAGAAAAGCAGCTTGGGTGTTTTCATGTTGGACTTTTTCATACCAACCCTGACACATTTTATTGAAATTTAACTGGTGTTAAAAAAATTATTTGCTAAATACAAATACATTATTGCCCTTTTTTTTTATATGTAGATATATATTTGATTTTTATTTTTATTTTTCAATTCAGAAGTTAGATATGCTAAACGTTTTTACTTTTCTACTATACATTATATGTTCCACAAAAATATGACAAATGCAAAAAATTGTATTCTCTATTTTAAGCTTTTCCTTTGGGTAATAATTACTAGAGCCTTGCGCTAAAATTCTAATATTTTATATTTGTTATAAATTTTTTTTTTTTCACAAAATTTAAGAGTCATTTGTTTTGAATATAAAAGTTGGCATTAGAAATTTAGATTTAATTTTTTTAAAAAAAAAAGAAGCTTACTATTATTGGTAGCAGCTAGCAAGTAGCCTCGTGTGACCAAAGCTTTAAAAAGAAAAATATTAAAATTTATATAATATTAATAAAAACTCCGCAATAAAATAATTAGGGTTTAGTTAGGGTTACAGTTTTAAATGTTTTTACATTATATTAAAAACTATTTTTTTTAAATTCTTTCAATATTTAAAATATAAAAAAAGTACCATATTCTATTTAAATTTAATTTTTTTCTATCTTATAAATAACAAATAATTTTATTGATGGTTAATGATAACTTTTTTTCTTCTATTAATAATTGAACCATTATGTCCATATTATTATAGTTTAATCTAAATTTAATAATACAAATTGTACTAGTGTTATTGTTTATTACTGTATCATTTTCTACTCATAATGATTAGTATATTATATTACAGCCTGTAATGGGTTTAAGACCAATATTTTGACCAAGCAATTTGTCCAAAACTTTAAAATATAGGGTTGGGAAAATGTTATACTGCTGTTCCTCTCCTTACAATGACACCCCTCATATTATTTAAATTATTTTTATTGTCATTATTGAATGATATTAATTTATTTATCACTTTCTGTCCAAAAATACTCATAACACAATAATATTTGTTATGACATAGTTACTATTTAATAGTGGCTTGGAAAAAAAAAATTTAGAAAATTAATAAGTCATCATTAGTAAACATTTTGTAAAATTAAAACCTTGTTTCAAAAATAAATTTTTAATATGGCCACCTATTTAGGATTTTGTAGAAAAAAAGAAAACATAAATTATAAGAATCGTAGTGCAAGGCTTTAATAAAGAAAACTAAAGTTATGTATTTGTATTAATACTTCTTGTGATTACATAAATTGAACTGTAAAACATATTGAGTTACATGAAATATTGGTTTTCCTTCTTTTTTTTTAATTGATATTTTTTTTTTACTCTTTAATGACTACTAGATAAGAAATAGGTATCTTTGTTAAAATTGTTTTTTAGGTTTTTATGAAATTTATTCAACACATTTTGAATTTATGTTATTGTTTAACTATTAAAATATAATTAAACTATTTGTAATATTTTAGTTACATTATTATATCATACATTTATTTTCACAATTTGCTTTTATGCCTTATTATTAATTAGATAATTATTCTATTCATTTATGGGTCATAGTTGATTTTAGGATTTTTAATGTTTCATAAGCATTAGTCCTTATCGAAAAGAAAAAAAAATTTTACAAACTCAGATTATGATACACGAGTTATTATTAAATTTGTAATTTTAATTTCAATATTGTCGTTTATGCATTGTGATCATGACCCATTGACATTGAAAAGACAACAACAAGAATAAATATAAAAATGTAAATAATGTTATTATGGATTATGATGTTTATTGTAAAATAAAACAGGTAACTGTGAATAAATAATTTATTTTTTCTTTTAAAGTAATGCATTATGTATGCATTTTTTTCATTTTCGTTTATTATTATATTTTTATTATTAATAGGAGCTCTTTTACGCAGAAGTTCTCTGGATCCTGAAACCCGGCGACTATCTTTAGGAACTATATCTAGTTCAAGAAAGAATTCTGATGGAGTTTCTGATCCTGCACATGCGGCCATATTATTTAGAGATGCAAGAGGAGTAAGTTGAAAATTGTTATACTGTTTTGAATGAAGACCTTTATTAATTAATAACATTAATGTTGTATATGTATAGCTCCCTGTTGCTGATCCATTCTTGGAAAAAGTTAAAATCAAAGATCTGGGTAAATTATTTTTGTTAATTACTTATTTACTTGTCTAGACTAATATAGATTTTACAGATCTTTTGCCGTAACAATTATGTTAGGTTTAAGGGTTATAATTTTCACTTACCATACTTGTCAAATATGGCCGTACCACTTTCCTTATTTAGTCTATTTAGTCTAGTGGTTTTTCATATTGTTACTTGATTTATTAATTTGCTTTTACTTTTTGTACAATTTGAGTACATTTATACAAATACATATTGTGCTGTTTAACTTAATAATTGTATGCGTATGTTATATTATATAGTTAAGCCTTTGTTTCTGCTATTTTATTATTACATTCATAATTGGATATTTTTAAAATAGCTCAGTTCCAGATATACTATAGGATTATAATCTAACCTAATTTAATCTCAATATTATTATTTTTAATTTCAGTTGATGATGAAAGTCAGATTTTTGTGAAATTTTTCCGATTCCATAAAACTTATGATCTCATACCAACTAGTGCAAAATTGGTTGTATTCGATACACAGTTAATTGTAAAAAAAGCGTTTTTCGCTCTAGTATGCAATGGTGTTCGAGCAGCTCCATTATGGGACAACAAACGACAAGAATTTGTTGGCATGCTTACTATTACAGACTTTATCAGGATATTGCAAAAATACTACTATTCATCGTCTTCGATTATGGAGGAATTAGAAGAACATAAATTAGATACATGGAGAAGTAAAACACATTATTTATTAAGTTTTTAATTTTTAGGAAAGCAACTTATTATTTTTTTTTCATTAAATCTCAAATTTCAGATGAATTACTAGAAGAACGTCCACAAGAATTGATATCCATTGGTCCAGATATGTCTTTATATTTTGCTATTGAAACACTAATAAATAATAGAATACACAGGCTTCCAGTTATTGATCCAATCACTGGAAATGTTCTTTATATTGTCACCCATAAACGCATATTGCGTTTTCTTCATATTTACGTAAGGGTATTGAATTTTTATATTTACTAATAAATTTTGTTATAGTATTAAAATAATATTTATATTTATATTTCAGATAAATGATTTACCAAAACCTGCCTATTTATCCAAGACTCTGGAAGAATTGAAAATTGGTACTTATGAAAATATAGAAACAGTTTCTCAAGATACTTCTATCATATTAGCATTAAAGAAATTTGTTGAACGGAGAGTATCTGCTTTACCTATGGTCGATGATGAAGGTCGCCTTGTTGATATATTCGCTAAATTTGACGTAATCGTAAGTTATTCAAAAAAAGTGTATATTATATATTTCAAGTTATTACTTAATACTTTATTTTCATAGAATTTAGCTGCTGAACATACATATAATAATTTAGATGTTAGTCTAAAAAAAAACAATGAATATAAAAACGAATGGTTTGAAGGTGTACAAAAATGTCATCTGACTGATACATTACTTAGTGTTATTGAAAAAATTGTCCATGCTGAAGTGAGTTATAATATCATATTTAATAACATATTTAACTATTATACAATTTTATTTTTGGTCTTTTTAAGGTACACAGATTAGTAATTGTAGACATAGACGACAAAGTCATTGGAATACTATCATTATCTGATATTCTGCACTATTTAGTACTTCAACCTTCTGGTAGGTTACAATAAGTAACTGCTATTATGTTGATTAACTTTACTTTTATAACTTTTAAATTACTATTTAAAAGGAGCTGAACTGTTATTACAAACCAAAGACCTTTACAAAAATAATGTGGACAATTCTAAAGCTTTAAATTCAATTGTGGAGCCAGTACTATTACATGTAATGTGAGCAAATATTTTTTCAATCTCATAACAATGTGATTTGTTGTAACGAAATCAAATTTGCAGTCACAATGCCGGATGATCTGGTTTACTTTATTTGTACAAGTATTATATACCTATGTAGTATTATACGACAGCGCTTTAGAGACAACAAAATTTACATTCTCAAAGTATTAGTTGAAAAATTTAAGTTCAATACCTTTTCTATTATAATTTTTCTTTTTTTTTTGAAATAGAGCTAGTCTGAATTTTTAAAATAAAGATTTAATTTCTAAAAGTTCTACATTTAAAAAAAAGCGTTAAGTGATTTTTCAAATGAACGTGTGATATTGTCAAATGAAGAGCTGTTGAAATATTATATTTGTTATTTAATATATTAATAATATTTTTTGACTATTTATCGTATGTACAATGTATACATTTATAACAAATCATTAACACATCAAAATATTTTTCAATAGAAAATATACCTGTGTAATTTTTTTTTTTTGGGTTTTCCGATATTTATTTATTTTTTTTTTTAGATTTTTAATATGTATACATGAGTATATAATAAAAATGAACGCTGATTGCTATAAAATTTATTTATATTTTGTATTTTGTTTTGTGTTATTGTATTTAAATTTACACAAATTAAATGTTTTTTTTTTTTTTAGAATATAATAATTATAATATATGTACAATGTTGAATATTTTGACATTGAATATCCACAAAAATAATCAATGGAACAATTAAGCATATATTTTAGCAATCGCTGCTTTAGCTTCTGCAATTAAAATTTATATTTATACAAATTATGATGTGCAAATAAAAATAACACAATAATACATTTAATAAATACTAGTACATATTTTTTTTAAATATATTATTTTTGTTGTAGATATTAATTTATTATAGTTTATGTGATAAGATGTAGGTTGTATATAATAAAATAGGTAGGTATGAATAGATCACTATGTGTCGCGTTTTGTTCAGTATGCGCATCTCCATCCCCAACCTATGTCATATTTTCCACTATTATTTGTAAAGCTAATGTTAGCTAATAAAAAATAAAGCAGTAATGTAAAAAAGAAATATTTGAGTTGGGTCCAGAAATAAATTAACTACAAATCAAAAAACTATTATCAGTTATTTATTTTGTCATGGCTAGCATAGATTAAATCTATTGTGATTATTATTTTTATCATTATTGTGGTTTATTAAATCTATTATAATTATTTTGCAGAACTAGTAGGAAAGCTGGTACCTAGATGAGCGTTTTCTGTTTTTGATCAATCAAGAACTCTAGATTTTTTTGGACATCCTAGACACCCTGACATAAGAAGTTTTAGTGAGAATAATGAAATGTACAGGACCTAAAATTAATAGTAATTAATAGAGATTAATAATAAAGACTGTAATTTAAAGAAATCATTATAAAGATATTGTTTATGATAGAAGGGTTGGGGTCTTATAGGGGTATAGTAGTGTTGGAACCTAGAGTCAAATGGAGAGATGTAGCAGAGGACAGAAAAAATTGGAAGAGGTAATATTTGTTTTGAAGACAGGTCTTAAAAGCTGTTACCTCAAAAGAAAGAAAAACAATTTTAATAGTTTAGTATTAAATTTAAAACAAAATATAAATTATGCACTTCTTTATTATTAATATCAAATAATACAAATATTCTTATTTTCATAGCAATAGGTTTTCTCCTACTTAAAAAGTAAATACTTGAGACAAAATATTTAAATAGTTTTCTAAATATGATGACTATAATTTGATTAACTTTGACACATTCTTATTACAAATAAAACAATGATTTGAATATAAAATTATTAACATATTACACTTAAATTATAATATTTTGATAAAATCAGTTATACAAGAATATTCCCACATAAAAAGTTTGTGTAGCTACAATAAATTATTGTAAGAAAAACTTAAGTATTCCATACTATTAAATTTCAGTTGTTTATGAATAATACCAATATAAAAAAATAAAATAAAATATTGTATAGTCTCAAAATTATCGGAAACAAATATTACTACACCTTAATTAATATCACAGTAGTTTTGAGGCTCATATGAACAAGTCATGATTGTTAGATAATTCTTGCACCTGGTTTCAACAATGGCGTTCTTTCTTGGGCATTAGTGTTAAGAACAGACTGGGAAACCGAAGTGCATGGGTAATTACCGCGTTCTTCAAGTTTTCTATAAAAATAAAATCAATATAAATATTTTATTAATGACTATTTAAAAGTTAAAATAAATTCTACAATTACCTTCTATGAATGCTATGCAATAGCAATGCACTCTGATTTACTTCTACAGAAGTTAAATATTCAGATGTAGTAAATATCGATGAGCACATTAAAGAACTACTATTGATTTGATTTGGACGACCCGTTAAGCTAAACAATTACAAAATTATTTTGCTAGAAATATTAAATTACAAAATAGTGTAACATACCCTTCTTTATGTAATAGCCGCGTACTCTGATTGAGTCCAAGTAAGCAGGAAGGTAATTCTGCGATATGCAATGTACTACCAACTACATTGTGACACAGAGACTAAATAAAAATCATTTAAAAGTTAGGGTTATTTAGTATATTTTTTTTATCCTAAACAACATACTGGGTTTATTACAGATTCACCAGTAGATGGATAATTCTGCCGCGTTTTAGCAATTATTTCATCTACAAACTCTTTAGCTTCAAGATCGACAGGATCCCAAGTGGGGTTGCGTACGGAGAAACTTAAGAGAGACATTTCTACTTTTCCATCTTCGGCCTGATCAACTTGGGGTAATTTTGCTGTGGGTGTTTCAGGTGATGAAGGTCCAGGAGAACGCCAAGCTGGATTACCATTTTTTCGTAAATTCATCATAGAAAAAGCGCATACGTCTCCTACTCCTGCTACTTCAGCAGTATAATTACGGTAAAAATCTACAATTTCTAAGGCTCTGGGACGAAGCCAAAAAAACAGTATAAATGGGGTAACCAGTGGTGATATTAACTCGCTTAACAAATAATTCTGAAATAAAAATTGATCACAATAATACAGAAATATAACTTTAAAATGACTAACATGATTACTTACAGCTTTAAAGGGGAAAACTTGAGAAAATTGATTGTTAACTTGTTGTGTATGTGCTTTTCCAACCCACGAATCTGGCAGGTAGTGCACTTCAGACAATACAGCCGTCATTAATGATTCTTGGCAAACAATTTCTTTATCATCATCAACAAGATTTCTAAATTTTAAAAATTTAAAAACAATTATTGATTTAAATTATTAGTACAGTAGAATCTTGAAAATCAGGTACGTCCAGCTACATTAAGTATTAAAAAGCATCATTTCAAACAAAAAAATAAAAATAAATTGATAATTTGTTGTAGCTTGTTCCATCAAAACAAAATTCAACATAATATGTATTTATTTGTTTTTAAAAAAATAAGGTTATTCATTTTTTTAATATAATTAAAAATTCTTTTTCTTTTGTAAACTCTCATTAATGAGGTGTTTTTGTTAATTTGGCAGTACTTTGATCTCATATCTCTTGGATTACTGAGATTCTACTGTATTTAATATTAAACTTAAACACAATTTCTTTTACTAACCGACAAATTACAAACAACATTGATAATCCAGTAAATATAGTTATCATATGTTCAATTGATAAAATGCTGTCATCGTAAATAGTTAAAACAAGTATTGGCACCATAATAGCACTTGTAAAAAACATTGTATTCCTAATAAAAAAAAATATTCATATATATATATATATATATATATATATACAGAGATTTTTTTTTTTTTTACCATGAACCAGTAATTGAAAACCAAAAGTATGTACTTATTTAAGGTATTTGGAGTAGGGGTAAAAAACTAAAAGTGGTTTTAAATTAATAATTAAATGATTCCCATAGTGATGAGAAAAAAAAGAAATCAAATTCACTAAAATTCCTCAGAGATAATTGCTAGTTCATGATAAAAAAAATCACTCTGTACATATAATGTGTATTTTAGGCCGTGGCCTGTATTGAAAATAAATTAATAAAAAAATATTAAAGAATAATAAAATGCAAAAGTTAATCATACTTTGCAATTATAACACTAACGGGCGCTGCAAAACTTTGTAAATATTTAGCAGCAGGCACATAAGCACGACTGAGTCGAGCACTGAGTTCATGGTCAAGCTCATTGAAGTGACGTAAATATAGTTTTGAATATAAAGACCACATGCGAATACTGAGTACACTTGGTTCGTTTTTTACCATCTAAAAATGAAACAGATTAACAATATATTTTTTAATTTGTAGGAGTTATAAATAACCTAAGGTCAATATAATACCTGAGCATTGTCACACAACTTGTAAATTAATTGCCAAGTCAAAATTACTGGAGAAAGCAATAAATTGACTAAGGCAACCCAACTTATAGTTTTACCCATGGATTTTGCCAATTCTAAACGCTTTCCTGGTTGTTTATATTCTGGTTTAAGATGCCAATTGTTTTCAAATGGTGACCACGGACCCCCTAAAATATTACTATTATTATTACTTAAATATAAATACAATATGTGAATGGTATAAAAGTGTCGATAAATGATGGCCTAACATGGCATTTAAAAATACTCAATTTGAGCCCTAGGCTCAAAAAGGCTCTAAAACCTGTTCATCTCCCCTATTAATAAGACTGATCTTCAATTCAACATGACTTTTGCTCAGGTGTCACTGATAGTAAATATCATAATTTTGTCAAAAACAGAAGAAAATAAAAATAATTTTAAGTTATTTAAAACTCAAGATTTTATCAATATACATTTATAAATATGCAATATATAAGTAATTAAATTATAATAATATAATAATTTGTATCAGAAGTAAAATTTAAAATGTAATTGATAATTGTATTATTTTAAAAACAAAGGTATAATAAGGTATATTAAGGTATAATTAATTTGTATTACTTACAAAAGAGCAAAAAGTTTATATTGTATTTCATTCCATGAGAAAAATAGATAACATCCCCAAGAAATGGTATGTTAAAATGTGTAGGGAGTACAGATTTATTCACAAGAGCTATTAAGTAGTTTTTCGTTCTGAAAAAATAATAAACATACAGCGTTCAAGATTTTAAATATCTAAATGTAAAAGAAAAATATATTTAAGTAAACCTTAAAATACGCTGATAAATGTCAAGTTCTGTAAGATCTAGTTTATGTATACACATATGTTGTACTTTTTGTGCTTCCAATACTTTTAGTACAATTTCTCGCCAGGTATAATTTTCTAACTCTTTCTAAAATTAAAATAATAATATAAATATATTTTTTAATTTTAAAAAATAACCATTGTTAATATAACATCTTACATCAGGTATATGAAGAGCAACATTGTAAAAGGCTCTAATATCAGAAAAATGGTAAGCAACATTGAACAGTTTCATAAACCGGAAAATAGCAAACATTAACAATGGTATCATGTACAAATATGTTAAAATTGTAAATTTGCTAGTACATTTTGAAGTTGACAGGAACACATCAGATAACCGTACTTTATCAGTACCATTCAAAAAATTTCCTGAATCTACTGGTTTGTCTCTGAATATTAAATAAACTTATATGATAAATGATAAAATACATTGACAAACGCAGAAGGAAGTGGTCAAACTTCTTCCAAAATATAATATATCCTTTAATTTGTATTTAAATTTGAAATAATAAATTGATTTACAGACCAAAGCTACATAAAGATCAAATATAAAATATTTTTTGCAAAATTACTTATACAATTTTTTCCTGCGTTTGTCTCTAATAAAATAATATAAATATTCGGTTTGATATATTTACATGTATATTCAGATGTTATTAATTAACTAATCTATTCAAATAATACCTGAAAAGTATTGGATAGTCGATGCAATAAAACAGAAATAAAGAAAAAGTCAACAAGAATATCACTTGCAAAAGATCTAATGCTGATTGAAGAATAAGACAAAGAAATCCATGTTTTTGGTGGTACATGTAAATTCTTGTAAAAAAATTATCCAAGTCTTCTATATGATTCCATCGATCTAAAAAAAGAAATTACTATGAAATTAATAATTTCCAATTTTATTTTATAGGTTTATGTTTATTTAAAATTTAATAAAATTATAAAGGGATAGAATTATATTATATTAAAAAATACAGATAAAATACCTTACACTCTATTTTATATTTATACTTTATTTATTACATTTTTTTTCATTAATTTTAATATGTAAATTAATATTTATATATTTTACATTTTTGTATAGTATTTAAAATAAGGAATTTTAGATTAAAATGTACAATTAATATTTTTGGTGTCTTAAAATAAAATTGTAAAATATTAGAAGACTTACTTCTAGCTATATTGGGAGTAAAGTGAAAACGAACTTCATCTTCTCTTTCAGAACTAAGAACTTGATATCCAGAATCTGGCATTTTAATTTCTAAAAAACAGTAATAATTAATTATAGGTAATTGTTTTTGTAATAAAATAAAAATATACCTATATAGGTACTTAATGTTATGATTGCATGACAGAATATTAGGTACAGTCAGTACAATCTTAGTTGCTATACTATTAATATCAAGTAGATATTAATAAAATACAAATAAATGACAATTACAGAATGTTGTGAAAAAAAAAAACAAAGAAAAACAAAGGACATAAAATGGTAGGTCAAAGTGTTATACTTTATTAATTCAGAAACCTTTGTTCTCCAGACAATTTAGATTGCAGGTGCTCTTGATTTAAATTACATCAGCGTTTTTCATTTACATTCAATCATGGGTTTTTAAGCCCATTGATTTGTAAAACAAAATTTAAAAGGGTGACTACATGATCAAAAATATACTAGATATTTACGAAATAGTGAATAATTTTACAATAACAAGAAAACGTAAAGTTAAAAATAATCAAAACTGCGCATTTGTTCAGTGATAACATTATCGTCATGCTGATACTGGTCTTAACCATTCTTAAAGTATTCTTTGAAATGTTTGTCACGTCCATAAATTATTAGTGATAATGTAACTGCAACGTTCTCGATTCAATAATATGGTGGGGGCACGTGGATGAAGGTGATAAATGTATCTTGTCCGAGATTATAATTATTTGAAATTAAATCTACTACTGAACAGCGAGTTTGAGTGTAAGAAATGGAAATAAGGAATTCTTGAATGTTAGAATCATTGTTTTAATTTTTATTTCATTTTAATGCAAAACGTGTTTTTAATTTTAATTTTTAAATTATTACATTTTTTTTTAAAGAATTATTGTATTTCAATTTGAAATAAATTAATGTTCGTACACATTTTAGTAATTGATTGATTAAATGTAATAATATTGTGTGAATATTGTATAATATATATTCATATTATCTTAATGTATCAATGTATATCAAAATAAACAATAGTTTTTGATCTTATGATTACGAAGAAATTAAATTAAAAATAACTTTTAATTTCCCCTTAAACTCTAATTTATATTAAATTCAATTTTTTTTTCTACAATAGACGATCAATGAATTAGATATTTGAAGTATGGCGAAAGATTCCATTGGTCATCTACCTAGATATACTAGATTTATACGTACTCATTCAAAAAAAAATACTCAGTATATGAAACCAATTTATATTTGGAGGCGTAATTTAAATATTATTCTTAAACAAAACCGAAAGGATGAAGAAGAATTTCAAAAGTAATTATTTTTTATTATGTACCTTTGTTGTATTATTTATTTAATATTTAAAAATAACTTAATCCATTAAAGCCGAAATTGTTTTGATCACATGATACAGAAATTCCTACTTTATATAGAATTTTCAAAAAGTTTTATTTATGTTGTTGTATACAATGCATGGTGTTAATGGGTTAAATAACTAATTAGTTATATACTTAACTTACTATGGTACAAGATAAATGTATAAATTATACCTAATTCAAATTTAATTTTTAGATTCCTAACTTTTTCTGAAATTTGTAAAGTCATTAATCAACCTAAGACTGAAGTAATTTTTAAAAAATTGAATACATTGTATGAGATAGCACAAGAACTTTGTAAGTAACTTTTATTTGTGTAATTGAAAATTGTTAGTAAAATACTTAAGGAACTTAATTTTAAAATCAAAATTGTAAATATGTAAATAGTTTTTATTTAATTTTTATTTTACTTATAATTTTAAAAAATTAATTTGGTACTGTATACTATAATACTGTAATATATTTCTTTTACTATTGTACAGTATTGAATGAAAATATACTATGTTTCATCAGTCACCTATTCAATACACAATATCGTTAAATTGCTTAAAATAATCTTAACCCTATTTTAGTTTTCAAGTTTTTAATCAGTTTGTTAAAAATTGTTTGGTCTGGTATATTTAATCTATTCCAGTAAGTTTTCTTTTGTTTTCTATCAAACATATGTTTTAAAATAGATTCAAATTAATAAATTACCAAAAATTTAGATAAAACCCTACATGAGTTATGTACATTTCATAGTTAAATATTTAAGATTATTTTATGTAGAGGGAGGGATTCACTCGTATTTATGTCATGTAGCAATAAAGATTTTCATTACATTTCCAAACCAAATCAGTTTATTCTTCCTATATCTTATGAACTATTGTAACAACTTATTACCAAACCGTTGAATAAAAATATATTATACATTTATTTTAAGTTAATTAAGGTATTAATCATTAAAACAGCGTTTCTCAAACGCTGAGTCATGGTCCACTGATGAGTCCTGAGTCCATTTTTGGTGGGTTGTGATAATTATATAGATAGAATCCAAGAAGTATTTTAATTTTTTTTTTTTATCCGTAAACAACTTTTCTCCCAGCAATTTTGCTCCTATTTTCTAATTTAGCACTTTTTTTTAAAAAAAAATTTGTTTGTAGTAGTACTTATTAGGGAGGTAATTTTAAGATTTTCCCAGCTGTTTTCATAAACTTTTTTATGAAAAGTGAAACCATGTGGGTCACGATAGATTTCTGTGGTAAAAATTTGGGTTGCAATCCTAAAAAGATTGAGAACCATTGATTTATAGAACATTTAAATAGATATTTTAATATTAACCACTAGTATTTATATTTTTACTTTAGTACAAAGTTTTGTTAAAATGAGTAGGTATTTAAAAGTATATTATTTATTTATTTTAAAATTAATTATAAATTATGATGTTATTCTATATGAAGAGTATATTTAATTTGATTATATATTTTTCAGTGATAGACGAACAACCAGAAATATTGAGTTCAACATTATTATACTTTTTCAAATTATTTAATGGCGTTTCTAAACTATTAATAAAACATATTTCTGAATTAAAAATTATGTTTGGAAATGTATCAAATAATACTGCCAATGAAATATTTAAAGTAATTCTTGATACTGGTTCATTATAGCCCATTCCCGGTGTCTGAAAAATGTATTTCTCAGGTTTTATTATACCCTCAAAAATATTATGAAATAAAAAAAGTAAACTATGGGCATTATTTGTATATTTAGTTACAAGGAATACCTGTATACTCTCATGTTCATAAAGGTTTTAGTCTTGTTTTAATTTATCTATTAATACATTATAATTGTTCCTATTTTTCAAAATTGTATTCTATATTTTTTCAGTTTTTAAGTTCATCCTAAGATTAGGGTTATAACAAAACATGACTTCCATGCCTCTCTGTCATTTGCCATATTCTGAAGCTCTAGGAAATCCTGTTTCATTATTTTGCTAATATATCTTGTTCTAGGTATTTCTTTTGATTGAATGCCTTCTACTATTCTTATAATTTGTAAAAGCTAAATAAACTTTGCATGAAAATGAGAAGAAAAAAAAGAATACTTCAAATAGTTGTGATGAAGGGGAAGGAAAATATATTATAGCTTACTGGTTTTATTACATTTTATACAAAATGCACCTGTCTTTAAAATATATTTCTGCTGTCGTTTCTAAGGAATTTTCTAAGTTTTTAGTTCTCAACATAGTATATTTCTAGTAGTATTTTCAACCTTAAAATAGTTTCTCTAGTTAATTGTTCTTTAGGCCCTATACTGATAATTTGCAATCCTGACTTATCTTTCTACTCATGATCTTGTTTGAAATTATTGTTATCAATTTTGTTAATAAGGTATCAAGCTTAAAATCCTAAAATGACCAACCAAACTGCCAGAGGATTTCTAAGATAGAAGTACTGTTTTTAATTCTTTGAAATATTCCTTATCTAATATATATTTGACAGCAGCTCTTATAGTATTTTCTATGTTTAAATATTTATTTACTGTAACAGTTCTGCATTTATTTCATTGGAACCTGATACTTTGTTTTTCTTTATTATTTGAATTGCAATTTAAAATTTTGATGTATCACCGTTGGACTAATATTTTTTCCAGAAAATCTTTTACGTATTCTGTTAGATATTACTATCTTATTATTCAAAAAATTCCTGTCTATTCTTTCTGTGTGTGTGCATTGCATTTTTGTTTTCCATGGAAAAATGTTTGAATAGTTTATATGCCTTGTTGGTTGTATTTCTTCACGATTCACTTCAATACACACTTTCTTGGCTTTCTTACCTCTTATTTTACATTATTTTTGTTTTTGAATATTCTGCAGCCTGAGTGATGGATTCTGTTATGCAATACCCCTGGTATTTTCTATGTTTTCATGTTTGCTTTAATTCTTCATTATTTTGTTAAAATAAAGTTGTTCAACACATTTATTCTCAAAGGTTTGTCTTTGGTAACTTTAGTTGATTTATATTTTCTAGATTGTATTTTGTTTTTTTTATAAATGTATCAATTCAATATTTTATTGCAATGTGATATATTTTTCAGACAGCAAAACAAGGCTCTAACAAATCAGTACCTAATTCTTTTACAACAAATTAAGAGGATACATTTTATTTATACAATTTATATACAAATGCATTAATTTATTATTATTATTTAATTTTAGTTAGTTAAAGAAGTTGAGGAATTTTTGGATGATGAATGCTTAGACAAATTAAAAGTATTATGGGAAAAATTGAATGTCTATGATGATAATCAAATTGATTTAGAAGATGGTGATGATATTGACATATATATACCACGCTATAAACAAAATTTAAAATGGGTTTTTCCATATATTGGCAAATTACCTACTCCATTGTACAATAAAAAGAACAAAAAAGTTGTGTCCATGGATTTTAATGAAGAAGAAAGAATGAATTCTATTTCTATAAATGCAAATGTAAGTAGGTAAATTCATGCCCCAATGAATATGTGTTTATTATTAATTTTATTTATTGGAGGTAATATTGAGGATTCTATTATACCATTACTTTTAATTAAAAATTCATGATTAGTGATTCTGTTTTTAAAATTAATATTGAACTTTTTTTTTTTAGTTTGGTAAAATTTGGTTATTGGACCAACTTACCTTAACTTCGTCAATAAGTTTAGGAGTTTCTGATGAAGAGTATTATAGTAACATCATAGATTTACTTTCTTCTCAGAAATCTGACACTGAACTTCAAGATGAAGTATGTATTTTAGCTATATTATGTACATTAATTAAAACATATACGGTAGTGAATTTTATGAATTAAAAAAAATAACATTTTTTTTAAAAAAGAGGTGTATTCTTATTCTGTGATTTAGGAAGTCTTTGTTGCCATTTGAACATGAGTACAATTTGTGATTAAAAAAAAAACCTCATAGTTAACAACATGAATCCAAATAATTAAAGAAATGTGTTTAAAAAACTACTAAGTCTTATTTTTGTAATGGAGTATTAATTTGGTTTAGTATATTTAACTTTAGCCAAAAATTAAGCATCCTTGTCCTTAATTTTTAAGAGGTTATGTCTAGACCCAATCTTAAAGTAAAATTCAGCACCACTGACATGCACAGTTGTCATATACACACAAAACTATGTATGTAATATATATTATTCATTATAATCTACATATGTGTATATTTTCTGTTTATATAATATATATTTATATTTTAACGGCAATGTGCTGTTACCTTACAATGGTAACAGTGAAATGGTAATTTGCCCAAGTTCACTTATTTTAAATTCATGTAGTGAAAATATTACATATTTATAAATTAACATATTAAACATTTCCAATTAATATAAACTATTTATTACACATTAATTTGGGATCTCTTAATCTCTTATTTAATGATGTGGTGTATGTGTATGTATCAAATTTTTAAAAATTCTCAAATTTCCTAAATTATGTATTTTAACTTTAATGAAGATATTGTTTATTATATAATTTTAAATTAATCGACTTTGCATTAACTCACCATTTAATATATTACATAAGCATCCAATATATTCTAACTGTAATATTATATTTGAAGATTATATGATTTATAAGTAGTAATAAATATCATTAAATAGTTATAATTTTACATATTAGCATGCACACCTAGGTATTAACATTTAAAAAATATCAAATTATTCAATTTGTTTTCAATAGGAAGTTATATAATTAGTTCTTAATATTATGCATTTTCAAGTTTACATTTTTTTGTTAAAATTAAATTGTTATCTTCTATATCTAAAGTTTTGCGCTTATTAACAACTGTTGTTATGCTTTTCTCATCATCTGTTTTGTTTGATTCTGTGGATAATTCTTCATCATCAGTCTCTTCATTGCTATCTGTATCCAAATCGGAATCAAAATATCCCGTACCTTTAATTTTCTTCTTTTTTGGAATTTTTGTTGAAGCACTCGTACCAGCTTTGAAACCACATTCGACTGCGTCTGAAACTGTTTCTGTCATTTCGGCCATATGCTTTTCGTAATCTTTATCTTTAAATTCAACTTTCGGTGTTTGGCAGAGACGTTGCAATTTACGTTTTTTGCGTTCTTCAGGATCATCTGTACTAGGACCCCCTTTGGCTAAATAATCTTTAACTCGTTTTTCTTCATTGATATCCCGTAAACGGCGACCACTTAGATCTCGACAAGCTTCTCGATTTGTTGTTTTTTCTATTTGAGCACCAATTGCTCGTAACATTGAACCAAATCCTCCTTTGCCACCCAATATCCTTGGCACGATGTGTATAGTAGCATTTTGAACAATATTTTGATTTAAAATTTTACCATTTAACAACAAGTAAAAGTCTGTGTGCAACATACCAGTTTCAATACTAACATACTGTTTTATACTAGCCATCGACATCTCTGAAGTAATATTAAAGGACAATTTTTTCATAATGTTGTTATTATTAATTTATTACGATTTGATTAAAAAATATTAATATTTTTAAAGTCAAATTTTTGGTTACGGTCACAATATAATAAGTACTAAGTAAAAAAGTAATAACGAAAAACAAACTACAATTTTTGAAACAGTAAATAGTAATTATTAAATACCTAATACATAGTGTTATTTTTTTAATTATAATTTATAAAATGTTTGACAATGAATAAAGGTTGATAATAAGAGTGTTGTAATGCCAACGTGATAAAAATCAGTGCAAACAACTGTTGCAGAATAAATATTCATATTACCTGTATTTTTAAACATTCAATTTAATACAATTATTTAAAAAAAAATTTAAATATTTTATTGTATATTAATTAATGGATTTTTTTTTCAAAGCTATTCAATCTACTGGGTTTTACTCGACTCTCACTCATAGAAACATTATTAAAACATAGAAATGATATATTGACACAATGTTCAAAGGAAAGCAAATCATTGAATAACGTAGATTTTAGTATGAATGTGTACACTATTAATCAATATAAATCATCTATTGACTGTCTCAATTATTTACATAGGAATAGAAAAGAGACCCAGATACATGGAAATGATTACTATTAAAACTGAAGAAGATGAATTAATTAGAAAAGAAATAAGAAAAGAAGAAAAATCCTATCAAAGACTAAACAGACGACATGATTCAGATTCAGATGAAGAATCTACTAAAATGATTTCCAAAACGTTAGTAAAAAAAAAAAATTATTTTTATTTGTTTTAGTATTTAAAAAAAATCTATAACATTACCATTATTGTATTTAAGAACAAGTGCCGCTAATGTTCCCATGTTCATTGATCCAAAGAGCAGAAAAGCTCCAATAGCTGAGAAGTATCCCAATGTATATGACATAAATTATAATTCAAAAGTATCAAGTTGTGAGTTTTTTTTTTGTTAAATTAATTAAAATTTTAAATTTGTATATAATACGTGTAATATGATACATATAATATAATATTCATTACTTAGGTTTTATTGCTGGAGAATCTTGTGTTATCCCTGCTGGAGCAAAAAGGACTGATTATCGAACGCACGAAGAAGTATACATTCCAGTTGCAAAACTAACTCAAGAGTTGACTGTTGGAAAAGAATTAATTGCCATCAAATCACTAGATGAAGTTGTTTACTTAATATATTGTGTTTAATGTGACTAAAAATTAACTCATTTTTGTATTAAAGGTTGGACAAAAAGCATTTCATGGAATCACCAATCTCAATAGAATTCAAACGATAGTTTTTGATGCAGCGTATAACACAAATGAAAATTTACTAGTATGTGCTCCAACTGGAGCTGGAAAAACTAATGTTGCTTTATTGACCATAATTCATCAAATTAAACAACATATTAGGAATAATGAAATACACAAAGAAGAGTTTAAGGTATAATTTTATATTCTTACATTCATCTTCTCATTTTATTTTTCAATAAAATTGTTTTCCCAGATAGTATATGTTGCTCCAATGAAGGCTCTTGCAGCTGAAATGACTGCTAATTTTTCTAAACGTTTATCTAGTCTAGGAATTGAAGTTCGTGAATTTACTGGTGATATGTCACTTACTAAAACAGAAATGGTCAATACTCAAATATTAGTCACAACACCAGAAAAGTGGGATGTAGCCACTCGAAAAGGAACTGGTTAGATATTTAAATTGTTTTATATAACATGAATACTAACTGTATTTTTTTTATCTTTTTTTAGGGGATATTGCATTAACAAGTTTAGTTAAGCTATTAATTATAGACGAAGTACATTTATTACATGGTGATCGAGGTCCAGTTCTTGAAGCTCTTGTTGCAAGAACGTTACGACAAGTGGAATCATCTCAAAGCATGATCAGAATTGTTGGATTATCAGCTACACTACCAAATTATAAAGACGTGGCTCGCTTTTTAAGAGTTAATCTTTATAAAGGATTATTCTATTTTGATGGACGTTTTCGGCCAGTACCTTTAGTACAAACATTTATTGGTGTTCGCGGTAGCAAAAGTGTGAAAATGTTACAAGAAATGGATGCAGTCTGTTATGATAAAGTATACGATATGGTACAAAAAGGCCATCAAGTATGTTAATTATCCGAAATAAAATTATTTGGTATTTTATATTTATTGATTGTGTTTCAAGGTTATGGTATTTGTTCATGCCCGTAATGCTACGGTAAAAACAGCTAATGTCTTCAGAGAGCTTTCGACGCAGAAAAATCACCAGTCAGCATTCTTACCACAAGATTCTAATAGGATAGGTATTGCAAAAAAAGCATTTGAACGTTGTCATTCAAAAGAATTAAGTGAACTATTAAACAGTGGATTTTCTGTTCATCATGCGGGTCTTTTGAGATCAGACAGGTTGATTGATTTATTGACTTACATTTTAGATTATATAGAAAATTATATAATCATAATAATAATAATTTATTCGTTGAAATAAAACAAGCATGAATTCAATTGAACAAAAATAATATATACAAATATACAATAAAAACAATAGGCTATAAATACGTGGTTATAATTGAATTGGATGTGACATTAATATTGATAAAATTATAAATAATATATATATATATATTTTTTCCCCTATAGAAATCTTGTAGAAAAGTACTTTGCAGAAGGAGCTATTAAAGTTTTAGTATGTACAGCAACTTTAGCATGGGGAGTTAATCTTCCAGCTCATGCAGTTATCATCAAGGTAAGTACATCATACAAATTTTTTGTTTTATAGATTTTTAATAAAAAAAGTGTTAGTAACTATTGATCATGAATTTAAAGAAAAAATTAAAAATAATGTATAAAAATACATTTGTATGATTTGTTTTTATATGTTTTTGTAATTATTAATTTTTAGGGTACAGATATATATGACTCAAAGCATGGGACATTCATAGATCTTGGTATGCTTGATGTTTTACAAATATTTGGTCGTGCAGGGCGACCTCAATTTGATACTTCTGGACATGGAATGATCATAACTCCACATGCAAAACTTCACAAATACTTATCATTACTTACCAATCAAATACCAATCGAAAGTTGTTTTGTTCAACATCTTGTTAATAATTTAAATGCTGAGGTATGCATTATTTAATCTAATAATTTTTATATGATGTATGGGTCAACATTTTAGGCAGTAGTAGGAAAATAAACAGATATTATCTATGTTAATGAATTTGTAGAATTATTAGAAACGACAAAATAAATAATGAATAATATTAGAGTAGCATCAATAATTGATAAATTGAGCAAATATAGATTGGGAACTTGTATTTGTTGTAATGCAGGACAGTTAAAATGACAAAGAAAGATTTATAAAAAGGTGTTTTTGTGTGATGAAAAATAATATGAAATTAATTGGTGTTTGTGGAGAGAATATGGATGATTGAGTCAAGTAGAAGTTATAGACTAGGAGAGTTGAGCTCAAATACATATAAAAATAAAAACAAAGAAAAAGATTTAGTTACTTTTAAGTTTACTGATAACATTTTATTTTTAAATGAATAATGTTAATTGTATTATTTTTACACAGTATTCATGCATTTATTAAATTTTTTAAGGTTGTATTAGGTACAATATCGAATGTTGAAGAAGCAGTAATGTGGCTTAGTTATACTTATTTATTTGTTAGAATGCGTATAAATCCTCATGTCTATGGTATATCACTTGAGGAAGTTGAAGTAAGTACATAATAATATATTATGGCTTATAAAGAATTTGTATTAAGATGTTTTGTTAATTTTGCTTTATAGTCAGATCCCATGTTAGTAAATAAAAGAAAAGAATTTATTGTTAATGCAGCAATGGCTTTGGATAGAGCACGAATGCTACGATACAATGAACGAACTGGTGATCTTTCATCTACAGGTAAATTTTAATTGTATTATGATTATTTAGTTATTTTAATTAAACTACAACTGCTTTTTAATTTATAGATCTGGGTCGGACTGCTAGTCATTTTTATATTAGTCACGATAGTATAGAGATATTTAATCAAAATATTAAATCTTTTATGAATATATCAGAAATATTATCAATGATTGCTACTGCTAAGGAATTTGATCAGTTAAAGGTATAATACATACAAGTGTCCCACTTTGTTTTACTGATTTGTATATTTCTGCGAGTATTAAACTTTTTTAAGCAAGGCAGACACTTATATAAAGAAAAATTAAATTTTTATTTTCACTCTAATCATTAAAAAAAAAAAAACTTTTTAAATTTTTGAATATAGCCATTTTGTAAAAGATTCTAAAACTTTAATATAAAACAGTGGTGTACCAGTATATAAACACTCATTAGCATATAAATATAACACTAAATAATTTTTTGAAGGTTCGAGATGACGAAGTAATTGAGCTTGAAACATTAGCTCGTAAATATTGTCACGTTGAATGTAGCAGTTCAGCTGTTAATGTAAATGGTAAAGTTAATATACTTTTGCAAACATATCTTGCACGAGGTAGAGCCAAAGGGTTTTCATTGATATCTGATCTAGTGTACATATCACAAGTAAATTTAATATTACTATAAAATAATATTTAATAAATAATATACAGTGATTTTTATTTTAACAGAACGCTACAAGAATTGCCCGAGCATTATTTGATATGGTGTTACGCCGTAATAATGCTATGTTGTCTGCTAAATTATTAGAAGTCTGTCAAATGTTTGAAATGACACAATGGAATTTTGAATCTGAATTACGGCAATTTTCAGATGTGCTTCCTTGGGAAATCATAGATAAAATTGAACAAAGAAAATTATCATTCAATCGTATTCGTGAAATGGATGCAAAAGAATTAGGTATTATTTTAAGAAATCAGAATATGGGTGCAGCTGTTAAAAAGTGTGCCATGCAACTTCCATATATTGAAGCTACTGAAAGTATTCAACCTATTACCAGAACTATTTTAAGAATAAATTTAGAGATATTCCCGGAATTTGAGTATGCATTATGATTATAATTATTATATAAAGTTGTCCCACCATGTTTGACAAATTTTTCTAGAGCTGTTAATATTAAAAATTCAATAATTTTTTTTTTTTTTTTTTGATCAGTTTTTCTTTGAGGGAGCCAAAGATTTAGAAAAAAATTAAATTTTTATTTTCATCCTTAAATACATAAATAAAAAATAACTTTTTCTTTATTCACTTAGTAAATTTTGTAAAAGATATTATTCTATAAATTTTATTGCATTACATATTTATATATATGAATAGTTTCTTAGTAATAGCTGTTTTAATTTCTAGACAATAAGTGTGAAAATAATTAATTGTTGCGATAAGGAATTATCATGTGGCGATTGTGATTGTTATTGAATATTAATAGCTTTAGAAAAATCTGTCAAATTTGGTAGGACATACTGTATATATATATATATATAGGAAGTCCAAACATTTTATTGTTATAATTTAGATGGAATGATAGGTTTCACGGTAAAACATCAGTTGCGTTTTGGATATGGATTGAAGATCCAGAAACAGATTTTATATACCATTGGGAACAGTTTCTCATATCTAAAAAACAAGTAATGTACAAATAATATAATTTGTATTAATTTTATATAATATCAATTTTATCGGTATTTTAAAAATTGAAGGTTATCAGAAAAGAAACACAAAAACTGATATTTACAATACCTTTAGTTGAGCCATTACCATCACAATATATACTACATTGTACTTCAGATAGATGGTTAGGTACTACCTTTACTACACCATTAACTTTCCAGCATCTTATAATACCACATAGTCATGCATCAGTTACAGGTTTGTTATTAAAACAAGTGTTTACAATTGATTTTTTTAAGTTAATTTGTATGAAACCGTTTTTGTTTAGATTTATTAGAGCTTCAGCCGCTGCCAGTATCTGTCCTTCAAAATCAAAGTTATCAATCTTTATATAATTTTACACATTTCAATCCAATACAAACTCAAATATTTCATTGTTTATATTATACTGATAATAATGTTCTCTTGGGAGCTCCTACTGGGTCAGGAAAAACCATAGCTGCAGAAATTGCTATGTTTAGAATATTTAATGAACAGCCTACAGCTAAAGTGAGATGATTTAAAATATGTTTTTCCTATGTTATTTAATATATTTCATTTTTCTAGGTAGTTTATATAGCCCCTTTAAAAGCACTCGTACGGGAACGTATGATTGATTGGAAAATAAGATTAGAAGAGAAACTAAAAAAATCTGTAGTAGAATTAACTGGTATATATACTAAATCAAATATTTAAAAAAAAAAAAAAAATGAAAAGTACATATATATTAGGATAGTCCAAAAAAACTTATGAAATTTAATTACCCTTCTTCAATTTTTTTAACTGATATGAAAAAGTAATTTTGTGACCCTTAACTCATCTCCTTCCTTTGCCAAAATTGGGATGAATTATGGCACAAGGTTGTTGTTTTTCAGTTTTTTCTTTTCGATTATTTCAAATTAATTCAGATAATTTTATATTTTAATTATTTATTTATAAACAAAATACAATGAAATAGGTTTTATTTCATTATAGTATTCGATTTTTAGCCATGTTTTAAAAAATAAAATTTGTTTTGTTTTTATTATTTCATATTTTTTATTATTTTTTTTATATGAATTAATGTGTTAAATAGAATTTGTATTTCGAAATTTTTTTAAAGATAGAATTATTTTCTATAATTTTCAATATAAAATATTTTGCTAAATATTTCAGTTTTTCTAATAATTGAAAAAACTGAAAAATAACCCCTTAAGTCATAATTCAACTCTATTTCGGCACGGGAATAAGGGGAGTTATCGAGTCCATATTTTCACAAAATTATTTTTTCATATCAATTTAAAAAATGGTAGGAGGGGGTACTCATTTTTAATTTCTCAAGAAAATTTCAAGCCTATACAGATTTGGACCACTCTAATATATAATTCTTATAGTTAATATATTAAATATTACCTTATTTAACCATGATAAAAGAATATCAACAGTATTTTTATATATTAGTTAAAATTTAAAGATTCGTTAAGGTTTTTAAAATACAAGTATTTATGCTGAGTACTAAAAATAACATTGCTACTTGTATAAATTGTTTTTAATGGTAAATTTGTATTATTTTAATTAAAGGTGATGTTACACCTGACATTAGAGCTATTTCAAATTCATCTGTAATTGTAACTACTCCTGAAAAATGGGATGGTGTTTCTCGTAGTTGGCAAACCCGTAACTATGTTCGCCAGGTAGCTCTGGTGGTACTTGACGAAGTTCATCTGTTAGGGGAAGATCGTGGTCCAGTATTGGAAATAATAATATCTAGAATAAATTTTATATCTACTCATACTGGACAACACACACGCATTGTGGCCTTAACTACTGCTCTGTCGACTGCCGCCGATCTTGCTGCTTGGTTACACATTGGTGAAATGGGCCTTTACAATTTCCGTCCATCTGTGAGGCCGGTTCCCCTGGAAGTGCACATTAGTGGATATGCTGGACGGAATTATTGTCCAAGAATGGCAACTATGAATAAGCCCATTTATCAAGCTATTAGACAACATTCCCCAACTCAACCTGTTATGATTTTTGTGTCATCACGTAGACAAACTAGATTGACTGCATTAGATCTGATTGCATATTTAGGTGGTGAAGATAACCCAAAGCAATGGGTTCGCAAAAGTGATTATGTAGGATATTTTCATTACTATTTAGTTGCCTAAGTTTGAAAAAAAGTTAAATTAAAATTGAAACAAATTGTTAGGAAATGGAACAAATCATTGAACATATTAGAGATCCTAATTTAAAACTTTGTCTTGCATTTGGCTTAGGCCTTCATCATGCTGGATTACAAGATAAGGATCGCAAAATCGTAGAAGAATTGTTTGTAAATCAACACATTCAAGTATGATAAAATCTTACCATATCTTTAAAATGATTTTAGAGTTTTAACTCAACTAATAATTTTGTTTTAAGGTTTTAATTGCCACATCAACTTTAGCTTGGGGAGTTAATTTTCCTGCACACTTTGTTATTGTTAAAGGAACTGAATTTTATGATGGCAAACTCAAAAGATATGTTGACATGCCAATAACAGATGTATTACAAATGATGGGAAGAGCAGGACGACCTCAGTACGATAACATGGGAATAGCGCTTATTATGGTAAACATTTAATAAATATTATTAATTAAAATGGTAATTTTTAATTATTATTTTATATATAATATATATTTATTCTTATAGGTTCATGACATTAAAAAAACTTTTTATAAAAAATTTTTATATGAACCTTTTCCTGTTGAATCGTCATTATTGAGTGTATTACCAGACCATTTTAATGCTGAGATAGTAGCTGGAACTATTAAGACAAAACAAGATGCCATTGAATATTTGACTTGGACATACCTTATTCAAAGACTTATAAAAAATCCAGAGTACTATGGGTTACATAGCTTAGAAGAAAGTTCTATTAATACATATCTTTCAGAGTTAGTGGAACGATGCATTGGAGTATTGTATTCGAGTTATTGTGTAGAAATTGAGGAGGTAAATAACAGATCCATCTAACTAGTCCATTCATATGTAATATTATTAAATACAAATTTAGGATCAACGTAGTGTAAAGTCTACATCATTAGGCCGTATAGCTTCCTATTATTATTTACAACACAAAACAGTTAAAACCTTTCAAGAAAGACTGAAAGGCCAACTCAGTATGGAAGATTTATTAAAAGTGTTAGTTGATGCAGAGGAGTTTAATTTATTACCCGTTAGACACAATGAAGACCTTATGAATACGTAAGTAAAATAAATCAGTTTTTTTTTTTTAAACTTTTTTTTTTTGCATCTACAGTGAATTAGACAAACAGTGCCCATTGGATATTGGGAGTCGTCAATACGATTGTTCTCATACAAAAACATTGATTTTACTTCAAGCTCATTTTTCTCATTTAAAAATGCCATGTTCAGATTATATAACTGATCTCAAGTCAGTATTAGATCAATCGATACGTATATTGCAAGCAATGATTGATATCAGTGCAGATGCTGGTTACTTGGTATTATGTTTGAGATTAGTACAATTAATGCAAATGATTATACAAGCCCGATGGATTACCGATCCACCAGTCATTACTTTACCTGACGTAGAAAAATATTTAATACCAACCCAAGTATTGCCATCACTTTGTTTACCATATTTATGTAACTTGGCACTTGAAAGCTATAAAAAAATTGAAGAAATTATGTTGCGAACTCAACTTGAACATGAAGAAATTGAAAAAGTAAATTTCAATAAGATATAATATATTTTACCCTAATGATGAAAAGATGGGTAAACATGAAATTGATTATACTCTGGCCCACGAGAGAACAACCAAAGAAACTCAGATGTCACTGTTTACGTAACTATGTGACTACGCACATCATCGAGAAGTCAGAGAGAAACTAGCATCACTTAACTCGCGACCAGCAGTATCGATACACGAGTTCTGGTCGTTCTCTTGTGGACCGGAGTGTAGATTTTAATAAAAACTTATTTTGGTGGACCATGTTGAAGAATAGAAAGGTGTCTAACATTAGCTATAAGTTACTTTATAGGTAGGCAAGTAATAAATTAATGAATAAACATACCGACTCACTGACCTATAAATGCACACTGTGCAAACTGCTGGATTTTGAAACTTAAAATTTTATACATAGGTTCCTTATATTATGTAGGTTGCCACTATGAAATTTGTTTACAAAATGTAACCCTTAGAGGGATAAAATTGGGTGTTAAATCCACCTAAATTTAAAAATAATTTGAAGCTGGGTCTTAATTTGATGCAGTATTCACTATTTTTGAAAAAGCTTTAGACCTTGTTGACTATGTGCCACTTATTAAAGCCCTTGACAATTACAGCATAGGCAATTCTGTCTTGCTTGGATTTCATCCTATCTTACCACTAGAAGACAAATTGTCTTTATATGGTGTTGTATAGAATATAATGGTGTTTTTTCCGAACTGCCTTACATTTCTTCTGGTCTCACAGGGTAGCCATCTCAATAAGCTTCTTTTTATATTGTTCATAAACTCCCTTGACAATAATCTAACTACTACCAAAGCCCTTCTATTTGCCCATAACATTTTATTATTCATCAAAGTTAATTCTCCTTCTGACTGTCTTCATTGGGAAGTACTATGTTATACCAGAAACCATAACAGCTCCCAAATTAATCGTGCCACTCTTTTTAAAGATTTAGGTATATATTTTACACTTAATCTGCCATTTGAGCATCATTTTAATGTTACTATCAGTTGTGCTTTAAAAGATTTGGATTTTAACCTAACCTGATTCCTCACCATTGCCTTTGAGCGTTATATTCAACCCGTTTTTGAATTCGGCTTGGTATTTTGGCATCTCTACTTTACGCGTAACCAGCTTCGCATTGAACAAGAATAAGTTTTTCTCATTTTCTACCTTATCGGCTAAAAATAGAATAACCCCAGCACGAATATGCTATTATCTGCTCTGCCCTTGACCTACCTACACTTCATTATCGATGTGTTAAGTCTGATGTCTCCTTTATCTCTTTTCTTCTTGATAGTGCCATTGATGCTCCAGATCTATTGTTAACCATTTTTTTCCAGGTTCCCTCCTATTCTATTAAAACCCAAACTAATTCCCTGTTCTTCTTGTCTCAACACCCCACCTCTTATGGGTTTAATAATTCCCTCCACCGCCCTATGCATCTACTCAATGCTGCTTAGTTCAAGCTTTTTTCACCTTTTTCTTTAGATTTAAGTTACCATGCTGCTTTTAGCCCTTCTACCTAGTTCTAAGTTAAAGATTATTTACAAAATTACCTGTTTTGGCGTTTAAATTAACATATGAACAAATTAATATGAATTTTGTGTTGAATATATTAAATATTTTCTACAAAAACTGCCTAAGTTGGATATTCTTAATAATGACTAGTCAATTTTGTAATTACCTCGACAAATATTACCTAGGATATGTTCACAATGCCCAGTTTTCATCATTGATTGTAACATAATATATCTGTAAACTATAATTGTTAATGTTTTTTTTTAGGTGTATAAAATTCTAATAGAAATGCCAGTAGTAGAAGTTCATTTGTTTGTTCAAGGTTACTGGCCTGATAGTAATGAGATTCAAAAGGTAAACGTCTTCTATTTTTTAACAATATATTATTAAATTGAACTAAATAACAATCATAACCAATTACATATTTTGTAGAAATCTGTGGAGAATAGTAAACGAATTGAAATTGTAGCAGAGTCAGAATACACACTATTAGTTGAAACAAAACTTCTTAATCGTGTAGTACCATTAAAAGCACACGCACCAAAGTTTTCCAAACCAAAGGACATTGGTTGGTTTATGATACTTGGTTCTGTCGAACATTGGGAATTAATAGCCTTAAAACGTCATACAAATACTCGCTACAGAACAACGAATAGCAGATTAGCCTTTAATACCCCTGCAAAACCAAGTAAATAAATTAAAACTACTATTAGATATAATTAATATATTTTTTAAATATTTTATAATGAAACGTGAGCAATAATTTTTTATAGTAGCTCCTTATTTTACATTATACTTGGTATATATTTTATATTTTTAGGTTATGTAAATTGGACTCTCTACATGATGTCTGACTGTTACCTTGGCTTGGATCAACAATATGAACTTGAATTTAATGTGATAGAAAAAAAAAGTTAATATAATTCAATTGAAATAAATTTCCCTTTTGTTTTTATTTAAATGTTCAAGTATATTTCAGATTCTAAAAAAGGCAAAACATGAATTAATTTTACAACCTATGATGCAATTTTTTTTCTCGTCTGAAAAATTGTTTGACTAGATATCTTGTTCCTATCACCAACATCCATGGATGATTTCTAATATACAATTTTGTTAACCTGGTATGGGATTATTAGGAGCTCATTTTTTGAGAACTTAACCTAACCTAACTTTTTAAATATTAATGAATAATAGAAAAAAATAAGTGGTATCATGTGTTCATCCTTTTTAACTATATTATAGGTACTTGATAAAACTTGAAATATTTGTAAAGCCAGGAACCAAATGAAGAAAAGTAATTAATCACAAATAACATTTTATTTTACATCACACAAATAATATTTAAAAAAAATTTAAAGTATAACTAATATTTACAATAGAGTAAATATCTAAACATAATTTGAAGCAATGGCCAACAACTTAGTATAATCTGCTCCTTTAGAAAATGTTTTTTCTTTTAATATGGTTCGAAGGACGATCGGAATAGGGACATTTATACGTGTTCCTAATGGGGTACCATTGTCGTCAATCAACACTATATTGTTACTATCAAACCTGGGTATATTAGGTTTCTGTTCTTTAACGCACCCAACGATGATGGCTTTTACCTTTTCACCCTTGATCGCGACCAGTATTTTATCACCGATTGTGCCAATTCCTTTTTTATTATATACGTGAATGCAACGAGGCGGTTTACCTTCTGCCATTGCTTGCTTGCCAATGGTACTGTTGTCGACCACTCGTAAACGGGTCAATTTCATTATATGATTACTAATGGCCGAAGTAGAAAATTGTCGGGCGTAACTGATAGACTGCGAAATTGTACATAAAATTAGAATAATTCGTCGGCGATAAAATTGTCATCATATTTTAAAACTAAAGCTGATATCAAAACTTACCATTTCCCCTCAAAACAACAATTGACTTAGTTCTGCAAAAATCAAGCGTTATCAACACAGAATGAAACAAATTCTTAGAACCATGGACTTCTGCGACTGTGCTTAGGACTATAAAGTTAAATTGGTTAAATTGCAGATAAAGATATTACAGAACCACCGAGATTGATAATAACATACTTTATTATTATCTATCAGTGTATATTACTCATTATCAAATCTATGGATATATTCGGTTTATTAAAATCATAGATAATAACGAATGTTTTTATTATCAGCTATGATTACAATGTATTATTATTATCTATGGCTTATTACAGTGGAAGGAAACGCATAAAAAAACTGAAAATAAATCAGCCGAACCCTATTAAAACCATAGATAATAAAAGAATATTATCTATAATTTAAACCGAAAAATATTGGTGCCAATAGTATTTTGTCCGAAAATAGTACAGCTGACCATAGAGTTCTTACTTTATGTTCTTACCATAGACAATGCATGTATTATTTATGGTTCTTACTCTATGCCACGGCCTTAGATCACGATTTAAGATATCTTAAATCGTGCTTTAGATCAAGGCATATCAATATGATGTCGCTGAGATAAGATCAGATCTTTAAAAAAAAAAACGATAACGCATGATAAGAAAAAAATTAAAAGAAGAGAAATTCTGTATATATATTATTTTAAAATGAAAAACAAGTTAAGCAGATGCCCCAAGTAACCTACTTCTATGTTATTAATCTATGAAATTAATTGGAAAATATATTGGTTTAGTTTTGACAATAAATCCAACATGTGTAAGTGCCAAGTGGATGTTTATACTTAAATAATTTAAATGCTTGCAAATGGTTGAAATTAAAAATAATAATAATTTAAAACTTACTTGAAATTCCCGAAAATTGGAAAAAAAGCAGTAATTATTCCCATACACAAGAAAGGTGATAAGACAGAATGTGAAAATTACAGAAGGATAGCGCTCCTAAACTCATCATAAAAAATATTCTCTAAGGTGTAATTCGTATAAATCCTTGTATAAAAGAAAACCGGCTGAATATTAATGTGGTTTTAGTAATTTATCGAACAAATTACAGTTGTAGGTCAGATCATAGGAAAGAAATATGAATTCCGACAAAACTTTTGGCAAATATTTATAGACTTTACAAAAGCCTATGATAATATACATCGAGAGAGCTTATACAGAATATTGACTGAATTTGAAGTACCTACCAATGAAACTAATACGGCTGATCAGGATGTGTTTGGAAGAAACACAATATCAAATCAGGATAGATCAGAATACCCCTGAAACCTTTAACGTACAAACAGGGTTAAATCAAGGAGACGCGTTATCCCTAGTATTGTTTAATATGGCTCCAGAGAAAGTGGGGAAAGAGATGCGAAAAAAACAACCGGAATATAAATAAACCAGCAAATTATTTAAATCTTGGGTTTTGCAGATGACCTCAACATCGTAGTTAATACAAGAGATGACTCAAAGAAAGCAGCTAAAGCTCTGGAAAAATCCACAAACAAAATAGGATTAAAAATAAGTGTAGAAAATACAAAAATCATGGAGCTATTAGACATAGAAATAGACACTAAAGACTAGACCTACGAGAATGTCAACGAGTTCCGATATCTTAAGGGTACGCTTAAATTCGAAAAATGACTGGTCACGAGAGATTAGAGTGAGGATAGTAAAAGCAGAGAGGGCATTATTTGTAATATAAAAGTTTTTCAAATCAAAAATATTATCAAAAAAAAAAACAAAAATTAGGCCTTACACTACGATAATAAGAGCTATTTTGTTATATGGATGCGAAGCATGGACGACTACGAGCATAATAGAACGAAGACTCACCACTTTTAAAAACAAGATATGGCGAATAATATGTGGACCCAAATTAGACACAAACACTGGCATATGAAGGGGAAAATTTAACAAAGAGCTAAGACAAGAAACAGGATTGGCTTCAATTAAATGCTATTCAAGAGGTCAGAGAATCCACTGGTTTGTCTACGCTATACGTGGAAATGATGAAAACATAATCAAAGCAGTAATGTCCTGGTAACCGACAAGGAAGAGGCTACAAGAACGACCAAAGAAAAGATGGATGAATGTGGTCGAGGAGGATATAAAAAGGATAGGAATAAATAATTGGAGAAATAAAATTCATGACCGAGAGAAGTGGCATGAAATTATAATGACGAAAAAATCTCTTATAGAGTAGATTAGTCCTGAAGAAGAAGAATAATGTATATTTTTATCATGGAAAATATTCAAAATGTTGTCGTTTTATTATTTTTTGTTTGTTCCAAATTGTGTCGAATTCTAACTCAAAATGTTCATGTTCTTTCTAATTTTTCAATTTTTGTACAAAATATTAACGTTCAAACTTTAAAATGTTTTAATTTAATCGGTTCTGATTAAAAATAATGATAAAAAATGTACAAGTTGATAATTAATAAAGTTTCGGGCGTTTCGGCTAAAATACGTTCGGCTGTTATATTTTCGACCGAAATACGGTCGGCGGAAATATTTTTCTGCTTAAATATTTTTTCATAATTTCATTAGTTTGGCTTAAATACGGTCGGTTGAAATATTTTCGGCTAAAATACTTTTCGGCCGTTTTCGAAAAATTCTATGAGAGATCTTGCTCCAAAGTATATTAAGTATATCATCTTTCCTAAAAAGTAATTTTTTAGAGGTGGTACTTTAGAGGGATAATTTTTTGATTTTATCAGGGATTTTCATAATAAATGGGAAAAACCGGAAAAAACATAGAAAAAAGGAAAAATTTACAAATAATACAATTATTTTAAATTTTGTTTTGTTGTTGTAATTTCAGTAAAAAATATTTGTACTTAAAATTTTGACAGAAACCTTATAGTTACCTCTTATAGACGTGGTTTTGAAAATATTTGAGCCATTTTTAAGCTATTAAATACTTTAATTTTGCGTAATATTTATTCAGTAAGTACTCTGTAGATGTAATTGTTTGACCAAACAGAAATATTCGACAATTTAATTGGGGATTCATTATAAATTTTACTTAATGGTTAGCAAGAGAAAGTTGAGATTAATGCAATTTTTTTTTAAGCATTTTAATATCAAATTTTGTTGAAAATCGTTAATATTACGGCTTTTTAAACATATATAATCCAACTCTGCTTAAAATCGTTTTTCGTTAGCAAAGATTGATCATTGTGTACAGATATCCATTAAATTACCTTCCTAACTTCTCACCTACAAAAGTGGCTCACCCATCGTGCAAAGTATGTCCATCTTTTTAATACGATTTTAACTTGGAATATTTAGATTATTATTTATCAAATTATTGAAATTTAAAATGGATATATTTTCAACTAAAATACTCTTCAAAAGTATTAAAAAAAAATGGTAATTTTTAAGTCAAGACGAACGGCAACACTAATTAATTACAACCAATCAAAATTCATTTCTTATCTTATCCTATTCTAAAATGTGACATCAATATAAAATTGGCCAAAGATCAATTATTTTTGTGAACAGTTATGACATGTCTGCTTACCTATGTCGTTTTTTTTTCGAGAGGACTAATTATTGTTTATTTACTGACATTTTTTATACGTCCCTCTGCAAAATTCAACAATACATAAAAATCCTATGGTAAAAATAAATTTATGTATTTTTAAAACGATAAATCAAATTCAAAAAAATTTAGAATACTTATTGGTTTTTTTTTTAAATTATAATTAATTAGGGCCTTTATAAGATTCGTTTTATTAGTATTATTATTATTTTTTTCTGTCATCTAAGTAGTTATTGGTATTCTTTTAAATTGATTGAACTAATGTAAAACGATAAAAAAAATTTTCATATTATTAATATTTTGTGTTATTAGGATATATAATACTAATTTAATTATTAAATATATCGATCAAGGATATAAAATTATAAAAATGACCTTTTCACAAGTCCACTCTGCAGAATGTGACTTACCCTGTGATAGACGAGCGCGTATAAATTTGTATTAAAGAGATTTGTACAATGTTAAGTCGACAAAACAATACCCTCTGACCTCATTTCAAGGTTACTACGAGGAAACACTAGTCCGTAATCATTTACTTTATTTATTATACAATATTATTATTATTTTTTGTAACTAATGCCCATAAAATATATTCCAATTAATATAATACTGTCAGCCTTCTAGTATAATATATGCAACTATCATCACCGTGTACATATATAATTCTTTTTTTCAGTTTTGACAAATTTAATATCAGTAACATAACAGTAGTAAATTTTACATTATTTATCTATTTATATAGATATATTTACCTCTGTTTTATACCTCCATTATAAAAGATGTCTGTAGACATTTTTTCTATACAAATGTATTAGGTATTTTGTGTTATACATAGACGTCCGTATATTTTAACATTTCATAATTTTATTCCATAACTAGTATTTAATAGTCAATCGTTTGTTTATTTTCAAAATATTAATCCTAATAAAAAATATGATTACTATACTGCAGAGTAAGTGGTTTCACTAAAATCATTTTTGTTGATGTGAGTTATGACTATATTTTAGTTATGATTACTGTATATCTATATGTTTATATAATTTTATTACCATAAAAAAACTGAATTGAACATGTTTTATTAAAAAATGTCAATGTATTTTAGTGGTGCCGATTACATTGATTTTAATATTTGCAAACTAAATGTATACCAAAAATATTGCTTAAATCGACAAATTGCTAATGATCGATTTTGTTTCTATGTATAGTTACTGACAATGTAGTTTTTTCATATCTAAATTATTTTTCATAATAATTTGGAAAAACCAAAAAAAGGAAAAATACAATTTTTTTTCAAATCAGTTGAATTTTTAATCTTGTTGGTGACCAAGAAAGTTATTTCTTTGATTTTCTTTGTAGTTTTTTAAACAATTGAGCAAAACTGAAAAATACATAGACATTAGGATGACATTTACGAAAGTAATTCTGTTCTTATTTTAATTTTTTTTTTTAATAAAATTCAGTTAAAAATATTCATAGACTTGAAATTTTGATAAAAAACCTATCATATCTTTTGTTTTATGATTTGCTTCTTCTAGTCGTGATACAATTTGAAAATAATTGAGCCGTTTATGATATATTTATAGACATTTTGATTTTGTGAGTTTTTGAATTTTTACATATTACTTTTTGGTAGGTAAAACCTTTCTGTGG